CCTATCTAACATCTACAACTTGGTTTTATTTGATGTTTCTATAGGGCTATGAAATATTTGTTTAAGTACATCAACAAACCCGAGGATCGTGCAATGGTCACTGTAGCTGCACAACAAACAGCTTCGGCTATGGATGGTCGGAATCGTGGAACTACGGTTGTGCAAATCGATGAGATAAAGGCATTCATGGATGCCCGTTACATCACATCGGGAGAAGCATGTTGGAGACTTTTTAGGTTTGATATATACACTCACTCTCCAACAGTACTGCGTATGTCCTGTCATTTGCCTGGTGAGAATACAGTGTATTCAAATGTTGATTCTAACGTGGAGGAAGCGGTTGAGTCTAGCAGTTCCCAAACCTCAATGTTGTTAGCATGTATGGATCTCAATCTTCAGTCAATGGATGCACGGAAATATACCTTTGCGGAGATGCCACAATATTATGTATGGAATAAAAAATACAAGAAGTGGCAGCAGCGCAAAAAAGGTACCTGCATTGCTAGATTATATTACTGTTACCCATCCGCAAAGGAGCGATACAATTTGCGAATGCTATTGCATGTTGTTAGGGGTTGTTGTTCTTATGATGATATTAGAACAGTGAATGGGGTGGTATATGAAACATTCCAAAAAGCATGTTATGCTCGGGGACTGTTATCAGGAGATTCTGAATGAAATGATTGTGTCCAAGAAGCTTCGCACTGGGCTTCTGGTTATAAACTTAGAAAACTTTTTGTCACAATTCTTATTCATTGTCAGGTGGCTGATGTGACTTCTTTTTGGTTAAAGAATTGGGAATTACTAAGTGAAGGCATTTTGCATTCACGACGTAGAGAGCTGAATTTACTCCAGTTGAATTTGTCGGAGGATGAAATTAAGGAGTTGTGCCTTATTCATATTGACAAATTGATGGAGAGATTTTCGAAGTCATTAGCAGATTTCCCTGGGTTGCCTGTTCCCGATCAGTGTTTGCGTTCACATACGGTAAACAGGCTGATAGATATGGAGATGAATTATGGACCCGATGACTTAGACTGTTCTGAGGATCGACATAGTAGACCGTTGAATGGAGAACAACAAATCGCTTACGATATGGTATTACATTCTGTTTATACCAATGAGGGTAAATGCTTTTTTGTGGATGGATTTGGGGGTACTGGTAAGACATTTCTGTGGCGAGCAATTTGTGAGCAATTAAGATTTGAGAAGAGGATAGTATTATGTGTTGCTTCATCTGGAATTGCTGCACTGCTCATGGTCGGTGGAAGAACTGCACACTCAAGATTTCACATTCCCCTGGATTGTGATACAAAATCAACTTGCAATATTGAGCAAGGTTCTGAGGTAGCTGAATTGATTCTCAATGCTTCACTTATTATCTGGGATGAGGCACCGATGGCTCATAAACACAACATAGAGGCCCTAGATAGGACATTGAGGGATATTTTCCGAGTTAAGCATGTTGATTCTGAGTTGAAGCCTTTTGGAGGCATGACTATTGTGTGTTGGAGGTGATTTCCGACAGACGTTACCTATCATCACGAAGGGTACACGGACTGAAATTGTTAATTCTTCCATAAAGAGATCTTATTTGTGGCGGTCTATGACAGTATTGAAGCTAACCGAGAACATGCGATTAAAATTGCCTCATTCTGAAGCATCGGCCAGGTTAGCAATCTCAAATTTTAGCAAATGGCTTTTGGAAATTGGTGATGGTACAAATAGTAATATTTTTGGAGAATCAATTATCCCGATACCTCTAAACATTTGTGTTCCCCGTCGCAGTGATCCAATTCCTGATATTGTTGCTGAAATATATGGTCAGTTACTCTCCACTGAAAATATGTCAACCTATTTGGTTGAGCGAGCAATCTTAGCCCCTCATAATGACACTGTTGCGGCCATTAACAATTATGTATTGGGTCTATTTCCTGGTGAATAAGTTTCTTATTTTAGTTCGGATTCGCTAGAGATTGATGCCAAGAATCAGCATGTTGAAGAAGGGGACTACACAGTTGAATTCTTGAACTCTTTAAAGATTGGGAATTTTCCAGAACATGAGTTGAAATTGAAGTTGGGGTGCCCTGTTATTCTGCTTCGAAATCTGGATCAGAGTACTGGGCTTTGCAATGGAACTCGGATGATCGTTAAGAGATTAGGTAAGTGGTTTATTGAGGTCCAAATTTTGACCGGGACACATGTTGGTGATACAGTTTTCTTACCACACCTAAGTCTATCGGTCCACTACAAGAACTTAAATTTCACTCTGGTTCGAAGGCAATATCCAATTGCACTGTCATATGCAATGACAATTAACAAGAGTCAAGGTCAAACATTAAATCACGTTGGCATCTGCTTGCAAAGACAAGTATTTTCTCATGGACAGTTGTATGTTGCTATGTCTCGAGTTACGTCGGAAAGGGGACTCAAGATTCTTAGCTGTGACTCTCAAGGTAAACCGGTGAAGACTATGCAGAACATTGTGTTCACTGAGATTTTTGAGTAGTGGTTTATTGATGTTATGTTTTATTCGATTTGAGGACTAAGACTGTCAAATTTATCGGGTCGTTACAATTTGAATCTTGAGTTCTCAATTTGTCCAAATTATTTTCCTGTTTTTAACAGCCAATTATATGAAATGTGATTTATGCACACTACTTTATATTTAATTGTACCTCAATTTACTCTACCGAAGGGTATGCGAGTGTGACCGTTATATTGCAATACGAAGAGGAACTTCCATAGTCGCAACTGAACTAAACTAAATTAACACCACAACCCAGCCCACAAAACAACCCAAGCATGGTTCAGTTAAATAAAATATAGTTAGAGAGGGAATGCCCAGCCGGATTTGTTGAAACTAAATGGTCAACCTATTCCCATAAAAAAAAAGGCCAACCTACACTACCTTTGGCGGATCCTTCTCCACTCCCCCACTCCCCCACCTCCTCTACTGCCCAGTATCCGATTTTTTTGGATCTTCTATGAGGTGAAGGCTGCCGCATTCCAAGCCATTATTTCTTTATTAAATACATTCATTATGATTTTCATTTCATGTTAATTAGTGGTGGTGTGGGCCGGGCCGGGTGGGTTGGCGCATCAAATAATAATTAGCAACTTTGAGAGGCAATTTTGGACAAGAATTGTTGACACAGTCGCAATTGGCAATGTTGTTAAAACGGAACCGGACATCGATCTGGATTAGTAAAGGGTTCAAGGTTTATCAAATAACCGGTGGTTAATCGATATTAAAAACCGATCATAGACCGGTGTTGACTTACTTGGTAGACTTAACAATTATTTTTTTTTTACAATTATTGTTTCACTTATTAGAGATAAAAGAATAAAGTGAGAATTATTAAAACTGAAAAAGCATAATTTGGGCGGCTGCTAGGTCTTTTTTGGGAAAAGTGAACTGATTTTTCTTCTCTTTATATTTTATTCTGTACTTACCTTCTTTTGTTTTTGAATTTTTAATTGCAACAAAATAAAAGGACGGCGCATGTTTGATTTTAAGAAGGTGGGTCGTTCCCCTCAAAAAAAAAAAAGGTGGGTCGTGAGTTCCGTGACACACCCGCCTCTTGAACTCTAAATGGCCAACCTTCTCCACTCCCCCACGAGGCCACAAATCCTTCTCCACTCCCCCACTATCCCACTTTCCACACACACACGTACTCCACTGCATGCGGCCAAGTAAATCACGTGTGTAGAATCACTTTCTCTCCTTTATATAATGGAGATACCACTTTCTCTCATGTTACAATTTCCGTTTACTACTTCCCATACAAAACACTTCGGTTCCATTGACCGTGGGAATTGCATTCAATATGGCGGGCCTGCCTCAATTCAATCAGTAAGTACTGCTCATGCATCCAACAAATACTACATCATGTAATTTCGATTCTTTTTCACTACTTAATGCCAAAACTTACAGTCCAATATATAGGCTTCCCCATGATTTTATTGCTAATCTGCAATATGATGATGCTCTTGAAATTTGTGAGCGTGCCGACACCATCGATCTCATTATGTTGCAAGTGGATGTCGAAAATCAGGTAACTAAACAAATAAATTTCTTTTTAATCGTACGCCTTTTGTGGCATGCTTCATTTTATCGATTTGCTTTGACAATATTCGTTTCTGTGTTTACATCAGGGCACCTCTTTTTTGTTATCCGGACGTGTAACGAATTTGACGACGTCCTGGTCCCCTGCATCCAGAATCCATTTCGTCCACCTCACAATTGAGGACGAATTCATTGGTGTTGACATCGTCTTCCCGTCATCACAGTTACGAACGATTGTTGAATCTGTATTCAGTCATGCAGATGTTGTCAATGCTGACTATATGGCACTTCTGAACATGCTTGGAGAACAGACATTTGAAGTCATGGTCACAGTCGGTCCCTGGAACGATGCATTTGGTTATTGTGAACTTGTGTTGGTGAAATTATTTTTGCCTTTGTTGAATTGAGTACCATGTCATGAACAATGAGACAATGTATTGAGTTTTCTTATTTTGGACTTGCATGTTATTTGTCGTAATACTCAACTAGATTAGATTTGTGATTAGTAAAATTTCATGTAAGTATTTTTATTGTGATTAGCTAATCTTCAAATGTATTTCTAACTTATTATGAATGTTCATTCATATTACATGTTCGTCTTCAACGAATTGCAAAATTGCAACAATCTTATGATAATATAAAACAAGACTCATTTCTCGACACTATCATTATAGATATTGTAACTCCATTTCCTTAAACAAATGCGGCCAACGGGCCGGACTATAGGCTAGTATTGCTATTAAGCCACACAAAACAACATAGACTTTTATTCAAGAAGGAAACCAACACTAACAAAGAGTAAAAAAACAGGAAATAAGGAAATGAGTCCTACAACATCAAAAGTGTCCTTTTAAAATATGAACATGAATTCCCTGTTTTTGTCCCTTCACCCACAATTATATAATCAATCCATTTAAGCATTCAACAATTGCCAAAAACTTAATGTCATTGTAAATGGATCCTGATATTATCTACAAAAGAACTCCTCTTTTGGCCTCTTCACCAAGGCAACCCGATGGCCATGATATTAATAAGCTTATCCAACAATTATTTATCCCAAAATCAATAGAATTGGTTAGTAATTGGCCACATTTTTTAGTTTCCACAATTCCCTCTACGCAATGGTACTCTCTTCGGACATAGTGATCATGTCCATACTAGTCTCCATGCTCCTCCTCTTCGTAGCCGTCGTCGGAGTGGTAATCTTCCACGTCTTCATCACAGCTAGATCAGTCAGGAGAGCGTTAGTCGAGGATGCCAACAACACCACCGCCACCACAGATCCTCTCCCCGCCCAAACCCACCGCGGTTACAGCCGACCCAGGATGTCGCAAGCCGAACTCGACAAGCTCCCCTCCTTCAACTACAACGACGACAACGAATCCAAGGACACCACCATCGTTGGGGGCAAAGGGAGTGACATGGCCGATCAATTCGGGGATTGCGCGGTGTGCCTGGACACCTTCAAGCCAGGGGAGAAATGCAGGGTACTGCCACTCTGCAAGCACAGCTTCCACGCCAAGTGCGTCGATGGCTGGCTGCTGAAGATCCCCGTCTGTCCAATCTGCAGGGACAATGTTGCCCTTTCTTCGAGGAGGATTGAGAGGGAAGAGAACGGCGGGAGCAGGAGAGACAGCAGCCATTTCAGTGGCGAGATGAGCTTGTTTTGTGGGAGCATAGCTACAACTGAGAGCACCAGCAGCAGCCGGTTTAGTGACGCCAGTTTTGTTACTGTGGTTGGCGGTGGGAGGTTAAGGAGTGTTGAGAATGGTGATGTTATAATTGAGATGGTGGAGAGTAATGGCGATCATGTGGATGTAATTGATCGGTCCCTTTCTGGGCCTCCACGTTCTTCTGTGGATTCCTTGCCCTTGTGAAAGATTTGGAGGGGGGCTTCTGTTTGTTGTGATTAATATGTGCATATGTTTATTACATAGGGGAATTTCTATTTGTTGTAAGAACATAACAGAGAAATTGATGATTTTATTAGAAGCTGTAAGTTCTTGCGTAATCAGAGTTATTCATTCTACCTTGATCCAATTCTGAACTAGCTAAGCTGCATGATGAATGATGATGATCAAACCCATCCAAAAAGTTCTTATTTCATAATTACACCATAAAAAACTTACATCCAGCTCTCGAAAAATAGTTATAGTAATCTGAGTCTGACCAAGCACCAAAATGAGAGAGGGAAGAGAGGCACCACAATGTCATTTTGAGCATCTTGTCAGTTTTTTCAAATTGCATTCTCAATCCACTCGGAACATTGTCTCCTTGCATCCCAACACGTCTCAATGCTGGCTAAGCGTTGTCGGATGCTACCGATGCGTTCTGGGCGTATTATTCATCCCTTATGATCAAGATGAACCATTTTCCTTCTGATTAGCACCTAGATGAGCCCCTAGGTGCGCTTTTTAGAACACTAACATTAACAACAACTCATCTCATTTAAGAAAATTAGCGTCATGGCCTACTCTTGCTTTTAAAATCCTCAGTGCTCTGATTCGATTAAAGTTGAAATTGCATAAGTCAATCATTTTAAATTGTTATAATACAATCCCCGAAAGTTTTGTTGACCGAGAAGGAAGAAATGTGGATTAATCTTTCTTTTAGAGTCACTTATGGTAATATTATTAATAATCAGAAAATGTTGTTACATCATCTGGTCAAAACTAATGAAACAAAATCATAGGGGGTCTATCAACCCACACAATAGAACCATTCCATCTAGTTTCACAAGTGACCATAAGACGTGCAACTATGTCAGTCATTCTTTGAATATTCTAGACATAATTCACACTTCCTTCAGCCAACTCCGTTATGATACTTGCACAAATTGTGGCGAGCTCAGACAGAATTGGCTCGCTGTGCATAATCATTTTTACCGATGATCAAGTGATCTGATTCAACAACCAAATGTTCAAATTGGAGTTTATTTTGTCATTTATATGTCAAATTTTACGATAGTAGCTTCTACCATTTCAGCATCCCAACTCCTTGAAATTTTCTGGACTGAAAGTGGATTGATCTCGAATACTATTGTCTAAATTATTTGATATAAAATGTATTATCTTCGATATAATTAATAATATGATTTAACATAATCCTACCAAAAAATATAAGGATTGTGTTTTCGAAATTCGAATGCCAAAGTTCTCATCAGCCATTTAGAAAAAGAACTTGTAAAGAAAACCATTTATGAACTCGACTACAGAATGAATGTGGGCCGATGCCCAGCACCCATAAGTGGCCCATATCCCCTAGGATGGAGTCTTGGTCCACGTTAGTGTTGTTGGGCCAAAACTCGTATGGACTTGGCCACTACTCCAAAACACTTTTTATCTTCTACGGCCCATGCCAGAAATTTTAGATTATTTATGACCTAATCCTCACGTTCATATGCACCGGAAATGGTCAACGGCCGCCAGAAGAAAAGTAAACCAAACCACCTGTAGCTCGTAGACAACGTATCAGTAGAAGGGGTTTCTTATATTTCTTCGCTCTTCACTTTATGAATTGGGTCTACGTCAATCCAACGCTAATATACAAGCATGGCGCGACAGCATGAACGTAGCAACGTCATGGGGATAGATTAGTACACAGATGGCATGGCATGACGACCTATATATTAATCTTAATATTAAAAAATTCTTGGTCGGTGAATTCCACCACATTAGTAACCGGTTAATTACGTATATACTCTCGCTTTTTTAACCGTTTGGTCAATAATTAAACATTTATTTGTGTAGGGCAAAAATACACCATCGATCGTGATTTTCATTCTTCCAATTAAATGGATCGAAGGAATGAAGAAGCATAAGCAACTTTGGTACTTGCGCACCTACCTCATCATTCGGTAGAATGATCAATAAAGTAACATGCTCAGAGGCTACTCGATCAGTCCAAGAATACTTGAAAAACTCGAAAAGAAAAATTCAAAAGCTGATATAGTTATTTATCGATGATCTGCGAATCATTGCATCAACGAATTCTCTTAAAATCATAAGTCGTGAGATTGAACATGCACAAAAGCATACCATGCCAAGTTGCCAACTCCATGCTCTATACCACTTATAACCAGTGGCGGATCCAGGGGTGGCCACCCCGGGCCACGGCCCAACCCTCTTCCAGATCCGGAATTAGTATAGTCCTGATGAGTTTATCGATTTTAGTCATTTGGCCTAATGTTATTTTATAATAAGATTATGTGTTATTAGGAAATGGGTCAAATGAACATATTCAAATCACAACTCTAAATTTAGCTTAGAAATTCTAACTCGAATGATTCTCGTCTAAAGAAAAACAAACAATGATACCTAAAATTCTAAAAGTCTAAAACATAAAAGACTAAAAGAAATATGAGTTTGTTCTCTTGAAAAATTACTAGAGCAACTGGTGAAAATACGGATGGACACAAAATACAAATTAATTAGTCGATTGATGTGTTTAGTGTTGACATTGCTCGTTTCAACAGCTACTATGAAGAGAAGCTTTTTAACAATGACACAGGTGAAAATAATTTACGATACAGAATGAGCGATAAATTTATCGTCGATTGGTTAACTATTTTATTTGAAATAGAGTATGGTATTGGTATTGGTATGGATGTAGATTCCCTTATTGATGAATTTGCTATATTAGAAGATCGACGTGTGCAATTGATATTGTAAAAAAAGCTATGATTTTTTTTACGGCCCAGTGCTCTATTATGTCCTGGATCCGCCGTTGCTTATAACCCATACATGTCTTTTGTCTTCCCAATGGAAGATCACCATCTACTATATATATTTCCAAAGCATTGTGCATGCACAGTGTAAGGAAGTGATTAAGCATCATACACAGACCTGTATAAGATTCAACATAACCTTCTCCTAACAACTCAAGTTATTGGGATCAACTGGTTTATTACACACCGCACCATCTTTTATTATTGTTTTGCTGTTGTGTCGAGGATTAAAATATCGCATATTTACGAATCAAAGGCATGGTTATCACGCCATCAACCCCTTCTTGAATATTATATACAAGTGTAGATGACATTAATGCTGGTTTCTCAGAGTCAGCGTCATCGAACTAGACAACAAGACACATTACATTACAAGAGAACCAGAGGAGATCGACTACCTACTTAATTACTCTATATATATGAACGTAACGATCGACACTATATTGCCGGCGACTATATGCCATCGGATCTCAATTTTTCCGGCCGTTCACAACCGAGACCGATGAATACAAGGACGCCCCGACAAAATACATATCACGCACGTACGGCACAAAACGAAACGCTAGCTGGTCGCTTAATCAATTGATATCTTTCGTAGAAATTCACGACAAATAATCATCGCAACGATCTCCAAACTCAGCGCCAGCTATATATCTAAGCTAGCTGGTCTGGTTCCTGCCTTGCAACATCGCCGTCATTGCTTCCTTATGGCTTCTTTGTCCCCAGCGACGCGGAAAGCCCCGATGGTTTAGCATCGACGGACACTTAATAATAACTTAAATAGTTGATTAGTGATGACTTCTCCATGCTTAAAATTGATTTACGACATGTCGATCATGGAGATGGAGACTCGCTAATTACCCTGCACTAATACAAATTAAATCACCAGTAACACACATAAATTATATAAATTATGGATATCGTGGGCATCGATGCCTCGAGGTCATGGTGACATACATAACGAGATTAGTTTGCAAAATTTCACAACTAAACAAAACATATGAACTTGTACACTTATGGAATATACGATACTCAAAACGATATGATCGTTGGATGTACTTCGTTGTACTTTAGTGAATGGGGAGTGTTACTATTTTATATTAAATTGATATTTGAGTTTGAGATTTAAAAATCGGGACATATGATTTATTTATATGAGATTATGGTATAATCTCATACATAAACTCTTATGTAATTTTTGGTCTATATACCGATATAATACTGATAGTATCTCAAATATCATATACTTAGAAGAACATCAATCCAAACCAAAATGTATATACGGAAATGAAGTAATTAGGTAGGGACGACATTATTGTTTACTATTGATGTGTATCATTATTCCCACTTTGACTTGAGAATCAGTATTATTATTATTATTATTATTGTACGGTAGGGATCATCTAAATTATTGTTGATGGGTTGCTACGAATTGGTGGGAGCTTCCATTCCATCTATGAAATTGGGAGGTCTTGGTCTCTCGTGACGACTAACCATATAAATTTTTTTTATTATAATTTTATAATAATAATAATTGAACAATCAGAGACAGCAAATGATAATGGAATGGCGGAAAAATTAATTGCCGGTCGCTATTATTTACCCTCCATAAATAACATACGTTAGCATGCATCATGAATATATATTTTCGTCGGCCAAAAGAAGAAGAAGTGAGAGAGAAAGAAAAAAAAAAGAGTATTATCGTATGAATATGGAACAAGTGGACTCCTCACCGGCCGGCAACCACCACCACCACGCACTTCTCTTCCCTTTCATGTCCAAAGGCCACACCATCCCGCTCCTCCACCTCGCCCGCCTCCTCCTCCGCCGCCACATCACCGTCACCGTCGTCACCACTCCCGCCAACCGCCCTTTCATCTCCCAATCCCTCTCCTCTACCGCCTCCGCCGCCAATATCCTCACCATCCCTTTCTCCCACAATATCCCCGAAATCCCCGCCGGCACCGAGAGCAGCGACGCCCTCCCTTCCATGTCCCTCTTCTACCCTTTCGCCTCCTCCACCGTCGTCATGCAGCCGGCCTTCGACGCGGCGATCGAAACCCTCACCCCTCCCGCCACCTTCATGGTCTCCGACGGGTTCCTGTGGTGGACCCTGGAGTCCGCCAACAGGATCCGCATCCCGAGGCTCGTGTCCTTCGGGATGTCCGCCCACGCCATGTCACTCGGCAGGGCGGTGGGCGAGTCGGGGATTCTGTGGGGACCAGAATCCCACGAAGAGCTCATCGCCCTGCCGCAGTTCCCGTGGATGAAGGTCTCCAAGTCTGACTTCGAACCTTTCTTTTACGATCGCGAAGCGCAGCAGGGAGTTGACTTTGACTTTGTCATGTTGGCCTTTGGTGTTGCCGCTCAGAGCCACGGGTTCGTGTTGAACACCTTCTACGGGCTGGAAAAAGCTTTCGTTGACTACGTCAACTCTTCCGAGGGACCGACTTCCTGGTGCGTCGGGCCTTTGTGCTTGGCCGAGCCCATGGACGGAGAAGTTTCGGGCCCAAGGCCCACATACATGGATTGGCTCGACCAGAAGTACGTGGAAGGAGAGTCGGTTTTGTTCGTAGCTTTTGGATCTCAGGCTGATATCTCGTTAGAGCAGCTAAAGGAAATAGCCGCAGGGTTGGAAGATTCAGGAGCTAACTTCTTGTGGGTTCTACGAGATAAAGAGGCTGGATTACTTGGCAAAGAAGAAGTAACAAGATTTGAAGAGAGGGTATTGTACTCATAAACTCTCATTCTTGATTAGTATTTGACTTGCATATTGTCAATAATCCGTTGCTCACAAAAACTGGAATTGTTGGGACACGTTGAATTATAGATCACATAATATTTACTAACATATCTCTCAAGCGAAATCCGTCTGTATATAGACTTAAACAGAGGCGTAGCCAGGATTTTGTTTAAATTGGGTCCATTTTATTAATTATTTAAATATTAATTATTAAATTTTATATTTAAAAAATAAAAACTTTAGAAGTCAAAACTATAAAAATATATTTTTATGTACCAAACAATTATTCATGATTTAGGTAGTCGTTCGCTTTTGAATGACTTTCTTTGTCAAGAACCGTTTAGTATCAATAATTTGAGTTGTTGAGAGACTCAATGATGCAACTTATATCAAATTATGAGTCGTGATTTATTTAGTCGTTCGCTTTCCAATAATGTTCTTTCTCAAGAATCGTTTAGTATCAATAACTCGACGATTTAGTTTGTCGTTCACATTCAAATGGTGTTCTTTGTTAGCAATCATTTAAAGTCAATAACTAGAGTTGTTAGGAGAGGTAAAAAAAATGGATTGTATATCATTTACTAGCAATCTCCTTCAAAAGAAAGCTAACTTATATGTGCTGGAAGTTTGTACAAATCTAAATATCATGTGTTTAACAAATAAGGCCATCGATATTAGAACACAGACCTATCAATCAATCATTCTCAATTGGATGCACCCTAATTTTCATTATCAATTCACTATTACACCTAATTTATCAAATTTTCTCCCGAGTCAGGGTAGGTCTCGAGACCCACTCCTGGGCTTAAAGTTTGCTCTGTTTAGCAGAAGAAATGAGGCTCATTGGATTCAAACATAAGACTTTAATTTTGATCACATAAAGTTTTGATACCTTGTAAAAAATTCAGTGCTCTCACTAATTTGAGTTGTCGTGAAAAATGCTATATAACCATGGTATCCTTATTTTTCTACCAGGTTGAGGAGAGAGGGAAGGTGGTGAAGGGATGGGCGAAGCAGAGGGAGATACTAGGTCACAAGAGCGTGAAAGGGTTTATGAGCCACTGCGGGTGGAACTCGGTGATGGAGAGCGTGTGCGCCGGAGTTCCGGTGGCGGCTTGGCCGATGGCGGCGGAGCAGCCGATGAACGCGAGGATGGTGGTGGAGGAGATGAAGGTTGGGGTGAGGGTGGAGACGTGTGATGGGTCGGTGAGGGGGTTTGTGAAGAGAGATGGGGTGACGAAGGCGGTCAAGGAGCTGATGGAAGGTGAGAGAGGGCGGAAGGCGGCGGAGAGAGCGGCGGAGTTGGGAGAGGCGGCGAGGGGAGCCATGGAGGAAGGGAGTGGGTCTTCTTGGGTTAGCTTGGATAAGTTGATTCATGAGACCATGGTTGGTGTAAATAAGATGGAGTAAATACGGAAGAGATATATCGCATTTGATCTTTATAGGTAGAAAAAATAACATTACAGTAAGGGATAATAAAATATTTTACGAGTTGGTAGAACAGAAATATTTACTCACTTATTGTCCATGGTATTTGCAGGTCCATTTTGTGATGTGTTTGATCTTTGATTTGATGTAATTTTGTAAAGAAGTTGTCTGTGGATATTAGGGATGCCAATTTGAATTTGTTATGTCAGTTATATTACTCGATCTAATGCCATCACTGATGGAAATAGCTCTTACACCCTAGGGACCTGCATGGCTACATGTTTAATGAACCAAAACAAGGTTAGATCAGGCTCGGCCTGATGGACTTGGATCCCCAAACATTATCTAAGGGGAGAAAAACGGTCAATGTCAGATTGGCATCCACGGACGGACCACAGATTGGATTTATTATAGGCCTTGTTATTCACACGTTGCAGGCTTCTTTTAACTGAGCCCTTTTGCTAATCCTTGTTATTCACACGTTGCAAAAAAAATGAAGTAACAATAAAAAAAACAAATGCAATTGCAAATGACATTGCACCAATAGAGATACTCTAAGTGGTTGGGGTTCATACTTGATATGCAACAAAAAAATTATTGCTCAACAAAATTTCCACCTCATGACCGAAATCCGAGAGCATGACGTGGCTGTCCTCCCTCAACAAAATGTTCTCCGCCTTCAGGTCCCTGTAGACGATCCCCAGTGCCTGGAGATACTTTAGCGCACAAGCACATAGGCAACGAAGAACTTCACCGCGACGAGCGAATTTGAATTGGTAAGGCTTAAAATAAGAAAACGTATAATATATTCTTTAGATTAGATAGATTTAGATTGTTTCATGCGATAATGAAGCATGGGATTCACGCTGATGAGGTATATGGCTTAATTGTCTAAATAGAGTGTAGGTGGTTGTTGAACCGGAGGATGGAGATTAAAGTGGACAAAAATATCTCTTTAAAGGAATTGTTATTTAAAGTTTAATGAAAGAGATTATATCTCAAAATTACCCATTGGTCTTATCTTTATCCCTTGCATATTCCTAAAAATAGAAATCTCTAAGCGTCAGTAAATTTTTATGTTATTTTGATCTAATAAAATTCATCTAGCTAAAAACTACAGTTCCCTTTCTCATCTTTCTTGATGAGAGGCCATCATCATGAACATAAGACAGATTAAAAAAGTTATTAATCCACTACCGACAAAAATAGCATCGCGAAGGCCTTCGAAATTCTTTGTCTTCAAGGGCACCTGTTCCTTCACCAAGATGATAGCCCTTGGTCTCTCTTGAGATGACACTCCCATTTCATGACCATTGCCATAACTGTCTAGCAACAATCTCGTTGTTGCAATAGTTTCTCTCTCTACGGTCGACAGTTTGAAGTTGTTCTCCTCTCTTGTCTCGCAATTTCGCTCCTAGCTCACCACCGTAGCTATTTGTGCTTCGCCTGGACATTTTGCCACAACAACCAAACTATCTAGGCGGTGGAGTTGTTCGGACGATAGGGGTGCATCTTGTTAGAAGTATTGGGTGTTGATTGTAATTAGCCTTTAATCCTTGTGGTAGAAGTTTTGATTAATTACGTTTTGGTCATCAAGTTAGGGTTATTCGGCCAGTATAAATATGTGACATTGGCTGAACTTGTAACCTAAGGATTCTTGGTTAATACAATTAACTCTGAGAGGTTGGCCCTCTCCTTGGATTAGTCTCAACAATACATTGAGGATACCACGTAAATCGGTGTGTTCTGTGTTGCGATCCTTCTTCTAATATCGTGTTTATCATGGTATCAGAGCCTCTCATTGGATCGCGGGCTTAGGGTTTTTGTTCGTTGACTACTTCTGGTGTTCTTGGTTACTTGTCTTGCTGCTGCGTACTGGGTTCTTGGTTTTCATTGGCCGTGTCCTGGATTGTCTAGCGGCTGTATTTGGCGCCTCTTGTTCTCGCGCTGCTCTGTGGAGAATTTTTGGTATTCGGCCGATACTCTTGGCATTCTTCGGTGGGCGGCCTCTATTGCTGCTCGGTGGCCTGCTTCTTGCTGTTCGCGGCTTCTAGCTCTCGTTTGGGTTCTGTAGGCTGCCCTTTTTCTGTTCGCCGTGTCTGATGGAGGCCTCCAAGCTTGACTGTGTGTCTGTTCGCTTCAACGGCAAGAATTTTGCCTTGTGGGAACTTCAGTTCCGCCTATTCGTCCAAGGGCGTCGTCTCTCGTCCATTCTTGATGGCTCGAAGCCTGAACCTGATGCTACTGCTTCTGCCCAGGAACGTGAAGACTGGGCTGTTCACAATGCCCAGATCATGGTTTGGCTGCTCGGCTCCATGGATCCCTCGATCGCCTTGAGTTTGCGTGGCTTCTCCACAGCGCACGCCATGTGGAAACACCTTTCCGACATCCATTCTCAAGTCAGCTCATCGCGTCGGTTCGAGATTGAGATTGAGCTTGCTCGCCTTCACCAGGGTGAACTAGACGTTCGCTCATACTATCAGGAATCGGTTCGTTTATGGACTGAACATGATTTGTTGACATCCTCGCTGCTCTCCTCGGAGGCTTCGGCTGAAGTTCTTCGCGAACGTGCGAGCTCCCGGTTTATGCAGTTTTTTATGAAGCTCCGGGGAGAATTCGAGGGCATTCGTTCTTCCTTGATGCATCGCAATGTCACAACGTTAGAAGATGCCTTGGGTGAGTTAGTACGAGAAGAAACTCGCCTTCGTAGTCAGGCAAAGCTGGATCTCCACCAGTCAGAAGGCTCGTCTGCCTTTGCTGTCTCAGACTCGCGGACTGGCCAACAGGCCTCGGCTGCTGACTCTTCGGCGTTTGCGGTTGGGGAAGATCGCCCCAAGTTTCACCGTACCGCCTCGGGAGAAATTGTATGTTTTTTCTGTAAAGAGCCTGGCCACATTCAAAACCGTTGTCCCAAGCGCAATGTCTGTAACTACTGTAAGGCGTCTGGGCATAAGATTGGCGATTGTCCGATCTTGGCTAAGCGTGGTCGCACTCGTCCTTCCGGTTCCATGACGGGTGGCCAGCCTCGGGGGTCCGGTACGGGGGTTCCTTCGGGCTCCGCCTTTGCCACTACTGTTGCGACACCGTCCTCGACTGCGACCTCTGGGGGATCTGTGAATGCTGACTTGATTCGTCAGCTGGTTCAGGACGCTATTAAGGAGGCTCTCCCCGCTGCTCTTGGCTCTGTGTTCACTGCTGGTATGCCTTCTCGTTCCTCTCACTCTTGGCATATTGATTCCGCGGCATTTAATCACATGACAGGCTCTAGTTCTTCGTTTAGTTCTTTGTGTCCTACTTCTCCTCTTATGCTTCAAGTTGCGGATGGTACTTGCTTGCCTGCCAAGGGGATTGGTGATATTGATCACTCTCGTTTATCTCTCAAAGATACTCTCTATGTGCCGCATCTTGTGCCTAGCCTCGTCTCCGTTGGGCAGTTGGCCGAGCAGGGCTGCAAGGTAGTCTTTGATTCTCGTGGTTGTGTTGTGCAGGACAAGAACACAGGGAGGGAGATAGGCCGCGGGACTAAGGTGGGGCGTGTGTTTACTCTGGATAGTTACTATGGATCGCCTGCCAAGGGAGACGGAGGAGCGAGCCAGAGGAATCCGCGCGGTGCTGGTGGTGATAGTGTTGCTTGTGACTTTGATAATTTTTGTTATTCTGTTAAACTCTCGAACTGGGATTTATGGCATCGGCGGTTGGGCCATCCTCATTCGGCTAGATTATTGGATATGTTCAAGCAGAATTTGTTATCTGGCAGTTCAGTTTGTGATTCTAGTGACTGTGTTCATTGCATTCAGGCAAAACTCTCTCACCAGTCGTTTACTGCTAGTACCACTGTTTATTCCGATCCGTTTGATTTAGTGCATACTGATTTGTGGGGACCATCTCCTGTGACATCTCGTGTGGGGTTCCGGTATTTTGCCCTTTTTGTGGATCATGCTACAAGATTTGCTTGGGTTTACTTTCTTCGTCACAAATCCGATTTACTGAAAGTGGCGAAGGAATTTTTGCAAATGGTTAAAACGCAGTTCGGAAAGATGGTCAAGGTGATTCGATCTGATCCAGGAGGAGAGTTTGTTTCTGGTCCTCTCCAAGAAGTGTTTAAAGAGTGTGGTATTTTACCTCAACAGTCATGTCCGGGAGTGTCACAACAAAATGGTCTGGTTGAGCGTAAACATCGGCATGTTTTGGAGCTCACTCGCGCAATTTTATTTCAGTCTTCTGTTCCGTCTACATTCTGGGTTGAGGCGATTCACACTGTGGTTTATTTGATTAATAGACAGCTCACGCCCATTCTTGATCAACGCAGCCCGTATGAGGTCTTATTTGGAAAACGGCCGGCCTACAAAGAACTAAGAGTGTTCGGGTGTGTTTGTTACGTCTTACTACCTAGTCGTGAGCGTAACAAGTTGACTCCTAAGGCTGTGAAGTGTGTGTTCGTTGGCTATAGTGACAAACATAAAGGTTATGTTTGTTATGATGTATCAAATCGTCGGATCCGGATTTCACGTGATGTTGCTTTTTTGGAACATTTATCCTATTATGATCACAAGGATTCTGTTCCTAGACAAGACCTTGACTTCCTTCTTGCGCTGCCATCGTTTCCTGTTGAGGCAGCACCAGCTGGGCCTGAGCTTGATCCACCCCCGTCTCCTCCTCATGATGCAACTTCGTTTCAGCTGGAGCTGTCCTCCTCGTCCGCTTCTGGCTCGTCTCGGCAAGCATCCAGTTCCTCTGGGGATGCTTCGTCCCCAGTACACTCGCACAACTACACCTCGCCAGCGGACAGCCCCAGCTCCTCTCCTGATCACCATCTTGAAGACGTGGCGGAGGAACCTCCTCTCCAGCTACGTCGGTCAGATCGTCCAACGCGAGGGAAGCCGCCTGCTCGCATGACTGATTTCGTATCTTTCTCAACGACCCACATTCCTATTCCTGCTTCGTATAAACAAGCTCGAGGGCATCCCGATTGGGACGCGGCTATGACTACTGAAGTTACTGCTCTAGAGGCAAATCAGACGTGGGAGGTTGTGCCTCGGCCACTTAATGTGCCTGTCATTGGATCAAAGTGGGTCTATAATGTGAAACTCAACCCGGATGGATCTCTTGAGCGCTTTAAAGCTCGGGTTGTGGCTCAAGGGTTCCGACAGAATTTTGGTATCGATTATGAGGAGACTTTTGCTCCTGTGGCCAAAATGCAAACAGTCCGAACCTTGTTTGCCGTGGCTGCTATGCATGGGTGGTGTCTCAAACAGCTGGATGTTAAAAATGTGTTCCTTCATGGTGACCTTAAGGAGACTATTTATATGGAGTGTCCTCCCGGCTATCTGGGCGGCGACAAGTCGAAGGTGTGTCTTCTTCGACGTTCTCTCTACGGTCTCAAACAAGCTCCGCGTGCTTGGTTTGAGAAATTTCAGGATACTATTCTGCTGGCTGGGTTTACTCAAAGTAATAACGACCCCTCCTTGTTCGTTCGTCGCACATCAAGGGGTATCACGGTCTTGCTTATCTACGTCGATGATATGCTGGTGAGTGGGGATGACCTTCTTGGTATTCAAGAACTTACTCAAGTACTACATTCTGCGTTTAAACTCAAGGAGTTGGGTGATGTTTCCTACTTTCTGGGCTTAGAAGTTCATCGCTCACCGGCTGGACTACTGGTTAGTCAACAGAAGTACATAGTTGATCTCCTTGAGACTGCAAATATGGATGAATGCGAACCCTGTGCTACACCCATGGAGTTGAATTTGAAGTTGCGTCAATCTGATGGTGACCTGCTTCCTGACGGATCGTCTTATAGGAGCCTGGTAGGGAGTTTGATTTATCTTACTCATACCAGGCCGGATATTTCTTATGCGGTGCAGGTTGTTAGTCAGTTTATGTCCGCTCCTCATACTACTCACATGGTGGCTGTTTGCCGCATTCTTCGCTATCTGCGTGGGACGACTGATGTTGGTATGTTCTTTCCTTCCTCTGGTGATCCGGTCATTGAGGCTTATGCTGATGCTGATTATGCGGGTTGTTTGGATACTCGGCGTTCCACCTCCGGATGGTGTGTGAAACTTGGTCACTCGTTTATTTCCTGGCGTTGTAAGAAGCAAGAGCGGGTCTCTAAGTCATCTACTGAAGCCGAGTATCGCTCCATGTCCGAAGTGACCTCTGAACTAGTTTGGCTCCAGCGGTTGGTCACTGAGCTTGGACTTTCTTGTGTTCTTCCGATGCGACTATATGCTGATAATACCAGTGCTATTCGTATTGCCCTTAATCCTGTTCTCCACGACCGTACGAAGCACATTGAAGTCCATGTTCATTACATTCGGCAACTGGTTGCTGAAGGGGTGGTTGCATTGTCTTACATCGCTTCTGAAGATCAGACGGCTGACCTGTTGACTAAAGCTGTTGCGACGTCCCGTCATTGGTTTCTGGCATACAAATTGATGCTGCGTAAGCATCATCAAATTGAGGGAGGGTGTTAGAAGTATTGGGTGTTGATTGTAATTAGCCTTTAATCCTTGTGGTAGAAGTTTTGGTTAATTACGTTTTGGTCATCAAGTTAGGGTTATTCGGCCAGTATAAATATGTGACATTGGCTGAACTTGTAACCTAAGGATTCTTGGTTAATACAATTGACTCTGAGAGGTTGGCCCTCTCCGTGGATTAGTCTCAACAATACGTTGAGGATACCACGTAAATCGGTGTGTTCTGTGTTGCGATCCTTCTTCTAATATCGTGTTTATCACATCTGTCGCCAACATCACCCTTGTATGATGTTCGTGGATGTTGAAAATCAACATGTCCCCGCTTTCAAACAAGCAGAAAAATTCATCATCTCTGTAGCCAAGACCGATGCAAATTTGTTCCCTCTCTCCGCCTAGAGAGAAATCATACGTGTTCCAGAACCACTTATCACGACGACGAAGAGTGCTGAAATAGCGGTCGCCGTAGACCACAAGGATCATCCAATCATGAGCAGTGGGCATCGCCGAGAAGGCAACCTTGATTGGCCATGGGTTGAGATAGGTCCAATAATGCATTTCTAGGCCAGGCAATTTGATATAGTTGTCGGGATACCGGAGTAAGGGATTGTTTAAGCATGTATCGTGCTCTTAAACCACTTATATTTATAGAGTATATTATATTTAGTGTTTTGGTATGGGGAGATTGTTAGGACTATAGACATGCATTAAAAGGTGTAACAAAACATTTTATTGTTGGTTGATTTATAATATACTAATGGAATGCACTTGGTGGAACGGCCGATGAAGTGGTCAAGGATGAGTTATGAGGGGAAAATATTCTACCATTCTTTTCTCATTTATTGTTCTTGACACACTTTCTAATATAAGTGTGAGTTTTTTACTAGTCATTCATGTTCTACAACTAACGTAACTATTGTGATTCAAAGAATTAAGATATACAAATATATAAATTAATTATTAAAATTATTTAGTGTAATTAATTAAGATTCTAGTTTTTTGTTTAAAAAGATTTTTGCTCAAATCCCAAAATTGATTATTTTTTTACAAATAAGAAAGAAATAATTGTTAAGACAAAAAAAACTTTCCTTCTTGTATAAGAAAATTCGAAATGGAACATAACATTTATCATCCGGCTGCATGTATCTTGTAGATTCACAAGGTCGCTGACCATTTCAGCAGTTTTTGAGTTAAGAAAAAAAAATCATTCACAACAACCCATCCCACCACGCTTATTGTCACACTTTAGGCAAATCCCACATCGACAAAGTACGGGAAAGATCCATGATTCATATGTAAGAGACCGGCCTTAACTGACAAGACGCATTTTGAGGTGAAATAGAGAATCGAGCCATTACGCAGTCTTATACATGTATTAACAACAATTATGTGGTGGACATGATGATAAAAAGGTCTATAAAACTGGAGTATAAACGATATAATTTGATTTTCATAACGAAATTAGTCAATCGCATCATGAAGAGGTCGATCGGTGAGGACTAAAAATATGTAGCTAATGTTGCGGGGAGAATTATGAACACAACAAGCCCCACAATTGCCATAGGATCTTCCATCCAGATATGTAAGATACCCCACATAAGTCATACTCTCTTGTTGCACTTTAATTGAGGTTGCCATGCTGTTATAATATTATTGGCTTAAAAAACATCAATACAATGATATACATAAAAGAGATCATCAGTACAATAATGATACACAAAAAGCCTGAAAATGAATTCAAACACTCATGTAACCTCGTCGGCCGACCACTCCACAATTAGTGGGTTAGTTTTAGATTAATAAAAACTTTGGACTATAATCATGAAAATTATAACTAACCCAAAAAGACCGTTACTTTAAAAAATGATCATCAACCCCAAAAAAGACCCGCTAATTTTCTTGGTCTCGGTTTTCCTACGTACGTTTTTGGACTTGGTTTTGTGTCTATATAGACATGGCGCCGTTTACTTACAGAAGCTAGCCAGCTAGCTGGAGCCTTTTAGACTAACTCCAACCCATAAAAGTCAAATTTGGCTCCCAAATAGCCAAATATGACTTTCTAGCTTCCCAAATCTCATTTTTCACTCCAACCCTACAAAAAGTTAATTTAGCTTCTCACCTTTTTTTTCAATTTATTTCAATAAACCACACTTATTTGGGTCTATTTTTTATATTTCACTTATAAATTTTTAATAGTTAGTTATTAATTTTGAAAATAAATTTTTTGATGTAACTTTTTTTTTGATTCTGAGAAAAATAAAAATTCAGAAAATTAGTCGTTATTTCGTCACTATTTATTTATTTCTCATTCAAATGGTTGGAGAAAAAAAAATTATAACCAATTGAAATTGGAGAAGAAAAGAAGGAAAAGAAAAAGGAAGGGGTGGTCCCGCCGCAGGGCCCCACTTTTGCCAGCCAACCAATCAAAAATTGAAGAAGAAAAGAAGAAAAAGAAAAGTGAGGGGCGGTCCTGCCGCAGGGCCTCCACTTTTGCCAAGCCAAATATGACTTCTCTTCTCCAAATCTAGCCAAATTTGGCTCCTAAACATCAAATACCAATATTTAGCTCCTTTTTTTTTTGTGGGTTGGAGGAAGAAAAAGAGCCAAATATGACATTATAGCTTTTTAGCTCCTTGGGTAATTGGGTTGGAGCCAGTCTTACATAGTAAGAAATCGATGACTAGCCATCAGAAAGTGAGGGAAGGCGAAAATACAATACAGCAAGAAGACACGAACCTTACCCAGGAATAGGCTTTTTGACTAGATAGTAAACATAAATCGTAGGCCAAAAAATAATAAATATATATATATGGTGAATACTGGTGTACGTCAGGCGTATAGTGCATGTTGCATGTTTGTGTCTTCTAGAAAGTGAATAAAATATCAAAAGTCGTATCGCCGGTCGATGTAACATGAAGGCGACTGAGGACAGACCATATAAAAACATGGATACCAAATCATGTTTGGTAACTTCCTTAATTATTGGATATCTCACTCATATTACAAAGTTAGGTGTAGTTTAAAAGAGGTTATAATTCATTTTCAATCTTTGATATGAAGTTCAAAGATATGTATGTGTATGAATTGAGGGTGATATTAGTGAGTAGGGGTGGTTATACGGTCCGGTCCGGTTAAATTGGACCAAATTGATCTGGTCTCAGTCCGGTCTTTTCGGGAATATAAGGATCAAAGATTGGATTGGATACAGTTCGATCTTGATCCGGTCCGGTCCCAATTTGATCTTGGATTTAGGTGTTGGGGGTCTCTTATCCGGTGTTTATCCGGATTTTTTTTTATCTCAAATCTAATCCCGAATATGAGATTGGATTGTTTGCTATCCAGTCCCAGTCCGATCCCGGTCCGGGTTATACGGTCCGATCCCGGTCCGAGTTATGCTATCCAGTCCCTATTAGTGAGTGACGAGATTATATGACATGTATCAACCAACCCTCTCATAGTTTCGAGTTGACAGAAGAGGTAGGTCAAGATAAGATCGTATATCATTTGCTTACAAAATGACAAGCAACGTATGAATCTATTTGCATATCATATGCTCAACACAATTATTAGTTTTAAGGGTCGTCAAGATTCAGATACACGAGACATATCGGTATACGGCTCTAACACCTCATCGGAAAATTAACAACTCACTGGAAAAATTAATAGCTCATCGCAATAAATCGAAGTGTTTGAACTTTGAAGGGACTCGAGATATTATCTTATATCATCCCTTACAACAGGATGTGTATCAACCACCATGGTATATAAATTTGCGTTAATTTCGATGAAGGATATCCTCTTGACATAAAGAAACTTCATGATGATTGGGAATTATATATTGGAAACCACCAAATATTATGCCTAAGATGTGATTTGAAGTGACGACATGACTCATATAGGGATTGTTGAGTAATTATGTGTGTCTTCCGGTTCAAGTCACATTTTTATTAAGATTTCGTACCAAATAAATGAAGTTAGGCTAGCTTTCATCTTTACTATAAATTAAATGGGGCAACCACTCAAACGTACCCTATGCCACTAAAGCCTAAATACACTACCGAGTAGTGAGATAGCGTCAAAGGCTCAAATTTGAAGTTGATGAGGGCTGAGTTACGTGGTCCGAATTTTCACTGTGAAATTGTGTTAGGTTTGCGTACAATTATATATAGTGGGGTTTCGTCACTAATTATTGTATCAGTTTTTGGATTTGGGTGTGAAGGAAGAAAAAGCTATATATCTACCTTCTTTGGGTTTCCTTTCCCATCTTCATAAATTAGTTACACTTATAGTGGACAGGTGTCTTTGTCTGTCCAAAAAGAAACTCTATTTTTTTTCTACAAAAGGGACTAAAGGCAATTTCTCATGAAATCACTTTGCGATTTGATTATGATATATATATATATATTTCGTGGAGTAGATGATACAAAACTCTTTGGAGCTGCTGTTAATCATTCTTTGGTGTCATATGTAATAGCAAATAGGGATGCAAATGAGTCGAATTGCAGCAGTTATCCACAAACATGTAACTCATCTATCCAGCACACCATCCAAATTACTCGATCAAATATACGTGTTGGACATTGGAAGAGTGCAAATCATACGCACTCAAGAGATATTCTTGCGTTGATAGTGATGAATACACAATTTTCAAATTCTGATATTTCCAAATTATCAAAATTACTCCTACAATGCACTACATTGTTATAAGACCGTTTAAAAGTGAAACAATATCATTTGGGGGGGGGGGTGTGTGTTTCAAAATTAACATTTAGGGTGACATGAAATAGAGGAGAAATAGGAAAATTGAGTAGAATACTGGTGAGTACGAGTTGGGTTGCCACCCTCCATAGATAAGAAGATGACCGGCCAAGTATCCCCAAACTCATCCACCTCGGTTTATTTTTGAAAAGGTTTCCTACCTAACAGAACAATACGACTAAATAGAACTAACAGATTAGGTAGACACTATTAGTAATTGATATAAAATTAATAATTAAACATTTCTAAAAAATCCAACATATTGAAACTAATTAGTTCTTGTTATGCTATCAGAGTCTTCATTCTTCAATAATAATCAAGAGGTCTTGCGTTTGATTTCTGACGACCTTCATTTGTTAATCACATGATATTCGAACATGTGCAAATTTTAAATTCAAAGAATTGAGTTTCATTTGATGTGACGTGCTAGTAAATGATATAGAATTCATACTTTTTTTTATAAGGTTGACATTCAATTAATTAACAAGACTACAGAAAGGAAAATGCAAAATGAAAGATATAGAAACTGAAATTCTGCAGAGGAGCTGCAGAAAAGGGACAAATCGAGGAAGCCATTCATAATTAAACAGCTCCAAAAAACTTGAGTCATTGGAATCAACTGATTTTTATAGAGCCAACAAAAATTGAAGTTGGAGTAAATATTAGGAAGATAAACAAATCAAGAAAATGAAAGAACTAAAAAGAATCTATGGTAGACCCAAAAGTTGATATTCCATTATTTATTGCCAATGTTCTGAAACACGTTCATAGAGGACAGTGAGAACTAAGTAGGAGATCACGTTATGACCGATAACACAACTATCACGTGTCTAATGTCTATTGTACTTCCTTCCGTAAATATATAAATGCGCCTTAAACATCCCCTACATTTCCAATTAACAACAACACATTTCAGTGCTAAATCCACAAAAAAGAAGCACTCGCAGTCCCCGCCGGCCGTCGGTCGCCACCATATATGGAGACCAAACAGCACCACGCCGTTCTGTTCCCATTCATGGCGAAAGGCCACATCATCCCACTCCTCCACTTCGCCCACCTCCTCCTCCGCCGCCGCATCCACGTCACCATCGTCACCACCCCAGCCACCCGCTCCTTCGTCGCCGACCACCTCGCTGGCCACCCTTCCTCCGACGTCGTCACCATCCCTTTCCCGCAGCTGGGAATCCTCCCTCCCGGCGTCGAGAGCTCCGACAAGCTCCCTTCCATGTCCCTCTTCCCTCGATTCGCCATGTCCACCAAGCTCATGCAGCCGGACTTCGAGCGCGCCCTCGGAACCCTACACGGTACCCGACCCGTTGACTTCTTGGTATCCGACGGCTTCCTCGGTTGGACGTTGGAGTCCGCCAACAAGTTTGGGATCCCTAGGTTGGTGTTCTACGGGATGAGCTGCTACGCTTCGTGCATTTGTAAGGCCCTTGGATTCAGGTAGAGTAAGATATTAACACTGTTAATAATAATTCATATTAGCAATCAACTTGCATGGGTCCAAAAAGTTACTGATAGTTACTTGATTGGTTATAATCACGCTTTTTTAGTTACTATTAACACAGTTGATGTATGTATTTTTTTGAAATTGAATTGATAATTGAATAATTTTGTATTAAATGTATTCATTTTTAAGTTATAAATTTCTAATATATTATGATAGATATCAAACTTTTAAACGTGTGTTAATCCATAATATTAAAAGCATAATGTATTCCTGCCATATTTTACGGGTCCAGATCAGGTCAGTAACTGATGGGTGAGTAACCCATCAGTAACCCCTTCCATGGTCCCCACGTGTCAGTCACTTTTTTATTTAAATTAAATGTGAAAAGGGCAGTACAGTAAAATTGCATTTTCTCCTATTTATTGCTGAGGCTGACTTTTGAGCGTACCACATCAGCGCCTCCTTCTCTCTCCTTGCAAAATATTTAATTTTCCTTCCCTTAATCTTTAACGGACGATTTCTCACTCGTTTTAAGTCGAAATTTAATTTTTTTTGCACAGTTAGATCATTGTGCTCTTTAAAATGATATCCACTTTGATATTTTTTGGACACAAAAAAATTTGTCAGTTATTACCAGTTATACCATATGGTATTTGACTGTACCATATGGTATTGATTGGTATTAAATAAGAGCATACCATATGGTATGGAAATTTTTGCCACATGAATATATATTTCGTTACTACCATATGGTATAGTGTGGTAATATCAATATATATTTCGTTACCACCCAATACCATATGGTATAGTGTGGTAATATCGATATATATATTTCGTTACCACCCAATACCATATGGTATAGAGTGGTAATACCAAAATATATTTCGTTACCACCCAATACCATATGGTATAGTGTGGTAATATCAATATATATTTCGTTACCACCCAATACCATATGGTATAGAGTGGTAATACCAAAATATATTTCGTTACCACCCAATACCATATGGTATAGTGTGGTAATATCAATATATATTTCGTTACCACCCAATACCATATGGTATAGAGTGGTAATACCATATGGTATAGAGTGGTAATACCAATATATTTTTCGTTACCACCCAATACCATATGGTATAGTGTGTTAATATCAATATATATTTCGTTACCACCCAATACCATATGGTATAGAGTGGTAATACCATATGATATAGAATGGTAATACCAATATATATTTCGTTACCACATAATACCTTATGGTATAGTGTGGTAATATCAATATATATTACCTAAAAGAAAGGGGGGAAAACAAAAAGAGAGAGAAAAAAAACTTGTCTTCTGTCTCATCTCATTTCATCCGCAACCAAAGAACACCAAACGCCAAAAAAGGAGAAAAATCGAAATTAAAGCTAACGAGTTGATGAAGAGAAGAAACGCAATTAAAGAGGGTCACTTCAATTTTTATTTGTCGATTGCTAGAGAAAAAAATGAAGATGGAATAGAGAAAGAGAAAGGATCTGGAAAAATATTGGAAAAAGGAAGAGAGAATGAATAAAGTAGAGTTGCAGAGAAATGGAGATTGTGAGAGAAAAAGTAAGAGAGAAGGAAAAGTGAAAGAGAAAGGATCTGGAAAAATATTGGAAAAAGGAAGAGAGAAGGAAGAGAGAAGGAATAAAGTAGAGTTGCAGAGAAAGGGTTATTCTTTTTTTTTCATTGAAAAGTCAGCCATTGAAATGCGGAATAAATAAAAAAAAAATTAAAAATACAAAAGCAGACAAAAATGCCCTTCCCCACCCCTGCGTCCAGCCAACCACACGATTCCTCCATCCCCTAGATCTACGGCTCCCAAGTGTTTACTGATAGGTCAGTAACCAGTGGTTACTGACCCTATCCCAAACCATATTTTACTACCACTAATTACCGTACAAATTAACTAATACTAATGGTTCTTCTTTCTTCTTTAATTGACTCGTGGTTCGACCGCTTATGTCATTATTCCAGGTAACCAGGAACGAAATTGAGCCGCCATTTAGCGACCCGGAGCCCAAAGGCCCATACTTCGACTTCCACATCTCGTGCTTTGTTTCGTCCGCCAACAGCTTCGGTTTGATCGTCAATGGCTGCTACGAGATGGAACCGTTTTTCGTTGACCATTGGAATCGCCACGCGCTGCCTAAGGCATGGTGCGTAGGGCCCTTTTGCCTAGCCGAGCCTGATAACAGATCAAATAGCAATACCACCAATGGTCCAATAGTGCTCCAACCCAACAACAAAGCACTAGCGTGGTGGATGAAGTGGTTGGACCGAAAGCTCGAGCAAGGAATTCCAATCCTCTACGTGGCATTCGGGTCCCAAGCCGAGATATCCTCTGACCAAGTCAAGGAGATCGCTCGGGGGTTGGAAGAATCTAGGGTGAGCTTCTTGTGGGTGATAAAGAATCGCGATTTGGAACTCGAGGAGGATCGGTTCGAAGATCGAGGGGTGGTGGTTCGAGAGTGGGTTGATCAGCGGGAGATACTAACCCACCCGAGCGTCCAAGGGTTCTTGAGCCACTGCGGGCTGAACTCCACAATGGAGGCGATCTCTGCTGGGGTTCCGATTCTGGCGTGGCCTATGATGGCCGAGCAGCCGTTGAATGCTCGAATGGTGGCCGAGGAGATAAAGGTGGGACTTCGAGTCGAGACGTGTGATGGGTCGGTCAAAGGGTTCGTGACTCGAGTCGGGCTGAGTAAGATGGTCAAGGAGTTGATGGAAGGAGAGAGAGGAAAAGAGGCAAGGAAGAGGACTAAGGAGTATGGGGAAATTACTAGAAAGGCCATGGAAGAAGGAGCCGGTTCTTCGTGGAGGAATTTGGGTTTGTTGATTGGTGAAATTTGCGAGAGGAAGGAGGCATAAAATATGGATTATCTTTCAATTATGATATACTGCAAATTGTTTGTATGAACGACGCACAAATCAATGTGTATATTCAGATTTGGTATTTAACATTTGAAAATAATCAGAGCATGCATGTAACATTGCAATAATTTGTTTGTATGCACTATGAAGGACTGTGATCCGTTGTAGTTTCCTATTTGAAAATGTGTTTGTGTTTTACAATTATAGAAAATAATTTGTTATTGTGGAATTATATATAGATAACTCAGTGACTTAATTTGTCCAACAGAATCAATATTGATATCGACAAACTAACATATACACATAACTGTGTGTGCACAATTAACTTTGCTCATGCTAATCAAATCTAACACTCATTAACATTGAAGATTAGTATATATTCTACATAACATCTCTCTTTCATTTTAGTATCGGGCAAGGATGTATACTGTTAATTGATCTGGGAGTTTAAATGTTATTTCCCATCAAATCAAACCCCTCCCAACTTTTTACTCCTTGAGTGGATTTAGTCATCATATAATGAAAAGATGGTGATGGCAACTTTACTTAAATAATTAACAATAGGGGTACTGAGATTTGAGTCCAAATCCTAGGATATGGTCATGATACATGTGATTTCTGCGAAGGCAAAGATCATGCAAAGATTTTTATATGTGTTTTGGAGTGTTGATGTCGTATTTAAAGTGATTAATTAATACAACACCAAATAAATATAGGATGTTTCTATAATGTGCATACCCTTAACTATTTGTGTATGTTTTTTATGCACCCAGTTTTATAATAATTATTTTAAACTATCTAGAATACTGTTAAATCTCAAAGTGATTTTAAATTTTACTCAGTACAACAATGAAAAAAGAAACTAATTGTGAACTTGTATGAAAATTATTTTTTTTGTTCTTAAGTAAATCAAAATTAAGATTCTTTCCAAATAATTTTGGAAATTGAGTATGTTGATCATTATAAGAACAAATTTATGAATCAAAATGCATAAAGTAGCTATAGTTTGTAATTCTATACTATATCATCACATCAACCATATAATGTAGACAACTAAAGTTTGAAAATGAATGATTAAAGTGTGCATATTATAAACGTGTCGAACAAACATGTATTTATCTCGTATAAAATAAACAAACAAGTATTAGGTTCTCATGTTATGGGTATTACCCTTATTATGATGCATGCCACCTTGGAACACAAATTTATGAAGCAAGTCTCTGCCATTGATCCACAGCCATTGTTGGTAACTGATGACGATTGAATAGGTTGATTGCACGACTAATCAATCCTAGTTTGTTAAGTAGAGTGGTAAATTAAATGGTATCGTCTTGTACGTATGATTATAATGTGGCCACATGCCTCAGCGAGATTGATTATATGAATATATCTATGGCGGCCGGCTGGTTCAAAGTCGCAAAAGCGCCATCAGCCAATTACACGCGGTAGCTGAAACCTTGTCGTCATCGAGCAATCTGGAATATGCTTCTTCTACTTCTTCATTGCCATTATTTAGAAGAAAAATTGAAGTCCTCTAGAAGCTTTGATTCCACGAGAGCGTTTGTTTATTGTTTTGCTTTTTCTCTGTAAAATATAAAATAGTAATTCCAATTTTATACGGGTTTTATTCAGGTTAAAGGAGAATAAAGCAATGTCAATAAAAAATAATGTCGTTAAAGGAGAATAGCGAAAATTCATCAAACTTGAGATATTTAACCAATTTTAAGTAATCGCGAATTAAATAAAATATTGTTAGTGATAAACATGAATTTTTAGTAATCCAGTGACCAAACTTGCAATTTATGGATGTAGGGTTAGTTTTTTTTATGATGGTGAGATTTTATTAGGAGAGTTAGGGTTTAGGTTTACAATTTGGAATTTTGCATTGGGATTTAAAATTAAAGATAAAGGGGTTAGAGAAATGGATTGATTAGTTTTGATTCTATGTTATATCATTATATTAGATTAACTCTATGTTATATCAATTGAATGCACCCAAAAAAAGCGAGAGCCGCCACTATATATATATATATATATATATATATTTAAAGAGGAAGTAAACTTTGTTTCTTTACAAGAGAAGCAATTGAGTTCACTTCTTACTATTGATTCAGGCAGGCCTCTTCATTGGTTTCTTACTTCAGACGTGATTATTGTTAATGAAATGAATTTTTTTAAGGTAAAGATGATATATGTTTGTTTTCAATTATAAAGTATTACTTGAGTGATTTGAGAATGTTGATATTATAGTTTATTCTTTATAATGGGAAAGATCATCCAAACAAGTAAACATAAATATCGTCAAAAATTAAATGAAAGTACATATATCTTTATTAACATAATAATTTTATGTCTTACAATTTAATGTGTATCCATGGCACATGTGATATAGGGAAAATAGGTCATACATGCATAAATATTGCTCTCCATCTTATATTAAGCCAAAATTCAAGAATGTTTAGATAATGACTATATGAAATTTGCATGGTTGAGGATCAATTCATTTTATGGTGATGTATTTATGATGAAAATTATTTAATTTTTTATAGAAAAATGAAAGGAAAAGTGTTAATCATACGGAAATTATTTATGTTTTTTGTTTGTTTAAGTAATTAAAAAATTAAGCTTGTTCCGTATACTTTTTGGATTTGATTATGCTGATCATTATAAATGTAAATTTGTGCATCAAAATGCATACAGTAGTTATGGTTTATAGTTCTATACTATATCACATAAAACAAATAATGTCAACAACTAAAGCTCAAAAATGAAGGACGCACTGAACAAACATTTATTTCTCTCGTACCTATTAAATGAAGTATTAGGCTCTCATGTTATGGGTATATACCTTAATTATGAGGCCACCTTGAAACACTAATTCCATTGTTGGTAACTAATGACGATTGAGTAGGTTGATTGCACGACTAATCAATCCTAGCTTGTTAGGTAGGGTGGTAATTAAACGGTTTCGTCTTGCACGCATAATTTGACCACGTGCCGCAGTGTGATTGACTATATATGATGGCCGGCCGGTTCAAAGTCCCAAAAGCGCCATTACACGAGGCCATTGCAAGAAACCCTGTATACGAAATACCAAGGATTAAACTACCGTACCGTATTGGCAGTTCAACCTGAAAAACCTCTTATCGGCAGGGCCGGCCAAGAGGGTGTGCTGGCCCGCCCTCCGGCACAGGGCCTCAGAATATTAGGGGCCTCTACTTAGATTCGTTAGTTATCGATCGTATATTGTAGGTTGTATTTTTAGTGTATGATTGATTGATTATGAGTATGAATGTATGATGATGTGTTTAATAGATAATTTTAGCTATAATAACAATTGAAAAGGATCTCATGGAGACTACGAAAATCTGAAAAATAATAGATAATTTTAATTTAAACAATATAGAAAGATATTACATTTTGAATAATGTTATTATAATCATTTTAGTTTTATTATAGTTAAAGGTCGATTTGGACCACGTCTAGATTTTGAAATAGGGCCTCCACGATCTAGTAGACAACCCTGCACCCACCTCTCGATCAATTTAGACTATTTTCATTTCTCCATTCAATTTTTGCGCTATATCAATTTTCTCTTCCTTCCAGATTTACTTTCCTCCCTACTAGGGATGGGAATTCGGTCTTGGTTTCTTGATCAAACTGGAAACGAGATCGTTTATTCCTGATGTAATCTTTTTCTGAACTTAAGTATTTTTTTACAATTATTTACTAATTTTTAATTTTGATAAATTTATGGGGAAAAAATTAGGGCCACATTTTAAATTTTCGAACAGGGCCTCCAAATATTATGGGACGGCCCTGCTTATCGGAAGCAAAATCGGTAGACGGTATTTATCGTTTTAGTTGAATCATGATTAAACCACGGTTTTATCATAAAATATCCTACCACTGACTTTTCCGGTATGACCCATACCTCCGGTACAGTTTCAATCCTTGCGAAATACTAATAACCGTTACTACTCTACTAGTGGTCAACAATCAGAGTACGTAACTCTCTCAACAAGATATGGTCATTGTTTGTGGTCGATCGACGTTTGGCAGATGGTCGTTATTATTGTTGTGCGTGCCAATTATTGAAGTAAAGACATGGAGCTGCCTGCTCTGCTGGTCACTCACACTTTCATTAATCTCGACCCACTTTCCTGGGGACCTCAATCGTATGGTTCTAAAGTTAGAATTTTGTGTAAAAATTCGAATCCATACAAAATGAGCAATTCAAATTGTCTTGACCAATTATTTATACGTCGAACCAACAATATCGTGAATTCTGGACGGACGTATGCTAATCGCTACTACTTAATAAGTGGTCGAAAATCGGAGTTGCTCGCTCCACAAAATCCTCACTCTTTGTGGTCGACGTTTAATTTGCCAGATGGTTGTCAACTTGTGAGTGTGCGCGGCAGGTTGTCCAATAAATTCTTGGACGGACGGACGGACGGACGGAATTTGAAGTTGGAATAATTGTTAACGTGACAGAACCATTTTGGTAGGGAAGAAGTGATATTTACATAACGCTTGTCGCTCTCCTGTACGTCTATATATACACCACCCGCTGCTCTATTAAATCTCAGTCGGTAGGTATTAGTATAGGTAGATACAGCAAAGGCCAAACCGCTTTCATTTCACATCCTTCACAAACCACAATCATGGGTACGGAGGTCGTTGCAGCGCCAGTCGCCGCCGCCGAAGTCATTCCACCCGGCGGCACCGTTTGTCACGCCGTGCTTTTCCCGTTCATGTCAAAAGGCCACACAATCCCCATCCTTCACCTCGCCCGTCTCCTCCTCCGCCGCCAAATCACCCTGACCATCTTCACCACCCCCGCCAACCGCCCCTTCATCACCGCTTCACTCCCCACCGGCGCCGCCGCTTCCATCGTCGAGCTCCCCTTCCCACAAGACATCCCGGAAATCCCCGCCGGCGTCGAGAGCACCGACAAGCTCCCTTCCGTCGACTCCCACTTCCCCCACTTCGCCCTCGCCACGGAGCGCATCCGTCCCGACTTCGAATTGGCGTTGGAAAATCTCCGGCCGCGGCCGAGCTTCATGGTCTCCGACGGCTTCCTCTGGTGGACCCAGGACTCCGCCGAGAAGTTCGGGATCCCGCGGCTGGTCTTCTACGGGATGTCGAATCACTCCGGCTGCGTGTCTAGAGCCGTGGCCGTCGACCGGCTCCTGTTCGGCCCCGAGTCCGACGACGAGTTGATCCCCGTGACTCAGTTCTCGCGAGTCAAAGTTTGCAAGAGCGACTTCGACGACTGGGCCCGATCGCCCGACCCGAAGGGTCCCCACTTCGATTTCGTTATGAAATCCGTTGTCGCTTCCTCGCGAAGCTACGGTTCCGTGATGAATAGCTTCTACGAGTTCGAACCGGTTTTCGTGGATCATCTAAACGGTCTCGGGACACAGAAGTACTACTCCGTGGGCCCTCTTTGCCTTGCTGACGTGGACGACGACAACTGCGGGAAAGAGGCCGTATTAGCCGCTGAGTCGAAGCCGGCTTGGATTCGATGGCTGGACGAGAAGCTGGTTGAAGGTAGGTCGGTGTTGTACGTGGCGTTTGGGTCCCAAGCGGAGATATCGGAGGAACAATTGGAGGAGATAGCGTGTGGGTTGGAAGAGTCCGAAGTGGATTTCTTGTGGGTGATAAGAAAGGGAGGCGGTGGGTTGGAGGAGCGAGTGAAGGGGAGAGGGATGGTAGTGGGAGAATGGGTGGACCAGAGGGGGATACTGGGCCACGCCAGCGTGCAAGGGTTTTTGAGTCATTGTGGTTGGAATTCAGTGATGGAGAGTGTCTGCGCTGGAGTGCCGATGTTGGCGTGGCCGATGATGGCGGAGCAGCCGTTGAACGCGAGGATGGTGGCGGAGGAGGTGAAGGTGGGGATCAGAGTGGAAGGTTCGGGGAGAACGGGGTTTGTCCAGCGCGGAGCTTTAGAGAAGGTGGTGAGGGAGTTGATGAACGGTGTGGAGGGAATGGAAGTGAGAAGGAACGCGAAGGCGTACGCAGAGAAGGCTAGGAAAGCTATGGAGGAAGGGAGCGGCTCGTCGTGGAAAACATTGAACTTGTTAATTCACGACTTGTGCAGCAAGACAAAAACTGAATACTAGTAACTATTTTGCTTATTGTTTAATTTCCACCGTCAAATTAGCAACTCTCATAAATAAATGAGCTTTCATGAGCCCTCATTGTGTTGGTCCAATTTTAATCCCAACCGGGGATTGGATAGAAAAGAATATGTTCATTATTTTCTTTTGGTTTATGTACATATCATAAATATTAAAAAAATAGAAAAGAATAATAAGGTAATTTTGTATTTTAAATTTTAAATCTTAAACCCTTAGATCCATGATCCATAATCTTTTGGTTTGTGTACATATCAACAAACAAAGAATTGTTTTAAATCTATAATCTTTCAAAGTCTTAATAAATTTTCAGATTTTTAAATCACAAATCTTCATTTTTACATCCATGAAGCAAATAATGATGCCTTACTTGGTCGCTCACTAAGTCACTAGTTGTTTTATTTTCCTTCTTTCTATCAAGCCCATGTTTAGTTATACTTTGCACATTAAACGTATCACCATTTTTAGTAGCCATCTTCATCATAATCAAGAAGTCTAGCCGGCCAAAGCACAAACATAGTACCAGTGGCGGAACCAGGATTTCAAAGTACATGTGTCATCTTTCTATAATATAAATAATTATTTAATGAATATAATTAAAATTTATAATATATAAATAATTATAATGAAGAAAAATTAGACTAGCACAGTCATTATTTTCATAAGAAACCACGACGTATTTTCACATTCTCAATGTATCAAACTAAACAATTATTAGCAAATTGGTCGTAATTCAATTTTGAAACTTATTTTTAATATTGCGCAAAGCTGAAAATGTTCTTTCTACACTTGCAGTAGCAACAGGTAGAGTCAAAAATAACTTCTAGTTTATGATATTTTCATTTCAACAATAGAATCGGTACGAAACTATAAATCATATAATTTTAACTGATTAATAGTAAAAATAACCCATGGAACAATGTTAGTTAACGTTTTAGGTTCTATAAACTATTTTGCCGAGTAATTCTCCCTATAAATCAGCAACTCGTATAAATAATGAGCTTTTATGATATGGAAAGAGGGTCCCACCAAAGTGACGTCCACAACCACGAATGTGAACTCGAAATCATACTTTGATACCATTTATTGAGGCCAAATGGTTCAATTAGTACAATATTTTTCTGGTTTCAGCCAAACCCACAAGAATTTCTTTTGAATTTCTTTGGCCAATATTCCTCACACTTATGAGTTTAATAGACACTAATATATATGAATATCTTCCCTTATTTTTTTTATAGCACCCTAACACAATCCAATCGATTTTTATATTTGATCTTCTCGAGATGTCTTCCATTTTTCCTGGTCAAAGATAGCTTCTACATTAATGAAACAAAATGGTACTTCAAAATGTCCACCATATACTCATATAGAATAGCAATCCGAGCGGAGCAACCCATGGGCATTGGCCACAGCCAAGAAGCTCAACTCGCCAAGTAGCTAGAACGTAACCTCTCAGTCGGATCTCACAATGCAACGGGATTCCATATTCTTAACCTAGTATATATATATGGTTGGTTCCATCTTCCAAGAGAATAGAGAGTTTTTGTCACACCCACCATTTTTTTTTCTAGTGTAGAATCTTCATCATGATCAAGAAGACCAGTCAAAGAACAAACATAGTACTGATCATAAGCTTAGTTTGGCCGCGGTAGTTTTTGCAGAAGCAGCTTCTGGCTGGAGCTTTTAGATAAGTACTTTTCGAAAAAAGCAGTTGAGTGTTTGGCTGTAAAACTATTAGAAGTGCTTTTTAATATGAAAGATTGTGTAAAATGACTATAAAGGACTTATAATATAAAATATGAATAAAAATTCTAAACGATAAAAAGTAAACAAAATGAATCTTGTTAGATTTCTTTTATATTAAATAATATGATTTTATAATTTATTTTATTTTTAAAATGATATAAATGAAGGAAAATTATATTTTCTGAAATAAGATTAAAATATGGTAAGGATAATCTTGTATCTTCAAAACAGCTTTTCGCAGAAGCTCCAAATCAGAGCTTCTGCTTTTATGTTATACAAAAGCGCTTTTCGGCTTTTCAAAAGCCGAGCTTTTACAGGTGTTTGGCCCTGCTTCAGCTTTTGAAGTCTAAAAACACTTCTAAAAGCCGGGCCAAACATAGGATAGTCGAACCAGCTGCGGGAAGCTATTAATTATATGCTTGGAAACAGGAATATTTGGCCGAACGGTCGAGTATATATAAAGCCAGCTACAGCGAGCTAGGAATTAATAAGCATTACTAAGAATGAGCTCATCATCAGGGACAGGGAATAGTACTTATAGTCATCATGAGGTGATGACGATGATGGTGACGGTGACGGTGGTGTTGTCCGTGATGTCTCCCGGAGTTCCTACGGCGTCGGCTGTCATAGACGGGATTTGCGACGCGGAGTCGTTCCCCATCGGCGATCAGAGGATCCTTTGTGTATCCATGTTGCTGGCGAACATGGTTGGGCTGGATTTCCCGGTGAAGAAGGGTGGATGGTACATGAGCGAGGACTGCGCCAAAAACACGACTCTCTACGGTTACAGGACGGCCGGCGAGGGCGCGAGTGGGTGTATGTACGAAGCCCAGGATTACCTCGAGTACCAGAACTGCCGCTACCGCATCGGAGGTCAAGCATGGGGCACCGGATGTTACATGAGGTTTGAGGTCTACCCCTTTGAAATATGATCAAATGTCTAAACCACAGAATTATATTAAACAGGAATATGTGGCATGATACTATATTAATTCCAATTCTTAAAATTAAATCCCGAGTGGTTTAGTTTGGTTTATGTAGTATGTTGGATAAGCATATATGACTTATGATTTAGCCATTAGAATTTAAAGCATGATATACGCGTTAAATTCTGGTTAAATTTCGATTAAGTCTTTTTTATTCTTCTGTCGGTTTATTATCTTCCTGTAATAAAACTCATGTAATGGTCTGCAGCCTTATATATGAATAAGAAAAAATAAGAGAAGATGATCGAGAAGTTTTATGCAAATAATTAGTGACCCTCATGACGGGTTAATTGTCTCATGGATTCACTGATACGAGAACAAAAAGGAATACTGTATTCGAACTGTGAGAGAGCAAATTCGAATTCAAACAGCGTTAAGTGCGAAATGAGGCGGGTAGTGAAGAAGGCGTTGACTTGATTGGTAATACATAATTGCATAGTTGCTCAGATATTATCAACTCCTACACTAATCGAATATCGAGATTAGCATTTCATTTTGGTATCGATCGGTTCGAGGTTGAAATTATGTTCTTTATAATGTATTTTTCAGCAAATCCAACGACCATCTTATTTTCCTTCATACTAGAATTTACACTTAGCAAACTTGTCTACGGATGCATATAACTAAGTAATTGTTATATGGGAGCGGATAGAGTACAAAATACATATATTACAAATCTGAATTTCTAACCGGCCATATTTGCTCCCATATGATGGGGAAACACACTGATAAATAAAAGGGGCCGGTGGGAATGCTAATTTTCTTTTTCTTGATAGCCTGTGTAACATCCCGAACCTCTTCCTGATGAAGATATTGTCTGCTTTGTATCTCGAACAACACGGTTTTTGCTTTGGCATTCCCATAAAGTTATCCATCCTTGTTGTACCTCACACTGAGCACGTTTAAGTACTTCGGAGTTCTCACAAAAACTCCTCCATTTCATCCCAAAACAAATCTTGTACCATGGATCTATCCCGTACATTGCCAATGTGAGATTTGCCTAAAGTGTTATAGCATGTCACGAATCTCAGAGGAGAGAGGGAAAACATTTTGACCAGTCAAATATTGTATTTTCTGATCATCCAATTTTCTTAATTGGGTCATATTTCGTTCGTTTTAACTCGGAATTTAAACAATTTGCACAGAAATATCGCATTAATGAAGATCTACAGAGTGATATCCATTTTTATATGTTTTGATAAAGAAAAAATTGGTTAATCCATTTTGCACGTCGCATTAGTGGTTTAGAGTTCAGTGGTTAACCGTTACAAAATCATTGGTTAACCGTTGATAGAACCGTTCATGAGATTCGTGACATACAAAACTTGTATATTATACTAATTTAAGAATTAAGTTATGAGTTATCATTAATCATAAACAATTTTAAATTCATATCATCACCAAAATATCTAATAAATCATTCAAACCGTCTCATAAAAGAAATCATAATTTTTAATTCAAATTAAAAATAACGGTGCAGTCGATAGTCAATCACGTAAAGTCAACAAAAAGGTTGGAAAATGAGAAGAGGAAGCAGATATAAATTTAATAATTATGGTTTCATGGTCTAAGTTTATGTTAAAAATATTTAAAAAATATATTTGTGGTTAAAATAGTGGACTAGTTAAACAGTGGCAGTTCATATTATTTTATGTTGAACCGTGAAAAATCGTTTGGTCCATCAATAACCGTCCAAATAATGAACAGAACTGCTATCATAACTGGTTTGGCGGTTCTACTGGTCTAGCCGTTGATCTGGTTATGTTCTTATAACAAGGAGTCTAACTAATTGAAAAAAATCAAAATAGAAAAAATGAATAGATATGGTAAGAAATTAAGATAAAGAGTCTAACTTGGAATCTTGATTTAAACATTAGATTGAGAGGGGGAGCTGAGAGAGAAAGAGTGAATCTTATGAACATTTTATAGGATAGCAACTGTGTTTTGTCGGCTAACAGCCCTTGCAGGTTAATATGGACCCCTAACCCGGAGAATGGTTTCACCGTTAGCTCTTGCTATAAAGGCATGGCCCAAGAGAAATTCCCTGGTCTTCCTAATTTCAAGCCCTCAGCAGTGTGGAAATCATTCATTCCTAGCAAAATCTGCTTCTTTCTTTGGTCTTTGTGGAATAAGAAAATCCTCACCGTGGATGTTCTTAAAAAAAGAGGGATGGTCCTCCCGAATCGCTGCGTTATGCGTTGCCAGGAGGAGGAAGACGCCACTCATCTGTTTGTCAAGTGCAGGTACATTCAAAAGGTGTGGAATACTATCAGAAGAGGCGCACCAAGGATTGGAAGCCTCGAAGGTGACCTCATTGCAATCATCAACAACAGACCCACCGAGACTCCCATCGATTTTAATGGTTGGCTTGCGTCTGGTATCCTTCACGCCACCTACTGGCTTATTTGGAATCAACGAAACCAGCGTATTTTCAGAGATCATAAGGCTGAAGCCTCCATTATTGCTCGACATGCCATTAAAAGTGTCATCTCTTGGGTCTCTGCTCATGACAAAATTGATAAATGCTCGGCTGCTATTTGTTTGAATAACTGTCTTTCTCGCCTGTAACCTGTCTTGTTCTATATGCGGGAGTGGTCTCGTCCACTCGGCGGTTTCTTGAGTTGCTCTTCTTCCCCCTTTCCTTTCGCTTTTGCTTTTCCTTGTAGTTTTTTGCTGGTTTTTCTGGGTTTTGCTGTTCTGTTCTTCGTAGTTCAGATCCCCTAAACCTTGTACACTCGGTTTTCTTTTTTAATGCAATCACCATTATTAAAAAAAAAAAGGCTAGAAACCTTTAGGTAAGATTGGTGATTGAAGTGTCTGTGTTTATTGGTCGGGGGAACAGGGCAAGATGGAGCGCGAGTTCGGCGGTGAACAGCCGGAGGAAGATGGTGGCCTGCCGCTCCCAAGGGGTGGAAATAATATTCAACTATTTTTTATATCTTGTATAGACATAGTGAGGCGAAAATTTTTAGTTGAGTTTGTTTTATGCTTTATTATTTTTAATTTACAACTCATCAATTTAACAATTAAATGTTAGAGTTGATTATCATATAGGACAAAGATAATAGAGCTGGAAGGAAAGTAACTGCATATGACATAAATGTATAATCTGAAAGAAGTTTTTTTCAAGTGGCAAAAGTAAAACAAACTTATAATATGAGTGACTAAACTTGTAATTCACCCAAACCTAATTAATGCCCTTATCAAAATCAACCAAGCTTATTGGTTTTCCCTCTCGAGGAATATTATCACGTGCTTGGAAAAATTCATGTATTTTAATTTCTTTAACAACAAAGATTGACAAAAAAGTTAGGAATTTTGAATTCTATTTCCAATTCCATTTTCATATATTATATTTGGAATAATAAAAAGGTTGAGAATTGAATTCCATTGGGTCTAAAATTTGGGAATTACAATTCCTATTGAAAGTGATAGGAATTGAGAGAATGAAGATGGAATTAGTGGAATCCATCAATACTTTTTATTATTTTATTGATCCACTATCATTTTACTCTCTTTCTCTCTCATTCATATTTCATTTCCCAAAATAAAACAAACATATTACATTATTTATTATAATTAAATGTGCAATTCATTTTCATAATTGTAGGAATTATACCAAATACTAGAATTGGAAATGAAATTCTATAAAACTAAAAATGAAATATTATTTCCATTTTCATTTCTTCCGGAATTATATCCAAACATGCTGTAATGGATAATTGATAATCGAAGTAATGATCAAAACTACTTTGATATTCTACAATTATGAATTTATGATTCACGTGGTGCATGTCTCTGTGGAATGTCAAGACACTGATCATGAAGATTTGGTAAATCTGTTTCGATCGGGTTGATGTTTTTACGACACTCATTAAAGTGAATCTAATCAATAATAATCCACCAAACAAAGGGATGGGATACGGTGTTGTCAGATTCACAACCAAGGGTATTTTGGGTATAAAAAAAAGGAATATATTAATTACCTCTTTTGTATTAATTATATTGGGAATTAAAAACCCATATTAAATACAATTTTTTCTAAAATTTAAATCCTATACATTAATATCTCTATTTATCTCTCTCTCTTCCTTTCTCCAACAGCCACTCCGCATCGACCGGCAAACTTTTTCTCCGGCGAATTCTCTCCGACAGACTCCCTCCGGCAACCTGAAAAAATGTACCAATGCGTTAAAAAGTGTACCAATCTATTAGTCTACTGGTAATTAATATACCAGTGCTAGTGGTACGCTACCAGTACGTTAAAAAATGTACCAGTACTAGCGGTACCAGTAAAAAATATACCAGTACTAGTGGTACGCTACCTGTACAACGCTACCAGTAGAGAATAACACAACGCTACTAGCACTGGTAGCGCTACCACTAGCATTGTTAGCGGTACCAGTAGAGAATAAAAAAAAAAAAACAGATGATAGGGAGCCACTGGTATTGGTACCAGTGAGTAGTGGTAGCGTACCAATAGCGCTACCAATGGTATTGGTACCAATAGTGCTACCAATGGTATTGGTACCAGTAGAGACTATCAGATCTGGAAAAAAAATAGGGATGAGGAAAGAGGAAGGCAGGAAAGAGTCTTGACCTCGCGGCGGCGGGGTAGGGGATAGGACAGCGGCGCGCCGGCAGGTGAGAGGGAGCAGTTCCCTTCCTACCGCCTGCTGCAGTGGTGATCATCAACCTCTAATTAATGGCGCGGTGGGCATGGGAGAGGAAGAGGGAGCTGCGGCGCGGAAGAAAGGGAGGAAGGGAAGAAGGAGGTGAACGGCATGAGAGGGTTAGATTAGGGTTTTATTATTTTATATAGGAGGAAAAATGATTGGGTGTGGTAAGTTTTTTTCATCCCAAATACACCCTTCTTTTCATCTCAATCTTCAATTTAAAAATTACAGGAGAGAGACAAGAGAGAAAATACATCCAATGGCTATAAAATGGGTTGTCAAACCCACAACCCCCTTAAGGGTTGTCACCATAACTCGTCCCCCAAACAAACATACATCATTCGTACCAAACAAATTATGGAAGTATTAATTAATGGGCTCTGATCTTAATTATTGGTATTACCCTTATGAGTTATGGTGCCACCTCGAAATATAACTGTATAAAGCAACATCTCTGCTATATATTGGTCCATGGCTACTGTTGGTTCTAATGACGATTGATTAGGTTGATTGCAGGACTAAATCATCATCAGCGGCAGATCCAGAACACAGAAGAGCATTGGGCCTTATTTCATTAGAAAATTAGAACCGTAAAAAAATATAATGACTATAGGGAAACAGAAGTACTACTCCGTGGGCCCTCTTTGCCTGGCTGAAGTGGACGACGTCTGCAACGACAAGAAAGAGGTCGTATTAGCCGCCAAGCCGGCTTGGATTCAGTGGCTGGATGAGAAGTTGTGGGAGGGGAAGTCGGTATTGTACGTGGCGTTTGGGTCCCAAGCAGAGATATCGGAGGAACAACTGGAGGAGATAGCGCGAAGATTCAGAAGTGACTTTCTTGTGGGTGATAAGAAAGGGAGGCGGTGGGTTGGAGGAGCGCATGAAGGGGAGAGGGATGATAGTCGGAGAATGGGTGGACCAAAGGGGGATACTGGGTCACGTCAGCGTGGGAGGGTTTTTGAGTCATTGCGGTTGGAACTCGGTGATGGAGGGAGTTTGTGCTGGAGTGCCGATGCTGGCGTGGCCGATGATGGCGGAGCAACCGTTGAATGCGAGGATGGTGGCGGAGGAGGTGAAGGTGGGGATCAGGGTGGAAGGTTCGGGGAGAACGGGGTTCGTACGACGGGGAGCGCTGGAGAATGCAGTGAGGGAGTTGATGGCAGGTGAAAAGGGGAAGGAAGTGAGAAGGAACGCCAAGGAGTATGCAAAGAAGGCTAGAAAGGCTATGGAGGAAGGGAACGGCTCGTCGTGGAAAACATTGAACTTGTTAATTGACGAATTGTGTAACAAGAAGGAAGACGTACGGTAGTACTATGATAAACTATAGGCTACTAAGGATCCAAAGGAATGGGCTTTTCTGTTGTGTTTGCCCAACTCCATTCAATATCCAATATAATTGTAACAGCACTTTGTAGCGATTTATTCTTTGGCAATTCGCATATAGCCTTTGTTTTGCAATTCTGGTCACTTCTGATTATATGTCGTTCCGAGTTAACCCCGAGGAAGTCGATTCGGTCGATCTCTTGACGGTATATGATTTCTCTTGATTGAATAGATCATTACCAATTCATCGAAGATGTTCCGGGGTAATCTCCGAGGGAGTTTATCTCCTAACGGTAGAGGTATTGAGTCAATTGATCTAGGGAAGTAATAAACATTGATTCATTGAGAAGCTAGGGGGATTCAAACCTAAGACATCTCCCAAACTTGTAATTAATTAGGGTAGTGGTTATGTTTGTGTCGTTAGTTTAGTCTTAATCACTATTCTTGGTTGGTTAGATAACGAAACTTAAGCCGAAGTAAGGTACATCTACAGACCCTGTGGTTAAGTAATTTTGTTACTTGCTTATCCTATTCTACACCTAATCGTGGTTAAACTTGGCCTTCGATTGGGAAGCTGCTGTCAGTGCGAGGCAACTGTGGAATGCATTGTTTTCTCGGTTTTAATATATGTTACTATTCAAATGGAGACAAGAAATTGGTAACTGATATATGCTTAGTAAACGTTCAGAGAAATTAACATGTTCATTGTTATTATCATTGTGGCAGTATTATGCTTATTAGTATGTTTTGTCCTTGTTTGTGTACATATAATAACTATGACAAACAAATAAAAAGTATAGTAAGATAATTTTGGATTTTCAGTTCTAAATCTCAAACCATTAGCTTCATAATCAAAACATCTCAACAAATAAAGAATTATCTTAAATCCATAATTTCTAAAAAAAAAATAATAAATATTTAGATTTTTAAATCACAAAACCTTCATTTTATATTTTAATAAATTATAAAGATGGCTTACTTGGTCGCTCACTGAGTCACTAGTTGTTTTTATTTTCCTTCTTTCACGTCGTGGTCAATATGAATGGTAAAGTGTTGAGAAAAACACACTAAAAAAGAATTTATTTTCTATCAAGCCACTGTTTAGTTATACCTTGTACATTAAACGTATCGCCATTTTTGTTAGCCATCTTCTTCATCATAATCAAGAAGTCTAGCCGGCCAAAGCACAAGCATAGTACTGATGATCATATATAGGCGAACCATCTGCGGCGAGCGGCTACATGCTTGGAACAGGATTAATATTATTTGCCCGAACGGTCGAGTATATATAAAGCTAGCTAGCTAGCTAGGAATTAAGCAACCTTATTATCATCATCAGACGAATGAGTTCCTCAAGCAACCTTATGATGATGATCGTGATGGTGGTGACGGTCTTGTTGGTCATGTCGCCCGGAGTTCCTACGACGTCGGCTGTCGTAAGCGGAATTTGCGATGTCCAGTCCTTCCCCGACGGCGATCAGCGGATCCTCTGTGTATCCACTCTGCTCGCTGACTTGATTGGGCTTTGGGCGTCGATGGTACAAGTATGACCCATGATCTATTATTAGAACTAGTACGAAAGCCCGCGCTACGCGGCGGATCGTCAATTATTTTCATAAATATATAGTAATTTGTTATTAAACTCTTCCACACCATAATTACCGGATTGATTAGGTTGGATTCCGTTCGTTAAATAACACTATTTTGTTTTTTTGGTTACACTCAGATGGGGCTATGTGTTGAATTAGATCTTGTTTATTTGAATTACAAAAGTGGATAAATCTTGATCATGACCTAAAATCTTGATCATGACCTAACCTGTTATTATTAAATAACACTGACCCAACCTGTTAATTACAAAAGTGGATAAATCTTGATCATGACCTAAAATCTGTTAACTCCAGAATTAACTCGCTTTGATCATGTTGAATTAGATTGTGTTTATTTGAATTAAATGTTATCGTATAGACTAATAATATTCATATATTTCAAGAATATTAGGAAAAATACATCTCCACAAAATGACATTATCTTGTTTTTTTACAGACAAAATAAAAAGCAGACCGAATTGTAAAACATAACCCACAATGTGAATATACATTAAGTCAACTCTCGTCACTACTTTGCCATTTGCTGGGATCTGAATCGTGGCTCTCATCTCTATTTCCGTTGTGGCCTTGCATGTGATTGTGTTTATCGCATCAAGTGTTGAGTTCTTTCTGCTTATTCTTGTACTCACCATTTTAGTTCACCTTCTGGCATTTGTGTGTCCTGGCCAGCCCATCGTTCAGGTGGTTTTATGACAAAAAATTGTATTTTTGTTTTGTTTTTGCTGCGTTCTTTCTTCTTCTTGTACGTTTGTTTGTTTTTCACTGCTCACACCTTAGGAGCTCTCTTGAACAGTACTTTGATCACTCTTTTAAGTTTTTTTTTAAATTCAATTTCATCACCCTTCTATAAAAAAGGTATTGCAATTAATTTTGATATCAGCATATATCATCGAGTAATGCATGATGCTAAGTAGTCCTCGTTGACTAATAGTTTCTGCTTCTGTCAATCAATCTTCTAACCTAGATCATACATAAATGATTATAACGAACTTCATGAAGCTAAGTCTCTGTTTGCTTGAAATAATGAAAAATGGTGGGAACAAATGTAAAATTATGATTGTATAAAGCATAGACCTCTGCTCATGACAATGATAACATCTTTTCACATCAACTAATGTTCATATTTCATATTGAAAACCCCCCAGACCAATTATGCAACATTCTGAAAAGCAAGCTAAGATAGGACACGACACTATTGAATTATTGATTAAAACCTTGTGATCTAGCAAGACCATGCAAATACAATTATCGCTTACAAAATGATTGTAAGAGAACCATATACAGATTGTCACTTCACCGAGAAAGCACCCAGCTTGTGTTTGCATAAACTACCTTGGCTATGACCCGAAGATCAACATCAAGTTGTCTTCAGGTGCCACTACGAAACAACATGAAACGAACTTAGAATGGATCCCATATTGGTGTTTCGCTGTAGTGACTCAGTAAAAATTAAATATAAAATAATTCGTTAAGGGAAGGTCTATCATCTTTCTAAAATGCCCTAGCCATTGGATTTTAAGGAATTAATCATGCCTCCACTGCAGCTACCTCTGCTCTACACGGATGTGGTTACCATCTCCCACATATAATCACTAATCGCCAACAACTTGCACTGGCCTGCCATAAACAACAATAAGAAAGAGAACAGAGAGTCTAACAGTCATTTTTGGGTTAACCATGAATCTACAACAACACCTTAAAGGCTTCAATAGCCTTCCAAAAGGTGAGAATAGTTTGCTTTTATCTATATCAGTCAACTCCTTCACATGCTGCCATTTGCTTGTATCAGTGATTAAGAATTTGGAGAAAGCTGACACTACTTTACAAATTAAAAAACAGCGAGAAGGAAGGTAACAAAGCGAACCTTCATCCATGAGGAGCTCATTAGTGCCAGGGTAGTCATTGATTGCAAGACCGCAAATAGTTCGAGGACCATAAACCCCCATGAAGGCAGCCACTTAATCTACTCCAAAGATGGTGGCAAAATCAAAGTGTCTCCAAACAGCGAGTTTGACTTTATGCTCTGCCGAAAACAATGGAAAGTAATCAACATGGCAAGATTGTTTTCAAAATGCAACGAAGGCAAGAGACCTAAGCAGAAAGAAGCAAAACCAACCACATACATGGCAGGGATACATCTCAATCACCTATTTCCATAAATGCGTTGAAAAAGCAAACCATAGATGATATTCAACTCTGTAGATTGCAGTTTGTGAAAGCAGCAAATGAGCAAGCAAAGTGAAATCCCTATTGTGGATGAACCATAGATGACATTTAACTCTGTAAATTGTAGTTTGTGGGAGCTGTGGAACAGCAAATGTTTTAAAGAAACAATTAAGATTTACAACATTGTCACCGAGCAAAAAACAATAAACCAAACATGGTAATGAAACAGAAAAGAATAAAGAAAACACCATTTCTTATATACATGATAGATAAATCTGCAAACCATACACTACCCAGTCTAGTACAAAGGGACAAAATGAAGGCCTAGAACTAATATCTGATACATATATGAAAAAAGAGATAATTTTCAGGCTTCCATTTTCATTCGTTGAATCTCAATATATGAAAGAAGAGACTATTTGCATCCTTCCATTTTCAGTTGATGGGAGAATATAACAGAAAATAAATCCAAAGCTAACCAAGTCACATTTAGACCATCGATGAAACCTGACTACTAATTCAACTTCGAGCCTTGGAACCAACATTAAAATACTGTCTGCATATAGGCCAAACAATAACAATTGTCGTTGTCTTTAAGTCAAATAGCTATATACACCCTGCAGACTCCGAAGATGTCTTGTCAAATATAGTTTTATTAGTTCTCATATAAAATTCACCTGAATTGGTTATGAAGACCACTTCATTTAATTTCACCATTAACAGTCGCGAACTTGAATAACATATTTGATAAAATGAGTTGTGATAAATATGGGAGTAAAACATTTGAATTGGTTCCTTCAGTAAACTAAAGTAAAAAAAATAACATGAAGGAGAAGAATGAAATAGAGTAAATTGAAAACCTGGACCGCAACAAATGCAAAGAACATGAGTAATTCTATAAGCTTCTGCAGGAGTAAATTCTAAAAAAAGTGTAACCCCATACTGTTAAAAGACACTACCCAAGTATCTAAAGAACATGGAGGGTAGTAAAACCCGAACTGTGATATCAGTAATGGAATCATCTAATTTCGAGAATAAAGAAAACAAATTCAATGAAAAATGGCCAGAACATTGAGCTTTAGAACTCAGAAACACATGATTTCTCAGGTTCAAACAATTAAAGGCAGAAAGAGGTAAAACAATTAGTAAAAAAGATTGTAAAACAGCAAAAACACCTAAAAACTGAATGCTTTCTTGATCTTTTCCTTTCATCATATCTACTTATGCTCGTTTCTCTATTGCTATGAACTCATGTAGAACAAGTAGAGACATAAGTAACTTAGACATTTAAGATGGACAGAGAACCCGAAATGGGATGCTCTGAAATCCGCCATTATGCAGAATGGCTAAAACAACCGGGAAAATTATGAAATCTGATGGCTCAGAACATTAGTAGCAATTCACAAATTCTTGAAAATGTGGTCGCATCTTTGTACGTCAGAGAATGGATCAGGTGATTCAGAAGAGGTAAACAACAAATCAAACTCAATAAGGCTAAAACAATTCTCCTGGCTATGAGAAATCCGAACCACTACTCTAGAAGGTTGTTTGATTTGAAACCACCAAGTCTGATTGATAGATATGGATAAACTTACATTAAAAAAGCATGCAAGGATAAGACTATAACAGATAAAAAAACAGACTGAATCAAGTCGGACTGAATGATCTAACTTTCTTATGTCTCATCCTGCAGCATTTCGATTCTGTCTGATTCTTCACTGTAACATGTACATACCCGCTAAGCATAACCTACCCTCAATCACAACACCTATAAAAGCACCACTGCATTTTACAAACCCTGGCCAAGCCTCACACTAAAGAGCTACAAAAGAGGGCGAGAAGTACACTGCTCATACTTAATGCATTACGGCCGCCACTGGACATAATGGCAGATCCAACCATTATCGTTTGCACAAATTAACATTACAGAGAAGCATATTCTCAATACCAAGAACGATGATGAGCTAACCAATAACTCTATCTTGATAGGTTCGCCTAAATATGGTAATCTTGCAGTTGCAAAGACATACTATTTCTCACTGAAAGTATTTGGCATTGTGTGTTTAGTTAAAGCAAAAGTCTTGCAAGGTAAATAACTAATGTTTGAGTTTTTTTTTTGTCTTCATGAGTTCTTAAGTCCCTTCACATGGTTAAGAGGCATCTTCCTTATTGTGGTTTATTGAAGGATTTAATAATAAGAGATTAGTGAAAGAAAGCGCTATATCAATAAAAAATGCAGACCATAGATAAATGATTAGTGAAAGAAAAGGTAAAAAAGACAGCCTTTTTATCTTGGATTTGAAATTGAAATGCAGACCATATAATACAATCCATGTCTGTGATGACAATACTGTGTAGGAGCTCCCCTCCCAAAAAAGATAAACTGCAGTTATGCTAGCAGAGCAATGAAATATAAGGAAAGTAATTTCAGGAGTAGACATAAGATCATACTTAACTATTTTGACTGTTTGAGCAAATCCCAAATATAGAGGTTCATTCATTATATGTTATATAGCTAGATAAAGTAGCACTGGAAAACAGAGAAGAAGAACTGAGGAAGAGCCCGTTACCTTTTTATGGTTTCTTCATAGTTATAAATGAGCTGAAAGATCCCTAATACATCAATCGATCGATCCCACCATGCTACACCTTTTCCCCAATAGCAAATCATGCATTCATTGATCCAACATCTTTGATTTGAAACTTTAGTTGCATTTATCAGACCCGATCTTGCAGAACAGATCCATATATTTGGAACTGAACCAACGATAGAGCATTGGTACTGAACCCAACTTAAGCAAGCAAAATCTATGAATTCGAACACAGAATCTGCGAGACAAAAAGGAGTGGAAGTGTTGACCTGAAAGGGCCAAACTGTGTATGGGTGGCATAGAGTGGAGAAAACCGACATTGGCTGTGGCTATGATTGAATCAACAATTGTGCTTCCCTCTTGAAATAGTGATATACTTATAGTGACAGCTGTGAAACACAGTTTCTCGTTTCCTTCATTCTTCGACAATTCCCTCCTGGAAGGTAAGGGTTTTTTGATAAGCGATGGAATCAACAAAGCGTAACTACTGGTCGAAAGAGGCATAGAAGGAACAAAAGCATTGGAAAAAATCAATAAAGCATTGAAGTTCAGCACTCACCATGATGTTCTGCAGAAGCTCTTCTCTGGATTGTTTATGGTCCCTTTCATGTTTACAAAACTGATGAAGAGGTAATCTTCCATTCTGTATGCACTCTCCCCTTCCCCTAGCACTAATACAAACGATTAGCTGACCACAACTCATTGTGGTTCACAATGAAGCTTACAATTAATGAATTCCATTACTCCAAAAATAAAATAAGCAAATCAAATATGCAATTCCTTCCTACCACAACATTATGGCAGAGGCAAGCGAGAGCTGCAAATCCACCAAGCGACTTGAAAGCTTTCCATGAAACTCACTCCAAGTTCAAGGGAAGTAAGCAGAAACCACGCTAAACACCTGATCCAAAACCACCAGCAGGCGAGACACCTTCGCCAACACAGGTGCACCAAACAACCCATAACGAAACTTGGCCACCAAAAATCAGTTGAGAAGAGCATGGATTCCCACACTCTGATTGAGATCAAATTCAAGACCCACACCCCACACTTTGCTCTGAGGTTTAAAAAAACAAAGAATTCAACCATGAGAAAGAGACAAAATTAAAAAATTAAAAGACCAAAGCCAATAATGAATAGAAGAGAAACTAACCATTCGACCCAATAAATAGCCATACCAATTTCAAACTTCCCAATCCTAGTCTACTGGGACGAAAGAGGTAAAGACATTTATGTGGAAAAAACTCAGCAAGAGCTACTCTCAAGTCTCACCCAGGGCATTATACCTCATCTTGCACATGAAGTGTTCAATTTGGTATATGGGCGAAAATTGGTCACTTTCACGGAGTACATAAGTGGAGAAAAGAGAGGAATAACCAATACCTGGGTTTGACTTCATTGTGATAGGATTCTACAAATGGTTTGAAGTAAACTGTGAAATACATGGCTAATTAAACGTCAAATTCATTGTTTTGATTATTTGCTCAAATTGACCACAACAACCCAAATAAAGCAATCCAATTATAAATGTACAAACAAAAAACGTGCATGGAACTCTGTTTGATATAGATGGGTTCTTGAAAACTGAAAGCGAAGTAAACAAAAATGTAAAAGGAAAACCAAATGACAACCTTACCCAACTGATCAACGACCACGATTGTTCAACACGGATCTGAACTCTGTAGAAACCAGCCGCCAAAGACTGCAAAATCACACAAAAACAAAGGACAACATAAGTTATCTTCAAACAAAAAAACATGAAACTACAGTTGTCTGAAGAGTGCTCAACTCTGTGAATCTTGAGCTTCCCCATTGAACTCCTACTGCCTTGTTCTTGTTCGTCATTCAAGGGTACTCTCATGTGTTCATCTGTATCGTCCTCGTTTTCCTCCTCGACCATCAACCAATCAGCGATGGATAATCCTCCTTTCGTGATTTTGCGGCTGATGATCCCATTGAGAAAACTACAGTTATGGTTCTTCCGCCAAACTACTTTCGGCGACGACATAGAGAGAAAGAGACAGAAAAGATGCAGATTAAATTCAGAATCTAACCAGGAGAAAAATGAATCACCTAACACACAGAAAAATTAAAAAGTTACCTATATACATTTTCTACTATGCAGCGAACTACGTTGCTGCTTATCGTCATTGAAAAGGGCCAGAACTACCGACGGCAGCTTCATCTTCCTCTTCCTTTTGCTGAAATCAAATAAAAATTAAACCTAATGGTTCCTTTTGCTGAAATCAAATAAAAATGAAACATAATGGAACACTATCAAAGAAAGGCAACACGCAGACTATTAACAAAACCAAATTCCAAAAAGAAGAAGCTTACCCAGAGATCAGTAGCTGGCCCTCGTTGCCTTTGCTGGCTTCAGAATCTACACCACCGACAAATCCTCCCTCATCCTGCCTTTCTGGTTAGATTAGCAGGCAAAGAAAATGATCTGAATCTGTAATGAAGCAGCTCATCTTACATACCTAAGATCGAACGCGATTAAGTAAGAAAGTGGAGTTCCGAGCCGCGTCTTCGTCGATTGAGATGGCAGAGGTGGAGAAGCTCAGCGACCCCTGTCTCTGTTGGAGTAAAAGACAGGAGGCACCTCTGGTCTCCGATACGCCACCAACCCATCTCAGGAACGAACCTTCCCGGCCGACCCAAACCCTTGCAACTGTTGGAGAAGAAGATCCGAGTCACCCATGTCCGCCTTTGTTAGCTCTTCTATTCGCCGGTGAAAGAGATGCAGCTACGTTGTGTAGATGTCCTCTTCTCCTACAGAGAGGAAGAGAGGCAAAATTGGATAGAGATGGCTCTTGTGGATGAGAGAAGAAAGAGAAGAGGGAAATTTAGAGTTTTTTTTTTTTGTGTGTGGTTGGGAAGTGTCATGATGAAAAGCAACGAAGAGTTTCTTGCGCCGAACTGAAGCGACGGAAGGAGTTTCTCTGTGTCAGAAAATTCCAATCAGAAACAGAACACGGCCAATAAGAAACCATCAAAAGGCAAAGGAGTAACAGTTGTGGGATTTGACTCTAAGAAACAGTGAACTTTATGCTTGTTCTTTTAAGAGTATAATAATAATAATAATAATAATTTGAAGTATAGTATCATGCTTCAAAGTTTGGTTAGTTTAAGGTTTAAAAAGCGCAAACTACTCACTTATATTATATATCCAAATTCCCTAAGGATGGATGCCCAAAAAAAACCATATGTATACTTTTTTCTGGTTTCTTTCCTTCCTTTTTGGTCCATAATAAGCATGGTGTTATGCGTTGTCAAGGACATTTTTTGTCTGTTTATTATCGTCCTACAATAAAACTTATGTAATGGCCTGCAACCTTATGAATAAGAAAATAAGAGAAGTTTATCCAAATGACAAGTGAGCCTCATGACCGATTATCCACACACAATAACTAATACTATATTCGAATTATATTATCCAAAAAAAAATTAGCACGGTATTCCAAAAAAAAAAAAAACTAGGCCATGCCAGCGTGGGAGGGTTTTTGAGTCATTGTGGTTGGAACTCCGTGATTGAGGGAGTTTGTGTTGGAGTGTAGATGCTACATGGCCGATGATGGCGGAGCAGTCGTTGAATACTATGCTAGTCCAACGTGAATTTTATTCCTAATATATCACCCATAAGCTAAAAAAATTACAGAAATACCACATTTCCCCAAAAATTTCCATCCATGGCCATCGTTTCACAAAGACCGCAGCCCCTCATAGAGGTTTAAACGAGGACTGTAGAGAGGTGCTGCAATTTCCGTTCTGTCGCCAACAAACCACGTGGGGTCGTTGTGGTCAGATTGATCGTGCGCCACCTCTGCGATCCGGGCAAAACCGCCGCACTCCCTTGCGCTTTGCCTATAAAGTTTTTTTTTTCTTGATGAATGCATTACCTAGGTGCTAAAATTTCAAATAAACATAACTTTGTGCTCTGTACCAATCGTATTTCTGATGATTATACAACTCCCGGGAATGTAGGTGTTGGGTACTTTATTTGGATGGTATCTACACAAGTACACATATCTAATCCGTTAAAACATTAGATGGAATGCATGTGTTCCATCCTAAACAATCACATTTTTTTTAGATAAAAAGCACATCTTATTGCGATTTCATATTGTTGTCGGTGATTTCAAAATGTTTTGTTTGAGTTCTAGGAATTATGTAAGCTTGTAAAATCGTCATCGTAATTATCTTCTTTCGCTACTCCTCTCCTCTAAATAATATTTCTTGTTAAACTATATGCTTAAATTTTTTATTAAACTTATAAAATTAATTTTTTTTATTAAACATTATACCTAATACATATCACAAACGTATTACAAATCTAAAAAAACACATCACAAATTTATAAAAACAGACAACTGATTTCATAACATTTTTATTAATTATACTTGCATTTAAACGCCACACATTAACCATTATATCTCTCGTATACTCCTCCTGTTACTTCCTACTATCTAAGACTAACTCCAACCATGGAGAGTAAAAGGGATATTTGGCCGAACGGTCGAGTATATATATAGCTAGGAATTAAACATTACAATGACTCATCATATTAGAGATATATACGTACGTAGGAACCTATAATTATCATCAGGAAAATGAGTTAGTTCATCATCAGGGAACAGATATAATCATCATCATCAGGTGATGATAATGATGGTCGTGACGGTGGTGGCCCATTTTTCTCATCGGACCAGGGTCAAAGTGAATAAACCCGCGGGTTGAAAACGTTGCTCTTAACCAAAATCGACTTCTAAATCTAACTCCATTGCCTTTCCGGATTAACATTTAAGTCATTAAGCACTTAGCTGCCTCTTATTTTAAACAATAAAATAAGTGAAATGGAAAGGCCAAATGGAAAGGCCAACTTAGTCAGCCGCCAATCGAGAATCCAAGGGAAAAGACGGGGGAAACAGTGAGCGGGAGACTTAGGGTAATACCAGCTGGCACATTAAACGTATCGCCATTAATGATGGGCTTCTATTTCTGTAGTGTAGAATCTTCTTTACCAAAGCACAAACATAGTAGGGCTGATCATAGGCGAACCCGCCGTAGGTGGGGAGCGATTATATGTTTGGGATTGGAATATTTGGCCGATCGAATTCGTCAACTATATATATATATATATAAAAGCTTAGCTTGGAATTAAGCATTCATATATGTATGGAGCTACGTACCTAGCTAGCAACCAAAAAAATTACTATCATCAGAAAGATGAGTTCATCATCATCATCATGGAATAGATATAGTCACCAGCAGGTGATGGTGGTGGTGGCGGCGGTCTTGTCAGTGATGTCGCCCGGAGTTCCGACCACGTCGGCTGCCGCAACTGGGATTTGCAACGGCGAGTCGTTCCCCGACGGCGATGCGCGGATCTACTGTAGTTTCGCTCTGCTGGATTTGTTGATTGGGGAGACCCCCGTGAAGAAGGGTGGGTGGTACAATAGCCAGGACTGCTCCGATGGCAGCATTCTCTACGGTTTCAGGTTTGCAGATGAAGGGGATGGGTCGGGCGGGTGCCTTCACGAGGCCAAGAATTACATCGCCTACCGGGATAGCTACCACCGCATGGGAGGTCAGGCATGGTCCGCGGGATGTTACTTGAGGTTTGAGATTTACGGATTTAGAGTTGGAGAATTGGTGGGATTGTCTAATTAATTAACCCATGCATGAATTAACCGCCATCAACTTGTGGTACGTACGGTATTATAATTAATTCTCAAAATTTCTTATGCTTTGATTTCATCCTCTTGGTATGTTATGTTGGCTAGCAGCTGTACAAGTACGACCTATGATTTAGCTAGCCATTATTAGAATTTAAAATGTAATACCATGAGGGTGCATAAAAATTACCATGTATACTTTTTAATTTATACCTTTATTTTCTTCCTTTCAGTCCATAATAAGCATGGTCATGTGATGCCATTGTAAAGGGCTTTTTTTTTTTTTTTACATATTAGCTAGTCTGGTTTACTATCTTCCTAAGATAATAAAACTCATGTAATGGTTAGCACCCTTATGAATAAGAAAATGAAGAGGAATAATTGATTTTGAAGTTTATCAAAATAAGTTACCCACACTGATTAATTGTATCAATATTGATTTACTAAAATAACCTTTGTTTTCAGAACTAAACCAGAGGTTGTAACGAAAATTGTAGTGATTTAGGGTTCACTGGTTAACTGTAACAAAACCGTTGGTAAATCGTTGATAGACCCGTTCATGATATATAACATACAAGCTTGCATATTACATTAATTTAAGAATAAAAATATCATTAACCATAAAAAATTTCAAATTCATATCATGACAAGAAGTTCTAATAAATCACTAAACCGTCTCACAAAAAAAAATCAGAATTTTTTAAATCCAAGTTAAAAATTATGGTGGCAATTGATAATGGACCACGTAAAAATAAAAATAATGTTGGAAAATGAGAAGAGGAAGCATATATTAAATTGATAATCACGGCTTGATGGACTTAGATTATGTTAAAGTATTTTTTAAAAAAAGTTGTGGTTAAAATAGTGGACCAATTAAATTGTGGTGGTTCATTTGGTTTTATGTTGAACCGTGAAAAACCGTTTGGTCCATCAATAACCGTCCAAACAATTAACCGTAAAGATATCGTACGTGATTTGGCGGTTCTACTAGTCCAACCGTTGATTCGCTTCGGTTCTTATAACAATGGAAATAACTAATACTATATTCAAACTGTCAGTAAATGGGGTAAATTTGAATTCAACCAAAATGCGAAATAAATAGGGACGGATCCTATTCTTAAACCTCATGGTTTAATGAGTTTCTTAAACATGTGTGGGCCAATAAGAGGAGGAGAGAGAAGATTATGAGTTATGTAAATAAGATATTAAATTAAATTAAATATTTAATCTGATTATTTATTAATATTGTCATTTAATCTAACGGAAACTGAATGGCTAAACGTCGCCCTTATTTTACTATTATCGGCCTAACTTAAAACGTAAAACTACTAAATTATCCTTTATCAAATAAACTAAATTTAAAAAAACACTCCTAAAATCCCTAATCCGTTCATTCTCCCCGCCGTCGCATGCATCCTTCTCCCGAATTCACCATCGGCACCGTCCACCCAGCCGCCGTAACTTCTCCCAAGCACTCCGATGCAATTACTTCTCCTAGCTGTGTCTCATTTCTATCCCCCTTGCTCAGACAACTCGATCTTCTAACTTCTATTTGCAATAGATGATAAAGTTACCAGTTGGGTGAATATGTTAATCAAATAAGGTGAAGGTGATCGTGAAGAGGGGAGAAGAAATTGGTTGTATACTTGTACCATGGTCCATGGCAACTGATGCGAAACTGATGGACGTTTTGTTTGTCTATCTCACGCTGCCCGTGGCCACCATCATCAACCTCTTCCGGAAAGCAAGCGCGATGGTAACGTTAGGCTGCGTCGACAACGTTTACTCAAACATGGAAAATATAACTCTCGGCTTTCTTTCCTCTGACGGAAAGTGGTAGATGGTGGCCGGCAGGTTCAGGTCGGCGGTGGTGGAATAAATGGCTAACGAGAGTTTTTTTATTTACTAGTTAGAATATAATATTTTTTAATTGAAAAAAAAGAAGGATAAAAATGTAATAATAATTTATAAGTTAGGACGATTATAAAAAATTAGGGCGACAATTAGCAACTCCCAAAGGAAAACCACCTCCTATACTTTAGTGACGTCCATACACCCAATTTCTACCCCAACGCTTCCATTCCCGGGTTGCAATCGGAAAAAAGAAGATACGCCGCACCCCCTTGTCGTCGATTAACACTGTCCCAACGCATCTTCCGTCGCCTCGACATCGATCCTCCTTACGTCTAAGAACCACTGTCCCGACGATCCCCTTCCTTTTCCTCCCGTTGATTTGATATTCCAACAGAATCGCCATTGGCGGCTACTGGTTTTGCCACAGTCGACGGCGCACATGGATGCGGCCTCCCATTATCTAGTTGACACTCCGGCCTATTGTGATTGGTGTTGGAATCTCGTCTTTTTGTGTTTGTATATGTTTGTTGCACTCACATTCAATTTATCAATAGTGTTAACAATGTGTACCTAAACGTTAATAATGTTTCATTAAATCATTCGTACTAAATTTATAAACCACAATTATGAATGTTTTAAATCAATAGCATTTATTGATAATGTGGTTATAACATTAACAATTATGTTAAAATAATTGATCATCGCGTTATGTTTCATTAACAATGAATCGTCAAATTGGATGACCACGTTTTTTTCACCCAAGTAAAAACAAAGAGAAAAATAGTTAGGGACCTCTATCCAGAATCCTCCCAGGCAACACTTAGTGAAGTCACCCTACCCACAACCTCTACAGAGGACAACAGTAGGGCTTGTTTTGCTGCTCTATGGACAGGCCAATTGACAATCTGCGAGACCGACATAAAAATTAAACAAGAGAACACAAATACAACAACTGAATACAATCTCGAAGTATGGGACCACCCACCATCAACACATCTACCATGAAAAGGGTGAAGCAACGAGGAAGTTGCATGATGGACGAGGCATCAATTATGGCATATGGTTATGGACAACAATCCATCTGAAAATCCAAATCACGTCAAAAAAATTCAAATTACAACTAGGAATACATCATTATTGATCAATAATCATCAATTACTTCATTCTTATGATCACACAATACTTTATTGTTTAATCATCATCAATCAAACCAACTATGATAGTACTATCACCCAAACAAAACACTTTCGAACTCTACAAAATTAACATGTTTGAAGTCTATATAGTATATAGCCTTTCAACGTTTGAAGTATACATTACGTTGTCTTTCCGGATTAACATTAAGTCATTAAGCACTTAGCTGCCTCTTATTTTAAACAATGAAATAAGTGAAATGGAAAGGCCAACTTTGTCATCAGCCGCCAATCGAGAATCCAAGGGAAAAGACGGGGGGAAACCGTGAGCGGGAGACTTAGGGTAATACCTGGCACATTAAACGTATCGCCATTAATGATGGGCTTTTATTTCTGTAGTGTAGAATCTTCTTCACCAAAGCACAAACATAGTACGGATGATCATAGGCGAACCCGCTGTAGGTGGGGAGCAATTATATGTTTGGAATTGGAATATTTGGCCGATCGATTGAATTCGTCAACTATATATATATAAGCTTAGCTTGGAATTAAGCATTCATACGTACCAAGCTAGCAACCAAAAATTACTATATATCATCAGAAAGATGAGTTCATCATCATCATGGAATAGATATAGTCACCACCAGGTGACGATCGTGATGGTGGTGGTGGCGGCGGTCTTGTCAGTGATGTTGCCCGGAGTTCCGACCACATCGGCTGACGTAGCTGGGATTTGCAACGGCGAGTCGTTCCCCGACGGCGATGCGCGGATCTACTGTAGTTTCGCTCTGTTCGATAAGTTGATTGGGGACACCCCCGTAAAGATGGGTGGGTGGTACGATACCCAGGACTGCTCCGACGGCAGCCTTCTCTACGGTTTCAGGTATGCAGATGAAGGGGCGGGCGGGTGCCTTCACGAGGCCAAGAATTACATCGCCTACGGCCGGGATTGCTACCACCGCATGGGAGCTCAGGCATGGTCCGCGGGATGTTACTTGAGGTTTGAGATTTACGACTTTGTAGTTGGTGGGATTGTCTAATTAACCCATGCATGAATTAACCATGCATCAACTTGTGGTACGTACGGTATTATAATTAATTCTCAAAATTTCTTATGCTTTGATTTGATCCTCTTGGTATGTTGGCTAGCAGCTGTACAAGTACGGCCTATGATTTAGCCATTATTATTAGAATTTAAAGTGTAATGTGCATAAAAATTACCATGTATACTTTTTATACGTTTATTTTCTTCCTTTCAGTCCATAATAAGCATGGTCATGTGATGCCATTGTAAAGGGCTTCTTTTTTTTTACATATTAGTCTGGTTTACTATCTTCCTAAGATCATAAAACTCATGTAATGGTTGGCACCCTTATGAATAAGAAAATGAAGAGGAATAATTGATTTTGAAGTTTATCAAAATAAGTTACCCACGCTGATAAATTGTCTCAATATTGATTTACTAAAATAACCTCTGTTTTCATAACTGGACCAGAGGTTGTACCGAAAAATTTAGTGATTTAGGGTTCACTGGTTAACCGTAACAAAACCGTTGGTAACCGTTGATAGAACCGTTCATGATATATAACATACAATACTTGCATATTACATTAATTTAAGAATGAAAATATCATTAACCACAAACATTTCAAAATCATATCATGACAAGAAATTCTAATAAATCACTAAACCGTCTCACCAAAAAAATCATAATTTTTTAAATCCAAGTTAAAAATTATGGTGGCAATTGATAATGGACCACGTAAACAATCATAATTTTCTCTTGGTAGGCAACAGCTGAGGAACACACAGAAAAGTAGTACGTTAGTCATAATTCGGCAGTTTAGTACAATTCGAACAACCCGGAGGTACTCTCGTTAGACTCTTAGGAGAGGTATACATCTCCTTAGAAACACATCTTGTTTGACAGAAAAGGGGGGATCCGAAGATCGCTTAAAACCCGATTTTCCCAGGAAATGGGAGGACCATGATAATCGCTTAAAACCCTATTTCCTTAGGCATGCATCTCTTTAGAAAGAGTCTAACAAGTGCACCATTTACCGCGTCTACAAGATATTGTTAGCTGACAAAATTAAACGGCAAATAGAGAGCTTACCAATCCATCACAAATTATCAGCAAGCTTCCTCCGCTTGAAATGATGGTTCCAGTTGCTCTTGAAGTGTCGTATGCACCACCTTTGGGACCACTTCCAGGCTGGATCCAAACCTAAGATGGCAGCTCTAATGCCGGCGTGCCGATCAGATATTATTGTCAGGTTCGTCCTCCTAGTGACGTGGAACTGAATTTGCCTGAAAAACCATCCATAGCTATCAGAATTCTCTCCCTCAACAATGGCGAAGGCTAAAGGAAAGACTTGCATGTTTGCATCCGCCCCACTGGCAATCAGGAGAGTGCCCTTGTACTTGCTGGTAAGGAATGTACCATCCACTTGGATCACAGGGATACAAAAGCCAAAACCATCAATAGATGGCTTGAATGCCCAAAAAAGTCGTCTGAAATGGCGTTTGTTACCTGACTCTGGGGGTTGTATCTCTTCATCTTGGTATCCAGGGGAGAAAATAGTGCCAGGATTAGATGTCTCCAATGCCAAAATTAACCTGGGAAGGAATGCATATGATTCTTCCCAATCACCAAAGACGGAGGCCAGAGCTTTCTGCTTTCCATGCCACGCCTTCTTATAGTTAATCATATAACCATAACGACTTGCAATGTCAGCGATTATGACTTTCACCTTCAGGTCAGGATCTTGCTCAATTATATGCTTGATAGCCACAGCAACCACCCTGGATTTCAACTGTCGATGGCCTTGGGAAGTTATGGATGACACACATGTGTGTGTGTTCACGGCACGGGATATGACCCAGTGGCTGTGTCTCTTGCTGTTGATGGCCCGAATCCTAACATTGCACCCCTCGTTATGATTACGGCATCTGACTATGAGCCTTTTGGTGTTGGAATGAGTTGTGTGCCATTCAAAATGCCGAGTCATTGCTTCAGTATCAATGGCGTGCCGCACCTCCTTCTTCGAGCCAAATTGTTGGCCCTTCATAAACCCAGTGAGTGGACCCCATACTGGGACCTCTGGCGGCTCCATGTCGCTATCGACCATCCAATTGTCGTCTGGAATGTGATTGTAGTAGGGGACTGGTACACGGTCACGAGCCACCTCATCATCATTATCTGAGTCTCTGGTCCTGAATCATCAGCACCTTCAAGAGGGTCGGAGCTGTCTGCACTGACGTTGTTCTCTCCTTCTTCATCGGAGGGGTCACTAACTGATGCTGGCAGGGCAGCTTCCATCTGATCCAGCTCATGAAAGGCACCTTCATCAGCTCCATAATGGTAGTTGTGAAAACTACCGTTGCCTGATTGGAAGTTGTACTGAGGTTGGTTGGGGAGGTCTGGTTGAACTTCTTCTTCATATGACGGGAAAGATTGACGATGACCTTCACCTTGCTCTTGGTAATGAAAATAAGAATGAGGATCATGGTAACTTTGGTAGGAATGATCGCCATATAATTCACCTCCACCATGGATACCAGATGTTTGACCGTGTCCAGAATGACCTCCAACGCCAACGGCCGCCTCTGTGTAAACGAACATCTCGGCTTTGGAAAGATTGTTGGACCTCAAGAATTCGAGCATGGAATCTACTTCATCCTGAGTTGTTATGAGATATTCCTCGTGCCACAATGACCCACTTTCTCTGTTTGGATATCGGTGCACCATACGATCAACTCTTCTCGTGTCATCCATCCAAGTAACGTTAGTGCACATTTGATGTAGGTCTTCAAGCATCGGTCTGGTAGCGACCTTTATTTTCTGAAAATTGCCACCGATGTAGGTGACCCCCTTTCCGGTCTCTTCCGTGTAACTATTCCACCGTAAGCCAAGCGTGAACTTTTGGAATGCCATATGCAAAAAAACCGTAGTTCAGTTAATATCATAAAAATCACAAATCACAAATCACAAAAAAAAGTAATACAAAATAAACTTACAAGTTAACGTTAATTGCAAAAACACTAAAGAAATATAGAGCTACAACAGAAAATTCAAAAGGGAGAAGGAGAGGTGTGAAGAGAAGAGGTTTCTAGGGCTATCTTTTAGGCAAAATCATCAATGAAAACCGCACCTTAGAGGTGCGGTTTTCATCTGCCATGCAGCCCCACGTCTGTCAATCTGCATGGCTATATGTTTGGTATCGGAAAATAATTGACACGCAAACCGCATTGGAGGGGTGCGGTTTGTGTTGCCAAAACCGCACTTTGAGGGTGCGGTTTATTTTGGAGAAGCAAAACCGCATCCCCAAAGTGTGGTTTTGCTAGGTCAGCACAAGACCGCATCTAGGCCATGTGGTTTGGTTAGGTCAGACACACAAACCGCATGGCCAAGATGCGGTTTGTCCCAGAAGCATAAACCGTACCTTAGAGGTGCGGTCTATATATAAAACGCACAAAACGCACCTTGGAGGTGCGGTTTTAAGAAAAGGGTGTTATTTTTGTAAATATTTTCAGTTGGGTGCTATTTTTGTAAATTTTTTAAAGGTGCTATTTCTGGAAAAGCACTACTTAAAACTATATATATTGGTTAAGTTTTTCAACTTTTAAACTTGTATTTTGAGGATATTGTTTTGTGTAGTTTATGAGTAATAAACTTAGCTCTCTCGAACACTGTCAGGAGTTTTCTTTTCTAATTTATTTCTATTTATTACTATACCTGGCACATAGAACGTATCGCCATTTATGGTGGCACATCCGAACATTCCTTTTTCTGTAGTGCAGAATCTTCATCATAATCGTCAAGAAGAGCAGCCAAAGCACAAACATAGTACGGATGATCATAGGCGAACCCACTGTACGCGGGGAGCGATTATATGTTTGGAATTGGAATATTTGGCCGATCGAATTCGTCAACTATATATAAGCTTAGCTTGGAATTAAGCATTCAGATATGGAGCTACGTACCTAGCTAGCAACCAAAAATTACTATAATCAGAAAGATGAGTTCATCATCATTATGGAATAAATATAGTCACCAGCTGGTGACGATCGTGATGGTGGTGGTGGTGGCGGCGGTCTTGTCAATGATGTCGCCCGGAGTTCCGACCACGTCGGCTGACGCAGTTGGGATTTGCAACCGCGATATGCGGATCTACTGTGGATTCGCTTTACTGGATAAGTTGATGGGGGATGTTAGTGTTGTGGTATATGATCCACGATTAAACCTCTCCCAACAACTCAAGTTATTGGGATCAACTGGTTCTTGACATGGTATCAGAGCCTTCTGTGACCAAGAGGTCTTATGTTCGATTCCCGGTGACCCCCATTTGTTAAGCACATGGTATTCTTGTCTCCAGACATGTGCAAACTTCAAGCTCTTGTGAGTGGCTTTCGTTTGAGGGGGCGTGTTAGTGTTGTGGTATATGATCCACGATTGAACCTCTCCCAACAACTCGAGTTATTGGGATCAACTGATTCTTGACAGGGGACACCCCGTGAAGAAGGGTGGGTGGTACAAGACCGAGGACTGCGCCGACGGCACCATTCTGTACGGTTACAGGTGGGCAGATGAAGGGGCGGGGATGTTACATGAGGTTTGTAGTTGGCGAGATTATTGTCTAAAATATGAATTAAACATGAACTTGGGGTATTATGATTCGCAAAATTTCTTATGGTTTGGTCCTCTTGGTATGTTGAATGTACAAGTACAGCCTATGATTTAGCCATTAGTTAGAATTTTAAGTATAATAATACCATGAGGGTGCATAAAAATTATCAAATATACTTTTTATATGTTTATTTTCTTCCTTTCGGCTCATAATAAGCATGGTGTGATGCATTGTAAATGGCTTTTTTTTACGTATTAGTCTGGTTTACTATCTTCCTAAAATAAAACTCATGTAATGGTTGGCAGTCTTATGAATGAGAAAATGAAGAGGAATTGATTGTGAAGTTTATCAAAATAAGTTACCCACAGTGATTTGCTACTGAGAAGGGTAGTTGGTGGTGGAGTCTTATTGATATTAAGTACCCTAATAGTTCCTCGGATTGGTGTACGACGAGAAGCACCAGTGGTTGTCGGTTACCCTTGGGCTAATATCTCGAAAGGATATGACTCCTTTTGGACGATGACCAGTATTAACCCAGGTAATGGTGCATGGGTGTCCTTTTGGCGTGATAGTTGGATCCCGAAGATGGTACTCGCGGATAGATTCCCTCGAGTTGCAGCTGCTTCGTCGCTCCCCAATGCTCGGATCGCAGATGTGTTGTCCCCTTCCGGTGAGTGTTTTGATTGGCAGCTTTCTCTCTACTAATCTTAGGAGTGGGGCTGAAAGGGAGCGAATTAATTTGCTTAATTGTCTTAATTCGGTTGGCATTAGAAGGGTAACCAGCGAGCCTCCCTGCCCTGTTTGGTTACCCAATCCAGATGCTTCTTTCTTTGTTCGTTCCATGTACAGGTGCTTGGTGGATGAGGCGTACGTAGGGGTCCCTAACTTCCCCTCGGATTCAGTGTGGAGATCGATTGTCCCGACCAAGATTAATGCCTTTAAGTGGCTTGTGGCTCACAAACGCATCCTCACCATTGATAACCTTAGAAGAAGAGGGTGGAAGATAGTGAACATGTGTGTGCTCTGTTGTCAGAAGGAAGAGTCTATCGACCACATCTTCATTCGCTTCGAGTACGCGAATGAGGTTTGGAGCCATGCAAAGTTGGTGTGCAATTCCATAGATGTCCCAGATTGCGATATGATCAGCTCTACAAGCAGGTGGCCCACGGATACTCCCGCTGATGTAGAAGGGGTGGATTCACTTTTGCTTATTACATACAATTTGTTGGCTGGTGTGGCTGGAACGAAATCAAAGAATATTCAGAGACGCCCAGACGAATGCTCGAGGGACATTGAAGAAGGCTTTTCGGAATACAGTAGAGTGGATCATCGTCCATGCCAAAATAGACAAAGAGGAAGGTCTAAGGTGGCTTGAAAGTCGGATTGGTATGATCTGATGAGTTTGAGGAGCGCTAGAAGTCTGCTTTGCTGCGCTTCTGCTGTGTTGAGGAGTTTGATTGGCAGCTGCTCTGGATCTATTGCATCCACATTTTTGCTCTCCTCGGGTTTTCCTTTTGCTGCTCGCCTCTCCTTGGGTTGTTCGCTCTTCCCTTTTGGCTTGCTTGATTGGCTGCAGTTCTTTTTCGTCGTCGTTTTGTTGTTTCGTGAACTGAGAGTTTGTGTGGTTGTTTCTGGGTTAAGCTTCGGGAGGGGCCTGGCCCGCTTAGTTGCTTTTAGTGGTGATTGTGTGATGGTCTGGATTTCGTTGCAGCTCTGTTCTTAGCTTCAGAAGCGGCTTGGTCCGCTTTGTTGTTACTTTGTCTTCGTCGAACTTGCGCTTTGTTGTATCATTGATTCACTAAAATAACTAATACTGTATTCAGACTGTCAGTAAATCTGTAAATGGGGTAAATTTGAATTCAAGCAAATGCGAAATAAATAGGGTCAGATCCTATTATTCAACCTCATAGTTTAATGATTTTCTTAAACGTGTGCGGGCCAATAAGAGGAGGAGAGAGAAGATTATGAGTTAACTACCTAAAAGGGTAAATAAGAAATTATTTTAAATAATTAATTTGATTATTAAATAACATTGTCATTTAATCTAAAGAAAACCGCCTCCTATATACAAGACTGGCGTCCATACGACCATACTCCCAATTTCTACCCAACGCTTCCATTTCAGGGGATTGCAATCGGAAAAAGAAGATACTGCATTGCACTCCATGTCGCCGGTTAAAACTGTGCCAACACATCTTTCGTCGATTCGGCATCGATCCTCCCTACGTCTAAGAACCAATGTCCTAGCGATCCCCTTCCTTTTCCTCCCGTTGTTTCGACATTCCAACACAATCACAATTGGCGACTACTGGTTTCGCCACAGTCGACGACACACGTGGACGTGGCCACCCATTATCTAGTTGACACTGCGACATTTTGTGAATGGTGTTGGAATCTTGTCTTTGTATATGTTTTTTTTTTTGTGAAAAATAGAGCGCAGAGGGGCGCTCTAACCCTTATGTATTAACTGAACGGGAAGAATGAATCCCCAAAGTATCAAAATACAGCCAGTATCTCAGACTAGAGCACGGGTTCTCAATCACATGGACCACTATAGGTAGGTTATGCCCGGCCAAGGCTAGGAAATCCGCCACCACATTGCCTTCACGAAACACGTGCTCAATTTGAACCTCCCACTCCCGTGTCAGTAGACCGCGGATCGCGGCCACCTGGACGAAGTGCGGGTTGCCTGGAGATGCTTCCTCGATGAGCTGAATCGCTATGCTCGAGTCAGACTGCACCTTCACCTTGCGACAGCCCTCCTACCAAGCAAGATGTAGGCCGCATAAAATCCCAGCTAGCTCAGCATGAGTAATAGATCCACCCCCCCTCCCCTAAATTGACAGAGAAAGCCCTCACTAACCGACCCATCTTATCCCTGATCGCTCCCCCTGCCGCCGTACTTTCCTGGCCACCAGTTACCGATCCATCGGTATTAAGACAAACCCAACCTTCCGGCGGAGCCTGCCAGCTAATCCACCTCGTCTCTTGAGCAGGGACGTCACCCAGGACCCGCCCGGCCGCCGTTGCCGCCAGCTCTACTTGCCGCCTAAGAGTTTTGGCCTGGGAAATAATCTGTTGCTCCGTAGCGAGGGATTTTTCAAACACCCAGAGGTTTCTATTCTTCCACAGACTCCAACATATAATAGCGAAAAGTGATGCATCAATGCATTTGCTCCTGTCCGTCAAATAGTGTAAAACCCACCTGTCAACATTTGGTTCAAAGAACTCGGCATTTGGTTCGTTCTCTAAGACTGAGGACCACGTAGACCTCGCGAAAGGGCAATCGCGGATAACATGAAGAGCCGTTTCAGGCCCGCCACCGCAAATTGGGCAGTCTGCAGATTGAGCCAGATGGCGCCGACTGCGCTCAGCATTAGTCAGGAGCTTGTTGTGGAGCACGAGCCAAAAGAAAGGCCTCAGCCGCTGAGGACCATCAATTTTCCACGCTGCCCTCCATACCGGTCGGTGGGGGCCTTCATCTCCCTCCGCTGCTGTCAATTCATAAGCCGTGGCCACAGTGAAGCGCCCAGAAGAAGAGAGCCTCCAACACGGAACATCAGGCTCTTCCTCATGCGGTACGGGGTGTAGCTGCAGCTGCATGACCACTACCTCTGGGAGAAAAGCCCGAGCATAGTCGAGATTCCAGCTTCCGTTGAGGACCATTTCAGCAACTGTTACATTGGAAGCTTCTACCGGAAGGTCATGTGCCAATTCCCTCAAGGGGGGCCCATCTTGTAGCCAGACATCTTCCCAGAAGCGGGTTCTCATGCCATTCCTAACATTCCACATAATTCCCTTAGGTAACAGATGAAGGACACGTAAGACCCCCCTCCAAAGGTTGGATAGTCTACCTGTAGTGCGCGGGATCCACCCCTCAGCGGTGTGCCTGAGATACTTAGCACTGATAACTCGAGCCCAAAGGCTGTCTGGCTCCGACAACATCCTCCAAGCGATCTTCAACATAAAGGCCTCGTTCATTCTAGTAGCATTCCGGAGACCCAGGCCCCCTTCCGCTTTCGGCCTGCATAAAGAATCCCAGTCGACCAGGTGGATCTTTCGTCCCTGTTCGGAGCTCCCCCAGATAAAGCCCCGAATCTTCTTATCAATATAGTCCCTAACTGCTGTCGGGAGAAACGATGTCTGCATTATGTATGCAGGTAAAGCGCCCAGAACCGACTGCGCTAAAGTGATCCGTCCCACGTTCCATTTATCAATCTAATTAATAGAAGCCCAAGCAACAATCACTGTTGCTTATGGAAAAAAACGGGCCTTAGCTTAGGCTGAGTCCAATGGGCACCCCATTTAAGGGGGAATCTGCAGAAATAATGGAGTGGGAGGTCAAATGGAGGGAGTTGGGGCGCCATTTTTGGAGGAGTGTGCAAATGGATCCTCAAATTTGGGGGAAGGAATGGTGGAGTCGCCAATTATGGGGGAGGGAGGACGGAAGAAGCGGGCCACCGCCCAGCGCTGGCGGCCATACCTTTTATTTATTTATAGTGTTTTAGTATTTGTGTTGTAATTAATTTAGGAAGGGTTTTTTATGATTCATTAAGGGAATGATAATTTATGTTTGTAGTTTTTTTAGACTTCTTTCATTTGTATTTAATTTAATTTGTGTTTAATTTCTTTTATTTGATAAGATGTAAAATTTTATGTTATCATATTGAAATTGTGTAAGAAAAAACTAGACCAATGTAACAATGAAAAAATATATTAAGGCTTTGATAAGTACACTTTTTTGAGTAAATGGAAAATTGGAAAAATTAAGATCTCCAAATATGAAAATTGAAGTATTGGAGCAAAATAAGGGAAAATGGGGATCAATCCCCAAATTTGGGGGTTTTGCATTGGACTTGGCCTTATACGCAAATTGCTCCAGCAGCACTGTTCAAGTAGGGTTTTTATCCCCTACTTTCATTTTCACCATAAGCTCATCGTTATGTTGTATTAGAACTACTATACCATACATAAGGATATATGTAACAATGTTCTATAAGAGTTACGTACATTACAAATATATTATGTAAACTATATAGTGGGATAGTTATTATTTAATTATCAATTGAAGACAAACGTGCTTAATAACTTTTCTACGGTAAGCTACTTTTTACATAAAATTCTAATCGAATGTGATACTTTCCATTTGATTTTATTATTAGACCACCCATAAAGATTTACATAACAATTTTTTTATAATAGTTACATACATTACAGATACACTATATAAACCTTACAATGAGATAATTTCTTCTTAATTATCAATTGAAGACAACGTGTTACGTAAGTCTTGCCGTGATTATTATAACATCATCGAAAACTTATAAATGTATCATTACGTAAGTCTTGCCGTGATTATTATAACATCACCGAAAACTTATAAATGGATCATTTGTTATGCATCAATTGAACGTAAGTTTTTCATATTATTATTAACTAGATTGTTAACCATTTTATCCATTTGCATTACATGAAAGTTATGTAAGGTAAGTTTTTTTTACATAAGCGGAATGGGTTTAGTTGCTAACCCCTTAAGGGGTTAGCATCATACTAACCACTCTAACAACCTTTAGATCAAAATATTAATCCTAGGGTTAGAATTAATCAGAGGATAATTAAGTCAATATGCATCAAACCCTAATATAAATACTACTATTTTACCCTAACGGCCTCTCTCATGAACTCACGTCTCCCTGTCTCCCCTCTCTATCAACTAATACACCCAACTCCATCTCCAGCCAAATTAACATTGCCGCCAAGAACCGTTGAAGTCGTCGTAGTCCAATCCGGCCGGACTCAACATCTTCGTCTCTCCGAGCAGTCGTGGTCGAGCGAGTTCCAGATCCAAGTCTCGCCTGTGCGAAAGCAGGAGGGGGAAGTGGTGGAGCCGGGAGTATCGATGTTAATTCTGCCGCTACGAGAAGCCCATTCTCGTCCCTCTACCTCGTCGCCGTCGCGCTCCATCGATGTCGATTCCGCAACGAGTCTGCGACTCCGTAGCGACGCCGATGCCGTCAACGTCTCTCAACTGGCTTGATTTTACGTTGTTAATCTAATGGCTGATAATGTCGCAACGACGCCGACGCCGATGCCGCCAGAATTATCTGTAGTAGTAATATTCAGATCTAGAGGAATTTTACAGATTTGTGGTGATTATTCTCTACGGGTTTGATTTTATGTTTCTAATAGGGTTTAGTTTTATATTAGTAGTAATTTGTATGCAGTAGTGATTTATTTGTAGGGATTATGATTAAATGTGTAGTGATTTTGATCAAGGTTTTCATAGTTATGGTAGCATATTTTTCCATTCGTAGTATTTTATATTTTGTAGTAGTGATTCTCATTAAAAATTATCAACCGCTACAAATTAAAAATTGTTAAAACACTACTATTTATTTGAAAACCACTACGACCCTCCAAAACACACTACAATGAGCCTCCATAATAATTCTTCCTTATTAATTAAAAATCCTAAAATAAATATTATTGGCCAAAATGACTACTAATCTAAGTAGTAGTAAATTTATTAGTAATTTTTTTGGTATAAAATGCTAATAAATAGATGAGAGAGAAAATGGAATTTTAGTTTTAAATTAATTTATTATTTTAATTTTGTGAAAATCCAAACAAACCCTTCATTATTATCCACCGTTAGATTCAACTTTAAAGAATGGATGATGATTAGAGTCGTTAGCACAGTGCTAACTCTTATGAAGTTAGCACTCTAACCTCTCCCTACATAAGCTTTGTTTCCTCGGTCGAATTTCAGGGGAAGATGATGACTCCTGCCCTATTCGACCGGGCTTAAGCCCTCTCCTTCTTTTCTCTGACCTGGACCGCAACCCTCTCCTTTATTTTCTTCCTTCCCGGACACTGATGGCGACGGAGGAATTCGGGGCGGCGGCGGTGGTTTTGGTGTATGGAAGGCGGGTGAAGGCTTTAGGTAGGGTTTTAGTGTATTGGGGATTTTTTTTAATAGTTGTAAAAATGAGGTGGAAAATTTAGGAAAATTATTTTTTTATTTTTAATATTATTTAACTGTCACATCACACATTTAACGGTCAACTATAAAAGTTGACTGTCACGTCAGACAAAGTTAACGGAGTTGGATGAAGAGTGACCAAACTTGAACTATTTTACTACTTTTAGTGACTACGATTGGAATTAAGTATTTCTAGTGACCAAATGTGAACATTTTTAACAATCTCAGTGACCAACCTTGCACTTAACCCGAACCCCTTTTCATAACTTCATTTTTATTATTAGTTATAGTTTCTTCACTATTGACTAAAACATTCACCATGTCATCACTTTAAATTACAAAATGATTTTTCAGTGTTAATTAATTTTTACATAACCTTCTGATCAAATGTAATACAACTACACATAAGTAGCATTGTTTTGAACTGCACATAAGTATGCTCTTTGTCATCTAGAAATAGAATTTGCTTGTACACAGCTACACTAAGTAGCAATGTTTTGAACTGCTAGAAATTCCAGCTTAAAAAGGTTAATCATAGCTAGACAACACCAATAGAGATGATTTCAGCAGTTTTGGCACACTCTACTCTTGTTTCCGAGCTCTTTTAATTGCAACTCTACTCTTCTTTCTGAACTCTGTACTCCCTTCTCTGTTCCCAGTTCAAACTCAGATTCTTCTCCACCTGTAATCATGGCCGATACGAGACCTCATCATCATGTGTTGCTTTTCCCATTCATGTCGAAAGGCCACACCATCCCAATCCTTCACCTATCTCACCTCCTCCTCCGCCGTCAACTCTCCGTCACCGTCGTCACCACTCCGTCGAACCTCCCCTTCATCGCTCAATCTCTCCCCAACACCACCGCATCGATCCTCCAAATCCCGTTCCCTTCCAAATTGGAAGGAATCCCAACTGGGACTGAGAGCACTGATAAGCTCCCATCGATGTCCCTCTTCCCCCAATTCGCCCTGGCCACAAAGCTAATGCAGCCAGACTTCGAGCGCCTGGTTGACAATCTCCCCCAGCCAGTTGACTTCATGGTTTCGGATTCCTTCCTATGGTGGAGTTTGGAGTCAGCGAACAAGTATGGATTCCCGAGGTTAGTGTTCAGTGGTATGTGTAACTACGCCGTATGTATGTTCAGAACTGTGAACCAGAGTGGGGTTCTTTTGGGGAATGAATCGGATGATGAATTGATCACTGTTCCTCGGTTTCCATGGATTAAGTTGACCAGAAACGACTTCGAAAGGCATGCTGGGGATTCGGAGCTTGTAGTCAAGTCGATAACGGCATCCAAAGCCAGTTATGGGTATGTTATCAACAGCTTCTATGAGCTTGAACCGGTCTTTGTGGATTCCTTTAACAACGTCATCACCAATGGACCTAAGGCTTGGTGTGTTGGTCCACTCTGCCTAGCCAAGCCACCAACACCGGTTATGCAAGCAATTCGTCAGAAACCCAGTTGGATTCAGTGGCTGGATGAGAAGTATGAGCAGAAAAGATCAGTTCTTTTCGTTGCATTTGGTTCACAAGCTAGGGTTTCAGCTGAGCAGCTGAAGGAGATATCACTTGGGCTAGAGAAGTCCAATGTGAGCTTCCTTTGGGTTACAAAGGAGAAAGAATCAGAATTGGGAGATGGGTTTGAAGAGAGGAATCGTGGTAGGGGGTTTGTGGTGAGAGAGTGGGTGGATCAAATGGAGATACTGAACCATCCTAGTGTGGGAGGGTTTCTAAGCCACTGCGGGTGGAATTCGGTGCTGGAGAGTGTGTCAGCAGGAGTTCCCATTCTAGCATGGCCAATGATGGCCGAGCAGCATCTGAATGCGAGAATGGTGGTGGAAGAGCTGAAAATTGGAGTAAGGGTGGAGTCAAGCAATGGGTCGGTGAGAGGGTTTGTGAAATGGGAAGGGTTGGAGAAGAATGTGAGGGAGTTGATGGAAGGGGAAAGAGGGGAAGAAGTGAAGATGAAGGTCAAGGAGTTTAGCAGGAAGGCAAGGGAAGCTATGGAGGTAGAGAGAGGATCGTCCTGGCGCACACTAGACTTGCTCATCAAAGAAATATGCAGCAAAGAGACATAGAGGTGAAGATTCTTATTACTCGTATACATGCTATGGTCATATATTCTCATCTGGCAACCAGAGTAATATGTCAATGGTACATTGTACTGGACACTGATAATTCTTGTGTAGCTTCTTCACTGTAATGAGCTGGGTTGCATTGGTTTCTCCCTAATTATCTGTCTCTGAGTGTGATGGCCATGGCCCATTGTTGACTTGTTGTTGTCCAGAGGAATAATCGATCGGCATATACATATACATGAATCATTCTTAAATTTCCAATGGTCAAAGCACCAAAATGATAGCTTAACATGAGCTCACCATTTATCAATCATAGACATAAGCATTTGCAATATCATTAATTTCTTTTAAAGCTCCATACACTAGATGGCACCATTGCTGAACTTCAATTTTATTTCCTGTAGGATCCCTGCAAAGAAAAAAAAAGGTCATGAGGAAAGAGCCAGAAAGACAGCCTATGCGGTACTGCTCGTGGGTCTTTGGGAATTGTTGATACCAAGGTTTCCAGGCTTGTTAACGACAAACCTTTTCACGTATTTACAAACAGCAAGAAGCGATCTTCCCATTGTCAATCATGCACTATGCTGTTCCTCTCCTTTTCAACCCTCAAAACGGCGAATTACGGAATCTTGTTTATACCCCATACACAGATTCATAAGAATCCAAGAAGAATCTATTGATTTTGGCCTCAACCATACCGAGTCCGAAACCCAATCATTCCTCTCTTTAATGTTCTGCTTCTTGTCTGTTCTTCAAAAGTTGCGGTCTTTCTCTGTTTCTAATGTCACCCATCGTCTTTTTTTCAGATCTTTTGTCACCTTATCTAGTTTCTGATGCACAAACCGAAGGTAAAGACCATGTTCTGCTTCAGAAGAACGATGATCATGCTCTGTTTCCTCTTCATCGTGACGACAGCTCTTTCAGAAAGTCCTGACGAAAGAAGCTGCATCCTGAATTTCCCATTTCCATCATCGCCGAACTTTCAACTGACCTGCGGTCATGGAAACTGGGGCGGATTCCTCAACAACTGCTGCGGATCGGCGTTTCCAGGGTACTTATACGCCCTTGGGAAGCGCGCAAACCAGACAGATGGGTCTTCCGTATTCCTGAACTCCAGCCAGCAGACCAGTTGCTTGTCTGAATTGTCGCGTCACGAGTTGGATTCATTGAGCTGCGGGATCGAGAAGCTGACAGCTGGCGGTGGAGGGTGCTCCGACTACTCGGTGGCGGATGTGGAGGCGAATCTGGGATCGGAGCTAAGGAATCTGGAACAGGGTTGTTGGTTTCGGGAAGGTGGTTCTTCTTCATGTGGTTCTTGTGTGAGGATTTGGCGGGGAATAGGCGGCGGGAGTGGGAGTGATGTGTGCCGTTTTGCGGTGCTTGTTTCTATGACTAGCCGCCGGATTGATGATGAAATTGGTGTGGAGAAGGTTTATAGTTGCCTGGAACAGCAACGGAATGAGGATTTCTCTGGAAATGGTAAGTTTATCCGGTTGATTTTACAGGATCGTGTTTAGGATTTTTTTCGTAACTCAAGTTATTGTGATTCAGCATTTGGGTAACCTTCAATATCAACAGTTGAGGATTTTTCCCAATAACTAAAAGTTGTTTCCTGCTCATTTCCTTCAGATGGGTCAGCTTCAGGAGCAGGGGAAAGCAAGAGAAAAAGTAGAAAAGGTAGAGTCTCTCTCAACTAATTCGTTCCGTCAATTCTAAACTAATTGTGCAAATTACGTGCTCACTTTTGTGTCACGAGCATGTACATAAATGGTATCAAATTCATTTTTTGAGCTTCTTCGAGTTACTACGACGAACGCTATAGTTTTTTAAGTTAACAATCCAAATGGCAGTAACAGTGGTTAACTATCTCATCAGTCTAACAAGGAGCTGTCTTTTTGGGGTGCTTGAATCAGATTTTTGGATCCTTACTGGAGTTGTCACCGTAGTTATGGCCTCCCTAATCATTGCGATAAGCATGTTTACAATACGATTCATTCTGTCAAGGAAACGGGGAACCAACACAAATTTGATCACCAGAAAAAGTGGTACAGAACTTTCAGCTCACTTTCTTTTCACAAACTTCTGCTTGCCTAAATCCGTAAAAAGATAGAAGTCCTGATTCCTTATAAGTTACAGGTTTTCAGGAGATGAAACTAGGTGATTACCCGTGTCCGAAGTTCACAATCAAGGAGATCTACAACGCTACCAGCGACCTGAGCATAACCAATATCACCGGAGAAGGAGCTGCAGGAAAAGTTTACAAAGGCATACTACCGAATACTGGCCAGAAGGTAGCAATCAAACACATCATCAACGATGGAAATGCAGAAACCGTGGTGAGGGAAGTCACTAGCTTGTGTCATGTCAGACATCCTAATCTGGTGGCCCTTCTTGGATGCTGTGTTGGAGACGATGAGTGTTTCCTCGTCTATGAGTTCTGCCCCAACGGCAATCTCTACCAGTGGATCTTCGGTACTCCATTTCGAACTCGACAATTCGTCTCAATGTTCCTGGTTTTTTGCGGTCATTTGCTGATGTTTGTGTAGGCAAACTTTGATAGGGAAGGAAAAGTGCTTATCTTGGACCAGAAGGCTCGAGATTGCAATCGATAGTGCACGAGGTCTCTGGTTCCTCCACACATACTCTGAAGGGCGTATTGTTCATCGCGACATCAAGGTATCGAACTCGGCTGATTGATCAGTTATTAAACTTGATGTGTCTAAAGTCGTTCAAAGCTTATAACAAAATGCTTTGTTATCTTTGGTTTTATGGGCAGCCTACGAACATTCTTCTAGGTCCTCATTTTGAAGCAAAGCTCTCGGACTTTGGACTGTCGAAGGTTATGGAAGATGGGGATATTCAAGTGAGCTCTGAAGTGAGAGGGACGTTTGGTTACGTCGATCCTGAATACCTGAACAACCGTCAGGTTGATTCGTCTGGAGATGTCTACAGCTTTGGAGTTGTGCTGTTGCAGATCATCTCGGGAAAGAAGGTCATCAATATGAATATGAAAGAGCCACTTCCCCTGCATAAAATGGTAGGATTATCAGAACCCATAAATCCTTTTAAAATTCCTAGTTCAGTCAGGATTTCTAATCCTATTCGGACAAGAACTTTTAAATGCATACAATGATAGCATAACTATGATTAAGCTGTTCTGAGAATTGGCATTTGATCGTAATGTCTCAGGCAAAAGCTTTCACCAAAGGAGAAAGCATGCTGGAGTTTGCAGACCCTAAGATGACGGGAGACTACCCTTCTGAAGCTTTCAAGCTTGTATTTGAGCTGGCATTGTCGTGCACAGGTATCAAGCAAGATAGACCAAACATGGAGAAAGTTTTAATCAGATTAGAACAGGCCCTTGCCTTATCAACAAAGCAGCAGAATCCCATTCCTTCAACCTCACCAGATCAGATCTCAGTATCAGAAAGATTCGAACAGTCAGATCTTGATACATGACAAAACAAACTCAGGTCAGTCAGGTGAAAGCTCCAAATGCAGGTATTCTTCATTGTAATGAGCAGATAGAGATTCTTGTTCATAACATCTAATGTAAAAAAAAAACAACTCAAATTGAGGTAAGGTTTAATAACAATGCTGGGATTCTACAAAACAAAAACAAAAAAACAATGCTGGATTCTGCAGAGCATCTACAACAATCTCAGATTTCAGTTACCTTTGAATTCAATACTTCAACTGGAGTTAAATGTCTCATAATTTCTAACAATCACTTAACATCGCGTGTCAATACAATTTGTTTATATCACAAGCTATAGCAATGTGAAGTTCGTGTTTTGCAATATCGTATTCCTATCAGTAAACTAGTATACATTCACACAAAAATGTTAGCACATTGCACAAAGCTCCTAAACTACTACACTTTCTTACGCTCATCCAACTTAACCATTCTCAATAGACAAACTGTACACTCTCTACTAGCTAAACATCATGGTCAGTGTAAAAATTGGGCTCATCAGGCTTAAATAACTGAGGCATCTTCAAGCTGGAAGAGGTCCCTGTTTCAGCCCCATGCAGCCCCTTCTGCTTCCTTGTATTGGCAGCAAACCTAGAAGCCAACATCGTAGCTCCGAGCCCTCTTTGATTCGCACCTGAAACCCCATCCCCATTTTCATCCTCGTACTCGTCCTCTTCAGAGTCATCATCCTCGTCCTCGCTGTAGTAGAAATAGTCCGCATCCATAACAGGCAAGTACCCTGAACCTAAGGGGCTCTCCCTCCTTGTCAGCTCCTTTGTCAGTTTCCTCTTCTTGAACCTCCTCCAGACTACCTGTATCAAGCAGGCTGCCCATGTCCGCCACTGATGGGAGTAGTACCTGAAGGCATGCTGAATTCTCTTGCTCTGCAGTCGCTTGAACTGCAAGGCAACAAACTTCAGGTCCTCTGCCTGGAGGGCAAATGCCTCCACTTCTGTGAGTGCCTTCACGGTTCTGGTGGAGGATGGGAAGTTGAGGCTCGATGTGGGCATCAACGCCCACGTCAGAAGCTCCTCGCCGCAGAAATCACCTGGGCGGAGGGTGATCGAGTTGAAGAACCCTGTTCGTCCTCCATTAGTCGTTGAGCTCTCTAACTGGCCTCTGATTATGAAGAGCATCTCATTGACCGGGTCTCCTTCTCGAACAATATAGGTCCCTTCTGTGTTTAACGACGAGAACAGTCGCTCGCAGATTGCATCCAGGAGCTGGTCGTCCATCTGAGAGAAGAACGGGACCTGTTTAAAAGAATTCGAGTTATTGAGACGAATGAAGTTTACAGAGTTACAGAAATGTTGGGAATAGAAGTGGAGGGAAAGCATTACACGGCGGACGAGGGAGAGGCAGAGGTGGCGCTGGATTTCCCGTCGCAGGTCCTGAGGCAATGACCAGAGGATTGACTCTTCATGGACACCTCTGGTGGCGAGCCATTTGTACTGCACGAACCGGCGAATTCGCTCTGCGAGAGCTGGAGGTAACTGGCGATGCCTCATCCATTCCTCTGTATCTCTTCTCTTGATCCTCCACTCTTCCAATCTCACAGACATAGATTGCAGATTAGTCTGTCCCAAGACAAATAGTAGCAGTCAGCTCTTTATCACAGGGTAACTTAAAAGAACATCAAAGCTTGAACTTACCTGCATATTGCCAATGAGTTGTGCAGAAAGCACCAACCCAACGATACAAGTGACAATGCAGAACACGTTCTCCCCCAGAAAAATGCTCGTATCCAGATTCTGGGCATACGAACTACCGAAAGACAGAGCGAAAAGCATCAAAAGGGTTTTGGCATTGAGCCAGCTGAAGAAGGAAAAGCAAGGATCTTTCTTTGTTGGTTTCTCTTTACCTACCTTAGATTCTTGAATCCCCACCATAGACAGTACAAGTACTTCTCCACAAAAGGCGAGGAAGCAACCTCGCTAGTGAAAGCTTCAGCGAAGATCCCAAATGCGAACCCGATGTTGCTGTTGAGAGGGTCGCAGGTCGCGAGGACATGGGTCACATTCCGCCAGTACTGCCTCTCAGGCATCACCATAGATTTGCAGTCCAGGAATTGGTTAACACAGCCTATGTTCCCTTCATTATTCTCCCTCGCACATGCCGTTTTCCAGCAGTAGTACTGCCGGCCAAACGACAGCAGGTACCATGTAGCTCCTAGTACCTGAATCGGCAAACCCCCCACGATTTCCAATGTCATTGAGGGTGAAATGCAGTGGAAAATGAAATGGTGGAGTGGGGTGACGCTGCTTACTTACATGACTGGCGAGGATGAAGAGGACGAGATTGTAAGCGGCACCAGCCCAGGCAGTCTTGACGATGAAGCCGGTGGTCTTGACGATGCGTTGGTGGAGAGGGAAGATGACGAACATCCTGGGAATGTATTGGATAAGAACTATGAGCGAGAGTGTGTTGTTGGCGTAATCTGCTGTGTGGTTTCTCGCCACTGGGATTACTAGCCATATTACGATCTGTAGAAAGAAACACATTTCTTGATTAGCAATAGCAATTCCAAATACATGGTCCCCTTCGCTGCAATCTCCATCCGATCAGAAACATTGTCTTGTTTAATGTTAACATTTCAGGTTATCCAAAAAAATCAATACAGAAGACCAATCCACGGACCATAATCGACCCATACCTTATCGTTTTGATGCATTTTTCATGATTTTACTGGTTAATTACCCTAAAGCAAAAGAAATATAATCACAAAGTTAGAAGCTAACCTGAGGCAGGGGAAGAGCGGCGGCGACGTCGATGACGAAATCGGACCTGAGGTAGCGATGAGCAATCTCATTGGAATCCATGACGAGCTCGCCGCGGCCGAAAACCCGCGTATTGGGCGCGACGAAGGCGGTGCGGAACTTGAGGACAATGTGGAGGATGAAGAACAAATCAGCGATGGATCGGTAACAGGTGATCTTGACGGCGAGGTGGTGGTCGAAGGAGAAGCAGAGGTCCTTGGCGACGACCAAAGGGAGGAAGAAGTAGAGCGGGTCGATGAACAAGGCGAGGATGGAGGTCAGGAGGAAGACGTGGTTCCAGTACGTCACGATGTCGCTGTCCGGGTCGAGGATCTGGTACCGCCATAGGATGAGGAGCGGGTGGGGCTCGCCGTTGGGAGGGGAGGAGATGGCGGCGATGGTGTTGATGAACGCGGTGGGGAGGCGGTGCTGGAGTCGCCGGAACCGCCGGCGGAATTTGGCGGTTTGGGTGTAGTAGACGAGGTCTCTCATGTTTCCGCCATGGAGGGAGAGGGGGAAATCGAGAGAGAACGGTTAGAAGAGAAGAATGGAGGGGATTTGTGAGGAAGGGGAAAAACTGTTTTTTCGTGAGGGAACGGAAGAGAGGGAGTGAATTTCGGAGGTGGCGGGAAAATGTTGTGACGACTAACGTAACATGTAATTCCAAATGGGCGGGGGAAAATTCGGTCCATATTAGACTTAACCAACCACTCCATATAATCTGATTTTAATTTTGTTATGTTTTGTTTAAAATGAGACTAAATTGAAATAAATTTGATCACTTCAAATGTGTTTTGGTTCGACTTTGAATAATATTTATCCATTATATTTTACTTGAATTATTTTCGATCCAAATTGATTCTCGACCAATACGAACCATACCATCTCACATGGCATGCGATTTAGAGGAAATAATTGTCATGAACTATTTGGTTTTCAATAGTTCGAGTTATTAAGTGAATGTTAATTATGAATATTATTTATCAAATATTTTTTCTAGATAAGGGTGATATGTGTTTGTTTTCATCTTATACTTGATAAACTTGAAACCTTCAGGTTCAAGACTAGTGATAGTACTATTAGACCAAACACTTGTTTGCATATTATATATCTAACTCATGTTTATATCAAATATTAAATTTGGGAACCATAGAGATTTAAATACGCGACTACTCAGCCAAGCTAACTATAATATCATAACATGAAATTTTTAGTCTTTATAACTAGAGCTCTTAGAAAAAGTCAATTATAAATCTTATATCACTATCTTATAATGATAATATAGAGATTCATTTGTCAACCGTTAATTCACTAATTTTTTTTAAATACTTATCTGTTACAACTTTCAACTCAATTAAAATGATGAGTTGATTACAACTTGTGATTTTTTTTTTTTTTTTTTTTTTTTGGTAAAAACAACTTGTGAAATTTTAAATTTAACGCTTAGCCCGGTGCCTTTTTTAAGGTTTGGATTGGAGATTGGAATGTTGGATTTGACCGTAGCCCATGCCCCATGGGCTCATGCGACAGCTTCTGTTACTTATTCCCTTGAAAGCTCCCGCGAAAAATCACCTAATCGAACGAAAGCATATCCGAGGGAATCGCAGGTGATCGCGACGGAGGTTGTGCTTTTTTAGAAGAAACCCCGTTTACGTAGTCAGATTAGTAATTGCGCCCACGTTTTCATTATGGTAGGTGATCAGAATCGCAGATGACTCAGCGCCTGCCTGCCGCCGCCGTGATAAACAAACTTGCTTTCTTTCTCCGGCCGTCGTCTATCCATAGGGCCCCACTCACACGCGCTCTTGTACCACTTGTAAATCCCCTCAATCATTTCGCTGGGACCGGCGTCTCTCCTCCGGTCATCCCACGTTACTTTATTGAAGGATTGATTCCTTCCCATCGAGGAAAGCCCAAATCAATTATTAGGAAAAATGGGGAAAGAGAAACCCAAATCGATAACTCTCTCATTATTATATCGCATCTGCTTCAGCCGCCGCTTCTCCAGCTCTCCTACTCCTCGATTCCTGCTTATATAAAAACCCCTCGTCGGTAGCCACCCTCCTCCAGAAACTCGCCACCCTCCGAAACGCTTCGGCTCTCCAGTTCGGCAGTTCTCCGCTTGATCTTTCACGTTTCTCCAGGGTCCCATTAATGGCCGGAGCCGCCGAGGGAAACGGTCCTGCTGCCGTTGATGTAGGGATGGACGGTGGTGTTCCTGGGCTTTCCGCCGTGATTCCAGGGTGGTTCTCAGAGATCAGCCCAATGTGGCCAGGTTTGCTTTCGATCTCCTGTTTTATAGTTTCGATGATCAGGGAACTGCTTTGTGAAATTAGGTTTTGGTCAACGGTGGATTGTTCTTATTCTGTGGCCGGTTTCTGGAACTGGGTTTGTTGAATTTCCGGCTGGCTGATTGATTTTCTTTTTCTTTTTGGGGTTGGTGGTGTGGCAGGGGAGGCTCACTCTATGAAGGTGGAGAAAGTTTTGTTTCAAGGCAAATCCGACTACCAGAACGTTGTTGTGTTCCAGGTACTTCTGCCCTTCTCCCCCGTTTCCTGGTACCCGTACTTCTATCCATGTGGATCGTTGAATTGGTGATTGAGAGAACTGTCACTCTTGTTAACTTGCAGTCAGCTACATATGGGAAGGTTCTTGTGTTGGATGGGGTGATTCAACTCACTGAAAGAGATGAGTGTGCATATCAAGAGATGATTACCCACCTCCCACTTTGTTCCATCCAAAACCCCAAAAAGGTTCACCTTTACAACCTCTAAACTTTGGACTAAGAGCTTTAGGATCAGTGGAGACCCATTGCTGAATGATGTTGTGAACATTTTCTGTTTTGCAGGTGTTGGTTATTGGAGGAGGTGATGGAGGTGTCATTCGCGAAGTGTCTCGCCACGCTTCTGTTGAGCAGATTGATATGTGCGAAATTGATGCCATGGTGGTTGATGTGAGTTTAGACAAATCTCTTCATTGTTCCTGTCTAGTTGGTGTATGTTTTTCCTGTTACATATTTGAAGTGCCTGAGCACATCATAAAGCTATAGCTTTCCTCTATCTCAGGTCTCTAAGAAGTATTTCCCTGATGTAGCAGTTGGATTTCAAGATCCTCGTGTCAATCTCCACATCGGCGATGGTAATGCCTGCTCTTGCTTCTCTGTACCAGCCCATTTTCTGCTTCACACATATCCATTGTGAAACTCTGTCAACCCTTTTACAGGCGTCGCTTTCCTAAAGGCGGTTCCACATGGCACTTACGACGCTGTTATAGTTGATTCCTCGGATCCAATTGGTATGTGTTTGCCTTTGTCACAAACTTCAAACAGATTCAATTATTCGTTTAACTTGGAGAATGAAGTCTCATCTCATGTGGTTAACTAACTTTGATCAGGGCCTGCAAAAGAGCTGTTTGAGAAGCCTTTCTTTGAGTTGATTGCCAAGGCTCTTCGCCCTGGCGGTGTTGTTTGTACGCAAGCTGAGAGTTTGTGGCTGCACATGCATCTCATTCAAGACATTGTATCTAACTGTCGTGAAATCTTCAAGGGCTCTGTTAACTATGCTTGGACCACTGTCCCTACATATCCGAGGTATGGGACTTCTCTGGATTTTTCATTCATGGTACAATGAGATCGACTTAATTGAGCCTCAAATGCATGGCATTTGTCTCCTGATTCAAGGGTTTTTTGGCAACCATCCATTGGTTCTGCTGGTTTCGAGAATGCATGTTTTCTAACATGACATTACATCTCATTAAAAAAAAAAAAAAAAAACATGACATTACATCCTGGTGCATGTTGAGTTAAAGCTTTCGAGTTTCGTGCTATTGGGGGACTCCAGCGATCATTTTGTTTGTTGCAGTCTTTCAAACCATTAACTGTGTTCTGAAAGATACAAGAAGTTACTAAATTGTGCATTCAAAGGACATGTCAACTAAATTCACCCTAAGTGTATTCACATTCCTCCGCGTATTCTGCAGTGGAATGATTGGCTTCATGCTTTGCTCCACTGAGGGCCCAGCAGTTGATTTCAAGAATCCGGTGACCCGTGTTGAAGGTGAAGGGAGTCACCCCCAAGTTAAAGGGCCATTGAGATTCTACAATGCAGAGGTGAGTTTACTTTGCTTGCACAAACCCCAAACCTTACTCTCCTACTCCTGGAATTGTCAAAATTGCAGTTTAATTTAACGGGTTAATTGCATGGTTGGTCACTGAAATTACAAAAAGCGTTCATGTTTGGTCACTATAAATATTTAAATCCACTTTTGGTCACTAACTTTACAAAAACCGTTCATTTATGGTCACTCTCCGTTAGCTGCCGTCCAACGCCGTTAACGGCGTCCGTTAAGTGATGACGTGGCTGACGGATTTGCCTAATCAGCACTTTTTAACCCCAAAATTGACTGATCCGACCCGCCACGTCATTTAAACCCGCCATGTCAGCTAAACCTAACCAAACCTCTACCCAAACCCGACCAGACCCGCTAACTAAAACCAGACCAGACCCCCAAAATTGTTTGACTAAAACCCTAATCAAAGACTGCCTCCATCCGCGCAGCCTTCCTCCCTTCCCGGTCACCTTCTTCTCGATCGAGTACGCAGCTCCGGGTCGTCGTAGAAGGTGGAGTCGGGCGGGTCGGCAGGAGAATGTGGCAACAAAATCTAAATTCTCTTCTGCGAAAACCCCTGCTCTCCGAAGAAGCAGAGGCCGCGCAGAGACGCGGTGGAAAAATGAGACGTTTTAGGGATTCGATTTCCCCTTCAGCCCTTCTTTGCCCTCCTCCAAACCCGCTCTATGGTTTCTCGAAGAAACGCCGGTGGATAACAACGAAAGGTAGGGGACGGTGGCGGTGACGGTCAAGAACTGATTCTGAGCCGATCTATCTTCCTCACCTCAACAATAATCGAAGCCGTGAGATTCGGATTGACTCTGCTCTCTACTGGGAATTGCTTAGTGAGCTATCTGATGGATCGATCTAGATTGAGGATGGCGGCTTCGAAGTGGGTTGTGAGCTATCTGAATAATCGAAGCTAAGGTCAGACCCCAAATTTGATTTTTTTTGTTTAACTAATTAGGAGGAGTTGCTTGGGATGATTCGTTAACCCATTGATAGTACTGTTTATTTCTCAGCCTTTGGCAAGATGAACTTGGGATAATATGCAGCAGGTAGCTCTTCAGCAAGCAATGGACTAGGTGATTTTTCCATTTTTCAACCATTGAGAGGAAATACAGGTTCTTGAGGCCGCCCAGTGTTTCGGGGATCGTTCCTCCGAGGTTGTTGAAGTTTACCGCGATTACTTCCAGAGAGGAAATATTACCCAGCGATGGAGGGACGCCGCCGGTGAGATTGTTGTATTCGAGAATCAAATCCCGGAGCTTCGAAGTACCGACGACCGGATCTGGGATGTTTCCGACGAGCTTGTTTTCGCCGAGCAGTGTGCATAATAAGTGCTGATCTGGTTTGGTTTTAGTTAGCGGGTCTGGTCAGGTTTGGGTAGAGGTTTGGTTAGGTTTAGCTGACATGGCGGGTTTAAATGACGTGGCGGGTCGGGTCAGTCAATTTTGGGGTTAAAAAATGTTGATTAGGCAAATCCGTCAGCCACGTCATCACTTAACGGACGCCGTTAACGGCATTGGACGGCAGCTAACGGAGAGTGACCATAAATGAACAGTTTTTGTAAAGTTAGTGACCAAAAGTGGATTTAAATATTTATAGTGACCAAACATGAACGCTTTTTGTAATTTCAGTGACCAAACATGGAATTAACCCTTAATTTAACATATGTTCTTTTTCTATCTCTTCCAGATTCATTCTGCAGCTTTCTGCTTGCCATCATTCGTGAACAAGGCAATTGGCTCAAAACTCCGGTGAAAGATGGAAAAACTGGAAAGGGCTTAACAAGAACAAATTACCGGACTAAACAACGCATCATGACGTATACATTATAGAGAGAGTAAAGCTGTGTGTAAGCTAAGCTACTGATTAGGGTGTAGCCATGTTCAACATTATTAAGCAATAAAAGACTGCATTTGCTTTTGCTGATTTCCCTCGTCTCTCTCAAATAATCTTCTCGTCTTACACAAGATTTGTGCACCCTTGCTTCTCCGAATCAACTTTCTTCTCCAGAAACCTCCTTTTACAGTCGTAGTAGTAAACAGTACAAACTACCCAATTCACCACTTCCCCAAACCAAACCAACCCGCCTTCTCCTACAGCAATCAAAACCACCATAGATCCAGATTCCTTGTTCAGATAACCATAGTACCCAAATACCATCCTCAAGAAAACCCTCCAAACCTGGAAAACAACCATTAATAGAAATCCCCTGCCTCTGCATCCCCTGCTGATATACCCTGCGACCCCAATCCCAATATACCCGTGCTTCTCTTCCAGGATAGACACCACCAAACCCACGTTCCAGATCGCGCTCCACTCCAAATACTTCACCACCAAGGCACTAGCAACTAACCCAAAAACCATCTGAGAAAGCAATCCGTTGATTGGGAAAGAAACCATTTGGACGACGAACGATACAACTCCAGCCAATGTCAGCCAAACCATAGCTAAGTTGTAGATTGATGTGATGTATGGCCCCCTCAATGAACCCACTTCCTGAAATGGCTTAATGAACAACATTTCCTTCAAGATTCCGGTCTCCTTCTCCCCATAAATCGTCGATGCTGAGTGAACTAGAACGATGGTGTTTAATAGATTCATGAAATGGCCGATAGTGAGGTATGAGAAGGCCGAGAGGCCTAGTGTTGGCAGGCCCGGCCCAGACCCTGTGCTGGCCTGACCCACAGCACAGGGCCTCAACAACATTTAGAGCCTCAACCTGGCCCATACACTAATACACATATTAAAAAAAAATGAAATTGATACGCGTCGGCCCAACAACCAGCCATGCTTTATAACTCAATACACATTTTCTTGTACGAGGATGACGGATTCCAGGCCCACTTATAGTCAAACAAGAGTAAACCAATCAAATCCTATCGAGGCCCAGAAAATAAAGAATTTTCATTGCTGAGCTTATTCTTTGTTAATGTATATTATGGATTAATCTAATCAAACATTCTTGCTTCCTTCTTTCATGGAATTATTCACATCAATACATCATTGTATTATGTTCCAACACATTTCATTTTAAATTATCGTGTATGTGTGTAAATCAACAATATCGTCGTACATCTACCAAACCAAACGCATCAATGATCTTCGACGGGAGCATCAGAGCTCGAACGTCGGGATGGGAGAATCAAGGCCATGAACGACTTGATAAGCCATGCGAGCCAACACGTTCCTGTAAGGATCGCTTTCTCTCTTCTCTTTCAAGCAATCTTTGCTTACCTTGTATCTTTTTAGTATCATTTCATAATTTTTTAATAAATTTGAGAGAAAAAAATTTGGAGCCAAATTTTCAATGTTCGAACAGGGCCTCCGAACATTATGGGACGGCCCTGAGTGTTGGACTGAGCCGCTGGATCAATTCCAAGGTGGAGTCTAGTGAATACCGCGGCGGGAAAGAGCAGAGTGGCCAATGCGTCCCGCAGATGGGATCGTATACCGCAACGAAGTTGGCTCCTGCTTCATAGATGAGCTGGTGAAGAACGAGGTGTTGCCAGAGGAAGAAGCAGAATGGAGGAACTGAAGTGAGGAAGGAGAGGAGAATGAATGTGGGTTTCTTCGCTGGTATTTTCAAGGATTCCTTGATAATGCCAAGGAATTCTAGCTTGTCTTTAGTGATTAACTCGGTGCTCTCCATCATTTTATTTTGTGTTGGGTTTACTGCATTGATCTCTGCAGAAGAGAAAGATGCAAGCTTTAACAAGGAGGAATATGACTACAGATGAGAATAACGAGATGTAAGATGCAAGCGAAGTCAACCAAAACGAACTTGCTATGAAGCTTCTGCTGTTTTGGTTGGCCCTTTTTGTGCATAAGTAGTGGGAACGTTGGCTGATGGATACTGTGCCTGGTCAGCAATGATGGGATTCCGATGATCATGGAGATCCATCGTCTCTCTCTGCAGTCATCTCTGCATCTCTGCCAGGCGATGAGGAGGTTCAGAAAGGATCCCACCTAATTGACTGGTTTACTTTGGTCTACGTAGCTCCTTGACCTTATGAAGCCGATGATGCGAGATGGTAGCACGTGGCCCAAAATGGATAACTGACACTGTGGGCTAACTTTTAGGCCCAAGTCTGAGATTTTCCTCTTTAGTATTTGTCTATTTGAAACTACTTATCATGCAAAGTCCAATATTTAATATTTGAATCAGAAATAATCGTTTAGGTTCCATAAAAAAAAATTATGTCTACCAAAGAAAATTATCGTTTAGGAAAACTAATAAAGAAGTTGCATTGCTGAAAATTTGGTACACACCTTTCAGACTCCTTGTAAGTTGTAACATGAAATGAAACGGAACTGCACCACCAGATATATCAATTTGGTCGAGATAAGTAGAGAGCGTGAATATTGATATTGAGTCGATTTAAAGTATTACATTCCAATGTCTAAGTTGCTACCCTTCTTTGACACATCCAATGCTCTTTGAATCTCCGAACAATCATATAATGAGTTTTAGGTAAAATATCTCAGGTATCCTTTAAATTTGAGAATTGGAGTATATATAATATATCATTTAAGTTTGAATAGGGCGTCGGGTACCATTAAAGTCTCTAAAAAGTGCATCCGTCTAGTTTTCCATCCAACGCATGGCTAATGAAATGTTTTCAATATAACAGATAAATTAGTCAAAATAATAAACGAATATCAAGAAAAAATAATAAATGTACTAAAATATAATAATAATTAATTAATATTAATATTAAAATATCTATTTAAATTCCTAATTCAATTAAAAGCACCACTAAAAACAATTAAAATAAAATCTAATTGATCATCAATGCATCAAGACCAAAGAAGTAGAAATGGAACACAATTTTAAAATTGAACATATTTCATTAATTGGAAAAAAATTAGAAATGGAAAGTAACCAAGTAATAAGTAAACTATAAAAGCTACAATATTTAATAACAAATCTAGAAAAGAAAATATGACTATAGGAAAAGAATTGGAATTACCGAATAAGTAACTTTAACTAATATGCAACATCTACAATATAATATTAGAGAATTACAAGGAGATTTCACATGCACAATTAGACAACGTCAAAATGATGTAAGAGAATCAAATATAATATTCTCAGATTATTTATATTGAGATAAAATTCACTGGATATTTGTTTCGGGAAGTAATTCAATTATTAGAACATAATAATAATTGAAAATACTTATAATGGTATTGATTATAAATTTCATATTCAAATATTGGTTCGGTACCAGATTTTTTAAAAGAAGATCGCAACTAAAAAAATAACGTTTTTCATAAGTTCTAAAGATTTTTACAATAAGAAGAAGTAGAAGGACTATTTCTGAAATTTAGAAAATGGAATATTCTAAGAATGTTCTGTCAACTTTAGCGACAGTAAACTTAAGTCGTATCGGGTGCACATATAATAGAGTTCTGTGGTACCCGACGCCTTATTCAAACTTAAGTGGTATAGCTCCTGCAATTCTCATACTTTAATGGTACCCAAAATATTTTACCCAATAACTTCTCAATCCAATGACATGAGTGCTGAATAGTAACCCGACAATCTCACACAACCCTCCTCTGCAAGGTGTGTATTCTGATGAACTACTCAATAAAAGACTCGATCAATTTACTGTGATCTACTCAGACAACGTCAACGCACACTACACAACACGTGATTGTTATCAATCTCTCGAGCAATCCTACACCTTCACGGAAAATTCATAACTTCAAAGTAAAACGATTATACTTCAAACAAAGACTTCAAATATATTAGAAGCATCTAGCTTTGTGCGTCACCCGCCCATAATCAGGTTTTGTTCCATATGCGAAGCCCAAGTTGGTGTTAAGGGCTAGGCAAACGTCGGCATGCTTACATTGGTGGTAGGGTTGTCAACTTTGTGTTAATGGGGAAGTGTGGCGAGCGACCACTGAAAAAGGCCTCTTAAGGCTAGGGCAAGTGGGCAAAATCACAAAGGGAAAGCACAAGAAAGAATGACGTGCACTTCTCATCCACGTTTGTGCATGTCTTCTTTCGTATGTCACTTTCATATGCTTCCCTACAAAATGCATGCTCACATATAGTTAAGCAACATATGTCTAATCCTGAATAAAAGTGGCAAATCTGTATGGCCCGATTAAAAGAAGTGACCATTTTGTTTATATCTTAAGTCTTATCATCTTATAGTTGTCCTCACTTATCATAGTTTACGTCCAAAAATATTGTGTTTTAAAACTTTTGGGGAAGAAAACGATAGTCTAGTTAAATTAACACCCCCATTTCTTTCATATTTTTCTTTAGTCATGTTGAATAGTATTGCTTTAGAAGACCTTTTTTTTAATTTTCACTTTGTTTTCAATATAAAATGACAGTTCAAGGTCAGATGTACAGAGTTTTCGCCAATAGTTATATAAATAATGTGATTGCCGCAATGAAATTTATGTTTGACAAACTTCTCCACTATGAGGAATAATCAATATATACCTCCATGCCAGTTAAATTATGGATGCACTCATGAGTGACAACAACCATATATAGGTTTGATATTCAACACTATACGTTTGTACAGTTCAAGTGAGTTTGAGCCTGCCATCGATTGTCTTCGTCACGAATCAAATCATTAATAGTACTTGTTCCATCTTGCAATCAAATTTGTATAAAATTTAGTCTAGACGAGTTCACAACTTGGGCTATAATTTTGTAAGAAAAAATGCACCACTCAAGCACTTCCATTGTCATTTTTTGTCATTGGTCATATTGTTGATAGACAATTCGTAACGATAAGGATGTTTGTGATAGCATACCTTTACCTTATTCCAAATAATAACGTCCAAACATCTTAATCAACTTCTTTGAGCTTTGTCCATGGGTATTCAACTTTAGTCTTAACCTTACATCCTCCAAACTTTTTTCCCTATTCATATTCAATTTCAAACGGATTCTATTATCAAAATTTAGATGAATTTTTAATATATGTAAGAAACCAAATGTCGCCAAATGAATTACTAAATACACCAAGATCAACCATAAAACAGACTTACAATCAAGTCATACCAATAGCGTGATCGAATAGTCGTGTATTCGAATTCAACCGACACAATTGTCTTGTTTTTTCCCTTGCTCGACGAGCATATAAACTGTCAAGAAACTGAAAACTACTCCCTTACACGACTATCACCCAATCTAAGCACTACTTATCCTAGCCCGACGATGGGCAGTTACAGAGAGAAACTTGCAGTTGCAGTTACAGCAAAATCAAAACGTTAACGGAGACGACAGAGGGCCGGTGAAATAAAGGGAAAAAACAGAGGAAAGATAAACCGTTTGATTTGGACGAAACGTCCTGGAATATGCCATCCCTGACGGCTGACAAATTCTGGTTTTCGTTTACTTTGTTTTCCTTTTCGTTTTTGGTCCCGAAAAATGTAATTGGTGTCAGTGTGGTGATGGTAGCAGTAGCAGTAGTGGTGATGACTGACTGCTCTCAGTTAGTGCATTTTTTTTTTCCAGTTAAAAGAAAGAAACCCACTTCCCTTCCCTTCCCGGCTTCCCCTGTCTCTCTCTGTCTCCGTCCTGTCCATGTCTCCTTCCCCATTATCATTCCCCCATTTATAAATAAACACATAATCCTCATTATTTAGGTCCCAACGATTTTGTTCCTTTGTCTCTTTGATTCTCGGAAAGAAAGAAAAAAGAAAAAAATTCCCCAGAACCCAAACGCGAAACCCACCCAGCCTTTTCCCATCTTCCGTCACTTTCCCTTCTCTGTTTTCCTCCTTTAGTTTGGTTTTTAGGGGGTGTGGTGGCAATTTGATGTGGAAGGGGAAAAGTACCAATTTTTATCCAACACATCACCTAATTTTCAACCACACACCCTTCAGACTTCTATCTATCTACTGCACCAATGGGAAAACCCAAAAAAGACAAACAAAACGAAGAAAAGTAAGGGGCCGGGGCTGGCTTGGCTTCAACTATTTCCTCCAGCGAGAAATGGGAAATTTAAAAGAAAAAAGGTGGAGCTTCGTGCGCATATTGTATTCGCATTTCTCATTTTTTGTGTTTCTCCTGTTGTCCTTAATTTGTCTGCACTTGCTTCTTCATTGAGCTACTGCCCACTCGAAACACTCTCACTGCATATAAGTGAGAACTGGAAAAGGGAAAGGCCCACACAAGCTTTCCTTCAACAGAAGGCCTGTGAAGGAGATGGGTAAAGCTGTCTCCTTTGCTAGATAATCCCATCTGGGTATAGCTTTGTACTTTCACCATTTCATTGTTATCTCCGTCCCTTCCAAAAGAGGGAAATGGATTTTCAGTAAGCAGCCAGCTTTTTCTGTACTACTCTGTTCTGTTCCATCCATTCCCCTGCCTAAAAATGGATCTAGAAGGCGCACCAGCAATTGCTGATAACCCAATCAAGGTAAAAAAAAAAAAAAAGGGTCGATTCTTCTTCAATGTATGTGACTATATGATTTGAGATTTGCTAATTTCTTGCATTTTGATTTTGGCAGAGGAATTCATGGAAGGCAGTCCTGACCTTGGCCTACCAGAGCTTAGGGGTAGTCTATGGAGATTTGAGCACTTCCCCATTGTACGTCTACAAGAGCACATTTGCAGAGGACATCGAGCACTCCGATACCAATGAAGAAATCTTCGGAGTTCTATCTTTTGTCTTCTGGACGCTCACGATAATCCCACTTCTCAAATACGTGTTCATTGTGCTTAGAGCTGATGATAATGGCGAAGGCGGCACTTTTGCTCTGTATTCTCTGCTTTGCCGCCATGCCCGTCTCGGTGCTCTCCCCAATTGCCAGCTCGCAGATGAGGAGCTCTCCGAGTACAAGAAAGATGGGTCGGCTGCAAATCCCCGGAATCGAATTGGGTCCAGCTTGAAATCTGCTCTGGAGAAGAGTAAGCTGCTGCAGAAAGCTTTGCTCGGCCTAGCTTTGATTGGGACTTGTATGGTTATCGGCGATGGAGTTCTTACCCCTGCAATTTCCGGTAACAGTTAATTATTTTTCTTCTTTTGCTATGGATGTCGATCGATGACTCAAGAGAAATTTTGTTCCTTTCCCACCTTGAATCTTCTTTGTGGTCTTATCTACTTGTCTCCAGTATATTCGGCCGTATCTGGAATGGAGCTTTCGATGGAGAAAGAGCAGCATCAGTGTAAGTATCCTTCGAAAACTCCATAAATTGAGTTTTGTCTCGGCATAATTACTATCACGTCCAATTTCAGGTCGGTTCATTTCAAGCAAGTTCTGTAGATCACCAGCTGTTCCAATTTAGAAACGTTTTGAATCTGCCGAAAATCGAATAGAGTAAAAAAAAAATTGGCTTTTAGGCTATGCTCATCACATTGAAGAATTCCCCACCACCAAAAGATCAGTAGTAGGTATGAAAGTTTATCTTAGCTTCCAATAGTTCTCATCAAAATTTGATCACTCGGGAGAGGTTAGAAGCTTTCTCTTCATACCATTAGCAATCCTTGTTGGGGGAGGAGGTGAAGTTGGGGGAAAAGCACAAAAGGGGTGTTACTAATTTGGATTTAGCAGCATGGCAGTATTAGTTTATTACTAGTGGGAGGATATGCGGTGGTCCATGATAATATCTAATTAGGGGAGAAAAAGAAAAGCCTTCCCGCTTTAATCCTAGTGAGATCACTTCAACGTAGTACCTTCCCATTCCTGCCTATTTACTAATCATGGTGCATTAGGAAATGGGGGGCCAAGCTGATAACTATGATTAGTCATAAACAAGGCAACACGTAGAGGGTTTACAGAAAGAGACGAGTCCAGGGTTTGTGTAAAGTTATGGTCTTTGTGAAGTAAGCTGTCCCTTTCCATGGTGGAACCGTGGAAGACAAGAAAAGAAAAGAGGATTAGTTCATATGGAACAGTGAATCCAATACAAAGACAGAAACCAAATCTCACATGATGTGGCAATTGGTGTCATTTCAGTTTTCACAGCTCAAAGTTTTGTTCAGAGGAACAGTTGCAGGTCTCCCATGGCTCCTACAAATAGACAGCTGTCTTCCCTTTCCAGCTTAGTGTGCTGATAAATGATATAGTCAGCATTCCATTCATGTTCTATCTCGACATTTAGTTCTCAATGTTGTCTCATTTGGTTACTCCTAGGAGACATGGATTTTGAGACTATGTGACCTTGAGACACTGATCCATGCAAATACACACACAAGTTTGACTGTGAGCTAGCATGGTTTAACTTTAAGGGCACGTTCGATGGCGATTTTGAGAAAGGAACACTAAATGATGGGGTTAATGGCATTCTGTTCTGTGAATTTCTGCAGATGTTGAACTGCCTGTGACTTGTGCGATACTTGTATCTTTGTTTGCCCTCCAACACTTTGGAACGCACAAGGTTGGGTTCATCTTTGCTCCGATTGTCATCACGTGGCTGCTGTGCATCAGTAGCATCGGCGTGTACAACATTTTCCGGTGGAATCCCCTTGTTTACCAGGCTCTCTCCCCATACTACATGTACAAGTTTCTGAAGAAGACGCGGAGGGGAGGTTGGATGTCATTAGGCGGGATTCTTCTCTGCATGACTGGTATAATGCTGCTACATACATGAAAGATCATTTTGGATTTTCTTTTGCAGACATTAGTCTGTGTTTTAAGGCTTACTTTTATATTCTTCATTTCTGGAAATCTATTCAGGTTCAGAAGCTATGTTTGCAGATTTGGGCCACTTTTCTCAGTTATCCATCCAGGTACATTAAACCAACTCCACATTGCATATTACACTACTTTCTGTAGCACTCGGAACTTGTTTATCTAATTGACACCTACTAGATGTTACTTATCTTCTGCATGCTGTTCTTGCTTACACTACATCCAATTTTTGCTGTTCTGTCTGCAGATTGCTTTCACTTTTGTCGTTTATCCATCACTGATCCTTGCATACATGGGACAAGCTGCTTACCTTTCCAAGCATCACTCTCTCGAAACTGATTACCGGATTGGTTTCTATGTATCTGTTCCTGGTAGGCATGCAACTATTGTTTCATTTCTGGAATAGCCATGAACTCCCACTGTGATGATTTCGTAATATGGTGTTTTATCTAATGCTGCAGAGCAGATAAGAGTTCCTGTATTGGCAATAGCCATACTTGCAGCAGTTGTGGGAAGTCAAGCTGTCATCACGGGAACTTTCTCGATCATCAAACAGTGCTCGGCTTTGGGATGCTTTCCGAAGGTCAAAGTTATTCACACTTCGTCAAGAATTCATGGACAAATTTACATCCCGGAGATCAACTGGACCCTGATGCTGTTATGCCTGGCTGTTACAATCGGTTTCAGGAATACGAAGCACATGGCCAATGCAGCAGGTAATGCAAGGGTTGTGTGGTCATTAACTTGTTCTTCCCAGCCAATGCTATATTTTCTCTGAGCTGCATTACAATATCATGTTTTCTTCCGGACAGGTCTGGCAGTTATAACTGTCATGCTTGTAACAACGTGCCTAATGTCACTGGTCATCGTCTTATGCTGGCACAAGAATGCCCTTCTAGCACTTTGCTTCATCTTCTTCTTCGGTTCATTTGAAGCTCTCTACTTCTCGGCCTCCCTCATCAAGTTTCTCGAAGGAGCTTGGGTTCCGATTGCCCTCTCGCTCATCTTCCTGGCTATAATGTACGTGTGGCACTATGGAACGCTGATGAAGTATCAATCTGATGTTCAAAACAAGGTCTCCATTGACTGGCTTCTCAGCCTAGGTCCAACTCTAGGCATCGTCCGAGTTCGAGGCATAGGCCTCATACACACGGAACTCGTGTCTGGCATCCCAGCCATATTCTCTCACTTCCTCACCAACCTTCCTGCTTTCCACCAAGTCGTGGTCTTCCTCTGCATCAAATCTGTGCCCGTACCTCATGTGGGACCCGAGGAACGATTCCTCGTGGGAAGAGTCGGACCAAAGGGGTACCACATCTACAGATGCATAGCACGGTATGGCTACCGTGACATTCACAAGGATGACGTGGAGTTCGAGAGGGACCTCGTTTGTAGCATTGCAGAGTTGATCAGGTCTGAGAAGCGTGGTAGCAGTGTAGATGTCATGGAAGAAGTTGAAGACGATGACGAGAGAATGGTAGTGATTGGGACGACATCCTCGAACCTTGAAGGGATCAAGTTGTGTGAAGAAGATGAAGAGGAAGAAGCGAGACGTTCGGATGAGGTGAGGACATCAGAGGCCGTGGTAAAATCTCCGGAGAGACTGAGAAGGAGAGTGAGGTTTATCGTGCCAGAGAGTAGTCATATCGACGAAGAAGCACAAGCAGAGCTGATGGAGCTAATGGAAGCTAGGGAAGTAGGGATGGCATTCATACTAGGGCATTCATACGTAAGGGCAAAGAGAGGGTCGAGTTTCATAAGGAACATTGTGATAAACTATGGATATGATTTCTTGCGGAGGAACTCCAGAGGACCAAGCTATGCGTTGTGCATTCCTCATGCATCTACATTAGAGGTAGGAATGGTCTACCATGTATAGTAAAATTCTGAGTATGTGTGACATAATAGGTAAGATAGATATATAGCCTCTGTAACCAGCCAACCCAGACATTTTTGTTGCTGCATTTCTATAGAAGAACAGATGTCCCAAGTCTTTTAAGTTTTGTAGTTGAGCTGATGTAGTTATGAAAAACAAACTTCTCGTGAAGGTTGTTGCCTATGTACAGTCAGGTTAGTCATACCAAGAAGCCTTATGAGTACTGGTATCTTGTTCTAAGCACAAAAGTTATCTACACATAATATAATACACCGAAGGGAAAAACGGGAGCCCTATTTCAAATTTCCTGCAACGAGAGTGAAAGTAGGAAGGACATTTTGGTCTTCACAATTACTTTTTTTTATTCATTAAAAAGACACGTACTGGGATTCGAACCATGTCCATTTTAAAGAAAAGCAAGGAACATAACCAATCACACTAAGTACATTTGTTGTATCCTTTTAAATAAAAAACATATAATAGCAGGGAGGAAAAACCCCTTCCCCCCATTTCAAATTCCTTGCTCCATGAGCGTTTGTAGGAAGGGTAGAATAGGTAGTGTTAATTTTTTTCTCTTTCCTCTGTGGAACGGGCCAACTTACCGTACACATGCCGATTTAAACGGGTTCAGGAGTGTCAATTTTTTTCTTTAAGCCCTTGTATTTCTCCGTGGTGATAAAATATATATGAAAAGGCAAAAACAATACTTCTTTTTATGCTAAAAATAAAAAAAAATTAACAATAAACTAATGCATGGTATCTAAAGGGCTAACCGCTAACCATAAAATAAAAGAGTTGAATGGGCCTGACCTACACCGGATTTGGCCATCAAGTAAAACAAATGAACATCATTGGTTTGACATTCTAAAACAAGCTATTTTCTCTAGCATAATATATATTATTATATTATTTTATATTTTAGTGGCTAAAATATAATGTAGTTTAAAGTTATTCAATGGTTCAATCTCAACCAACCCAATTAGTCCAATTTTTATCATTTCAAATATATATTATATAATTATTTGATATCATAATGATAAAATTATAGTGTATTTTATAGGGAATCGTTTGGTATTTGTTAGTAAAAAACTAAACAGAAAGATCTATTTGGTTATTTTAAACATTAAAACGATCCTAAACATTTTCAGTTTCTTTTGAATTTCTATGGTTTTATTCCCGAATAAGTGATGTGCAAATGGGGAATTGCAGTCATCTATTTTCTTTCACTATTTTTTATTTTCAAATAGAAAGTTTAAAAGTAACGAATAATTAGAATTTTGCATGAGTCGGTCAAACATGCTGAATTTTAAGTTTTGGCCCGTTTTGATCAAGTCTAATTTATAATCACATGGTTCCCTGATACCCGATAAAAATCTCAATCCAAACCAGTTTGGCAGGTGAGTCCGTGTTTACCACCATTCTCTAGGAATACGACAATGGCGGTTCCTATCCCAAATCGTGTTGTTCGTTCTTGATTTCCTTAGATTTTATCATGGCCTGACAAAAACCAGAAAGCACAATGACGACAAGATGAAAGTTTTATAAATCAAATTAATGGTGTTCTCTTTCTGATCTCATGTAATTATATAATGAAGTTGAAGTTTTTCGATGCTATTCAATTTCATTGGTATGTTTTTAATGGTCTAACTTCATGGTTGTACCAACTTTTGATGTACTGTTTATGTTCCAATATATTCACTTTGGTATGATTATTAGGGATATGCTAGGCGGTACTCACCATTAGACCAATTTAGCTTAATGGTTGAATCTACGGGTTATCCCAATAATTCAATATTCGGCTCAGCTCCTCCGACCAACGGGTCGGGTTACAAGCTAGTTGCTTAATAAAGACTCTTGTAATTGTGTTAGCTGGATTTTGTTTTTGTTTTTTTACCAATCCAATTTAACCCAGGTCAACGTCTAGAATAGATACTGTCTTCGGAGATGTCTCCCAACTCCCAAGCATTGATCCTTTGACTTGTCTAATTGGGGGGTTTCACTCTATTTAAGCTTTGCCTGGAACTGATAAACTAAACTATGAGACATTTGTGAGGGCAGGAATTCGAGAGAGAGAGAGAGAGCTCCCATTTCTGCCAATTCACATTCTCCCACGGTAAGCACAAGGTTGGAAAACAATGCTTGAATTCATCTCTCTCACCTTCATCTCGTCACTCCTAATCTACATCTTCATCATCTTCTTCTTCTTCAAATCACATCCAGCAACCAAAAACCCATGTCCAGAATCCCACCCTGTAATCGGAAACGTCCTCAGTTTACTCCGGAACCTCCACCGGTTCCACGACTGGATCACAGACATGATACGCCACACACCATCCTTGTCCATTCAAGTCAACTCCTTCCTCAACATCTCCAATGGCGTCTGCACTGCAAACCCGGACAACATCCAGCACATGCTCACCTCCCCAAACTTCTCCAACTACATCAAGGGCTCTCGCTTCAGCGACATCCTTGACGAACTCCTCGGCGACGGCATCTTCAACGCCGACGGCCAGATCTGGACCCTTCAGCGCAAGATTGCCAGTCACGAGTTCTCCACCAACTCTCTCAGGCTATTTGTCTCGGAAGTCGTGGATTCTGAAATCTCCGACAACTTGCTCCCTTTCCTGTCCCGAGCAGAGGAGGAAAACAGGGTACTCGATCTTCAATCAGCGTTGAATAAATTCGGGTTTAGGAGCATTTGCAGAGTTGGGTTCGGTGTGGATCCAGAATCTTTCACCCGGAATCTCGACTTCATGGACGCCTTCGACTACGCCGTGGAGAATTGCTTCCGGAGGATCACCTCCCCTGCTCCTCTGTTCTGGAAGCTCAAGAGATTTCTTAATCTAGGGTCGGAGAAGCGATTCCGAGAGTCTGTCAACACGATCAACGATTTCGCTCTGGGGGTGATTGCATCGAAAGAAGAAAGCGACAACCGGAACCATCAGGACTTGTTAGCGAGATTCATGGTTTGGAGCTCGACCATGGAGTTCGAGGACGAAAAACAGAGGCGCAAGTTTCTCAGAGACATCGTGATAAGCTTTGTACTGGCCGGGAAGGACAGCACTTCAACTGCTCTCACTTGGTTCTTCTGGCTCGTCGCCGGGAACCCACGTGTCGCAAACTCGATCCACCGCGAACTGTCGTCTCTGCGTGGACAGAGCAGCAGAAGATTCGGGTACGAGGAGTTGAAGGGGCTAGATTACCTGCATGCGGCTCTATCCGAGTCGATGCGGCTGTTCCCGCCGGTGCCGCTGAATTCGAGATTAGCGGTGGAGGATGCGGTGTGGCCGGACGGAACCCAGGTGAGGAAAGGGTGGTTTGCCGACTACTCTGCTTACGCGGTTGGAAGGATGGAGAAAGTGTGGGGGGCGGATGTCCTGGAGTTTAAGCCGGAGAGATGGCTGGATGGTGAGGGAAGATGCAAGCCGGTGGATCCGTTCAGGTACCCTGTGTTCCACTGTGGCCCCCGAATGTGTTTGGGGAAGGAGATGGCTTATATGTAGATGAAGGCGATTGTGTCGGCGGTGATGATGGACTTCCAAGTGTTGCCCGTCGACGGAGGTGCGAGTCCAGAGAGGATGATGAACCCACCTTACGTGTTGTCGCTGCTTCTCAGGATGAGAGGTGGGTTGCCCGTCGTGATCAAGAGAAGGAGGACGAGGAACGGTATTGGTATGTAGCCAATTTTTGCAGCATGTTGGTGGTTTTATTTGTAGCGCAACCAAACCAAGTATCGACTAAGGCCACCAGTTACTATGTTAAGCTAGAGACAACAGATGAGTTTTAGAGATGGAAAAACACGACTAACCATGGAAAAACAGAGTTTTAGAGATGGGGAGCTAAGGAACTCCTGGGAGCAGCCTGCACATGTGTTTTTTTACTATTGATGACCATATTATTGCTTAAGAAAAATGCACAAAAAAATTGTGTACAAAAACATACAACATCCAACCATGAACTCCTTATGTATCTCTAGACATGAGGTTGTGTATCCAAGGAAGGAGACTAACTCCTGAATCCCTTCATGAAGTGTTCCTGCAATTATATCAACTGAACATGGCTCTAATGGAGTAAAATGGTTCATCATCTATATATGTATTCCTTTAATTTAAATGCATTCAACCTTTCCATTTCTCCTTATAAGACTAATCCAATCTGTTGCAGACATACCCAAGACCTTCTCATCCATGTAGTTCATCCACACTACATAGCAGCCACCTATTTCTCTATTAAATTGAAAACAGAATCACATACTTGGCTGCGCCTGAGGTATTGTCAGTCAACCAATCCTTTGCCATGTCTCTTTTGACCTTCCTTGCTGCTAACAGACATTGGATAATTGTTCTCCCAACTTCCCCACAGCAACCGCATGCCCATCCCTCTCCCCACCTTCCTTGTGGTACACCAGGGTGGCAGTTCCTTTACCTGCAAGCAACTGAACCCTATCTTTCCCCTAACATACTCCATTATCTTCCCATCCGCCAATTTCCCCAGTACATCTGTGACATAGAAAACATTCCGAGATGTCTCCTTCATCGTCAACACTTCAGCCCCCTTCACATCTACCAGTTATCCCGAAAGTCCTCGTCACGTCAGCTCTTTTAGTCCCCACACAGAAAACGCCAAAAATTGAAACAATAGTGAAGAAGTTGGGGCAATAAAGAGTAGCCACATTTCATATGAACGAGAATGTCTCAGTATTCAATCACCTTCAGACTCTGTCACTTCCCTTTTGGACCTCACATGACTCTTATGGCCTCTCATTTCAACAGCCAGCTCCTGTATTGAACAACAAGAGCTTCTTTCCATTTTACCACCAAGTATCTCGATGGTATCCATTAGTCCCAACCCGATAAGCCGGTTTCTCAGCATCTCAATAGTAGAAGAATATGGTGGAATGCCCTCATCAAGCATCATCTCAAAATACTTACATGCCTCTTCAAGCTTACCCCTTTTCTTGCACAGACCGTGAATCATAACCGCATAGGTCGAAACAGATGAATAAAACTTGTTCTCCTCCATGCTCTCCCATACTTGGGTTGCTCTGTCGAATCTACCAACCCTTACCAGCAATTTCAGCACCATGTTGTAGCTATGCCGATCAGGCAAGCAGCCATCTTTTGCCATTCGGGAAACCAGGTTGGTAGCTCTGTTGACCTCTGAATGCTCGCAATGATATGCTAGTATCGCGTTGTAACTCCATGCATCAGGAGGAACCCCCTTCTCCAGCATCTCATCAAGAAGCTGGTAAGCCTCGTCTACTCTATCCGTCTTACAGAGCTTCTTGATGACACAATTATATGTGAACACATTGGCCAGAAGATTGTATCTTTTCATTCTATCAAGCACCCGAAAAGCCGAATGAACATCATTTGCCTCACAATATGCACGAACGAATATGGCATAGCTACCAGCATCAGGTTGGATTCCACGAGAACCCATTTCTCGAAACATGTTATACGCTTCAGCGACACTCCCTCCCTTGCATAAAGCTTCCAATAGGCTGTTGTATGCAGGTACATCCACCGCACACCCTCGTTGAAGCATTTCATCAAACGCCTTCCGTGCAGATTCCATGTCCCCAATGCCTCCCCATGCCCGCACCAATATACTATACGTTTTCACCGTCGGCTCGATCTCATGCTTAACTCTATCAACAAACTCCTGGGCCTGCTTCACATGCCTGCGTTTGCAAAGAGCATATACAAGCTGGTCGAGATCATTAATCCCAGGCTTCAAATCAAACTCTGCCATTCGGCCGAAAGCTCGAATGGCATCATTTGGGAGGTTAGCCCTGCTATAAGCTCTAAATACAAGCCATAAAGTCTCTGAATTGACCTCAAAATCACGAGAATCTCTCATTTCTATCAAGAAATCCCATAGTATAGCGAACTGCCTGCTACCTCCTAAAATGTCCACCAGAATGTGATAGCTGTGGGCACTGTGTTGAAACCCAGGAATACTCTTGGCCCAAAGGAAGAACCTGTGAGCAGGGAACCCTAGATTCCTGCAGCGCTTCAACACCTGCTCGACGGCCTCCGCGGAGATTTGCGGCCGATAAGCGCGGAGTGAGAGCTCCAAATCGTGGTGCGGATTCCTATGGTCGCTGAGAAGGCGGGAAATCTCGCTTACCAGCTCTGGCAACGGCTGGGTTTGGAAGGTCTGTGGGGCGAGAGAGGCGAGAAAGCGGAAGTGAGAGCTGAAAAAGAAGGGTCTCGTTTTGGAAGCGAGAGGTCGAAAAGCCATAGCTTCGGTGACAGAGATGAGGGAGAGAACGAAGAAGAGAGAGAAATATGACTTGGAATTAGATGGGATTTTGCAAGTTGCTACCTCTTTCATTAAAGAAATTAACAATTTGGTCCTTCTAGCTAGTTGTACAGTGCAAAATCGGTCCTTATACTTCATTTCATTACAATTAAATCCTTTCAATCTAACCGGTACTACGAAAGTATTTCGTTTCCCTTATTTTGCTCATTATATAACTCAAATTAACAAGCAAATTATGAGTCGAGCCTCAAATTAACAAGCAATAATTGAGGTAATACTCATATTCCAACCTGAAATCTTTACGTTTAAAACTAATGATATTACTACTGAACCAAGAATTATGAGTCAAAACTTACCAAAGATATGATAAAAGGGACTCTTACCACTTACCTACTAATTGACTATTATATTATTATTATTTTGATCTGAAAAATCACATATAAATTCTGAAAGTCATTAACTACTTTCAAGAATCGCAAGGCTATCTATGCATAGGAAAAGAAATTATTTTAAACGACTTTCCCACATTTTATTGTCCTCTTGTCTCCTGCTCATCATCTGGATTTTGGATTGCAAGGCTTCGCTTCTGCCGACTTTAGGATTCTTTTTCCTCGGCTTCTGATATCTTCACAACATTTCAACGGTTCTAGCACCTAGGATTTTTTGTTTGCGGTCCGTTTGGCTTTTTGTAATCGGCGGCGGATCCAGAACATAGTAGAGCACTATGCCGGATTTCATTAAAAATATGAGATACCGTAAAAGAAAAATAACCTTGATTTTTTTAAATATCTATTGTACACGACTGTATTTTAATATAGTGAATTCATCGATAATGGAGTCTACATCCATACCAATAATATACTCTCTTTCAAATAAAATAGTTAAGCAATCATCGAGAAATTCATCGCTCATCTTATTGCGCAAATCAGTTTTCACATGTTTTATTTTTGAAAAAAATTTCTCTGTAGTAGCCGCTTAAACGAGCAACGTCAACACTAGACAAATCAATTTACTAATCAATTTTTATTGTGTGTGCAATCATATTTTCAGCAGTTGCTCTAGTAATTTTTAAAGAGAACAAACCTCATATTTCTATTTGTCTTTTACGTTTTAGACTTTTAAAGAATTTCAGGTTTCATTGTTTTTCTTTAGAAGAAAATCATTGCGCCTAGAAATTCTAAGATAAATTTGAATTTTTGATTTGATTATGTTCTTGTGAACCATTTTTTCAAATTACACACAATCTTATTATAAAATAACACTAGGTCGTATATCCAAAATCGAAAAATTTATATGGACTATACTAGCTTCGAATCCAGAGGAGGGCTGGGCCGTGGCTACTCCCTAGATCCGCCACTATTTGTAATAGCCATTTTCGGTAGGAAATTATACATTCAGTCCTCGTACTTCTTTGTTTTGCATTTAAGTCTCCCCGAAAGGCATGAAACAAACCAGGATCAGGGTCAGATTGAGTGTGTATTTTGATTCAGTTTAGTTCACTTTGGTTTCGATATCATCGGTTTTTTATTTATTTTTACTTTTGAAAGAATTTACAGAACCAAATAAAAAAGGCGATTCTACTAATGCTTTATGCATCCTATCATTCCCCACCGTTATATGAAACCAATAATTATGCTTACCATTCATTAATTTTTTATGATTTCACTCAATTCCAAACCGGTCACAGCACTCTACAATCTAAAATTATTATGAAGCCCAAATTCAGTAGAGCTTAGTATAGCGTTGAAAGAGGTTTACTTGTGAAAACAAACCCTCACATAAAGTCTATGAACAGAAAACATCACACACTTAGTCTCTTGTGCCATGCACAAAAATGTTGTTGAATGAAGAGTTTTGCAATTCCACTAACTATATTTAAATACACACATGAATATATTATCACATAGGTTAGGTTGTGGTTGAGTGTGAAATATTGTTATATTGTTAAACTTGGGTACTAATTTTTTTATGTAGAGATTTGCTCGAGAAATATGTATGTATCAGATATAATTTGCACCCAACAAAGCTACGCGTTAGATCAAGGGAGTTTTTGTGTTTTATATCGTACACGCAATTGAGATATTGGAGTAAATTAAATTACATCTGTGAAATTTATATTTACATATTTGAGCTTGTTCTCAAACAAAACATATAAAGTTATTGTCTTCATTCTAAGTGATATACAGTTTCAAAGTCAATACAATTTTGTTATTGTGTTATCGCGGTGCTCTCGTATTTCCACCTCAGGTGTGTAGGAAGTGTAATCCCTATCATCTCCATTCTCATTGTAATCTTTCCTTCTCTTTGACTTTCTCCAATTACCTTCGTTGACTGAAGAAGAGTAATCATCATCATTGAACTACTTCGGCTGCTCCCTGTCATCCGCACTCCCAGACTACTTCTCCACTTCCTTTCACTTATCCCTAGCCTTTCGTACCACGTGGTGCAATATGCTCTTCAAAGCCTCAATACAGACAGACGTAATCAGGTAATCACAAGCACCATGAGTTACTCCCTTCATCATCGCTCTTTTGATCATTCACAAACATTATCATAACATGCAAATCCATGTCAACATCGATGTGCTCCAACAATTTGACTTCGTCCATGTCTGACATATGAACATCCCTAATGACGATATCATATCATTTTTTTCTTCCCTCTAGAATTGAGAGAGCTTCTTCCACTCTACTACATATATTGCACTTCATGCTTGCAAGTTTTGAGCATCTTTTCTATGATCATAAGACAAGTGAGATCGTCATCAGAGACCATAATATAGAGTCCCACCAGGAACTCATCACAGATGGTTTCAGTAGATTTCCAGCTAACCCTAAAGCAAACAATAGAGACACATCCCTTTCCATTAGTCGAGATGTTGACGGAAAGTTAATTATGGATACTAATATCACTCTCTTACATGCCTCCTCCAACGAAGCCAACTCGCAGATTTGAAGTTTGCACAAATTTATCATACTTTGTACTTTAATATACTATGAATATTGCGGATTGTGAATATTCGAATGCACGACCACTTGGCCAAACCAAACTCTAATATAATATCATAAACCTAATGGTCCCAATAACTCGAGTTGTTGAGAGAGGTCCATATATGAATCTTAACTACTTCCTACAAGATGCGATATGTAGCTAACACATACGATTCATTTCACCCACTAATTGTGAATTATTAACAAACTTATTTTTATTATTGATTATTTGTACTTTGTTACATACAAGGGCGAAGCCAGGAATTGAACTTCTATGAAGCCAAAAAATTTATAATAGCAGTAAACCTACAAATTTTAGCACTTTTTCAATATAAATTTTGAACTATAAAGAGAAATCAATCATACATGTGTAGTATTTTAGTTGCTTTCAATGGCTGGAAGTCCAAATTCGTCAATAACATTCCTACATTTGGGATTCTTAATTTTTTTGAAAAAAATTGATTTCAAATCATAAATCCAAAAGTATATTTATAAAACATAACTATCAAAATATGATTTTCTACGTCTTCCAAAATCATTAAAATTAAGGAACTGACACAAGTTTATCAAAATAATTAATAACATAATGTTGCAAGTGGAAGGACTCAAATGAAACATTATAAAGTTTAAGTACTTCAAAGGAATTAAAAAGTGAAAATTAAGGAATTAAAATACTAGATAGGATTGAAAAAACAATGAATATATAGAACCTGATCCTATGCTCGACCATTGAATTGTCTATCACTTCTAGGGGCTCTTCGAACCCCCAATTGATTTTGAATGCATGCCACGATGCTCAATCATCACTCATTCTTAAGCGAAATCCGCGTCTCACTCCTTCAAGTTGACAACATATTGAGGAGTGCACTTGTGCTTCTTGCAGAATTTGATCACTTTGGCTAGAATCCCGCATGATGTTGGTCATTGGGGATCGGGGTGTAGTCGTCGACACAGTCATCCTTGATCATGTGCTTGATTGTTTGCGATTGTACTGCCACCGCCTCCTCCACTTGGAACGGCTCGTCGTCGCTGCTCTTCAGGGTGATAAACTTTTTCTCGCTGCACTTGTCGACATTGTTACGACAATCGGGGCTCTTGGTTAACTTTAGATATTTTTTGTGGCGTGCAAGCGATTAGAAAGCGAGAGCGATTGATTATTTGATGAAGATGGGAGAATGTGTATGCATTGCTCGGTGTTGCTTATCCATATATATAGGAAGAGAGCCTAATTGCACATTGATTTGATTTTAGGAGCTCCGAAACAAAAACAGAAAACATACATTTTATGTATGTTCGGAATTTTTTTAGCCGCGCCTTAATCGAATAATCGTTCATTTCAACCGGTAACTAGTAAATCTACAAATTTAAGGACCAGAATATATATCAGCGAAAATCTAAAATGTGTGACCAAATTGTAGGCCTTACCAAACTTTAGGTGAAATCCGTAGTTATCCTAAAATCAGCGAAAAGACAATATCGTCCTTCTCTCGTGCGGTTCATGCTGTGGACACATACAGCTCTCCGGTGGCAATCGGCAAGCCTCCTTTCCTCCCCTGACCCAAATCATTTATAGAGGGAGAAGCCTGCGATCGCCGACTCACTTCCCTGCCTCCAGTAATAATGGCGCTGATCACCAGGAACACCGCTTCTCGCCTCCCGCTCCTACTCGCCAACCACCGCGCTGCCGCCGCCGCTTCTCTTCATACAACCATCCCCTCGCTTTCCCCCGATAACGCGACCAAACCGACCTCTTATGCTCCGCCGCCTTCCCCGGCCACCTCTTCCCCCGTGGGGCTCTCAAAGACGGCCGAGTTTGTGATCTCCAAGGTCGACGATGTCATTAACTACGTCCGTCGAGGCTCCATCTGGCCCATGACTTTCGGGCTCGCTTGCTGCGCTGTGGAGATGATGCACACCGGTGCCGCTCGCTACGATCTGGATCGGTTTGGGGTTATTTTCAGGCCTAGCCCTCGCCAGTCCGATTGTATGATTGTCGCTGGTACCCTTACCAACAAGATGGCCCCTGCTCTTCGCAAGTAAGTCCACATCTCTGATTTTAGGGTTCCGATCTTTTCAGCTGATTGGGGTCAGGTTCTTTTTAGGGTTAGTGTAGAAAGACTTTTACTTTTCCTATTTTGCGATCTTGTCTTTTGCACCTGTAGAGGAATCATGCTGCTGGAAACTACGGAATTTGAATAGAGAGGATCATTGGTTGTTCGCACTGGCAAGGTTGGGGTTAGCTTAGTACCGATGGTTTGTTGGTCTATCCTGGCGCAACAGGAGGAACATTGAATTCCTAGATTATTGGAGAAAGTAATGTTCTTACCATTTTCAATGTAAAGCGCTCAACTTGATTGAAATTCTGAACATTAGGTTTGCAACTTACAAATTTGGATAGCCTCACTTGGCCGAATTTCTGCTCATGCTAGAGTTGAGATTCACAGTCCTACGGGATAATTACAATGCCATTCCTTACTAGATTCTTTAACTTACGTTTTCATCAAATTATGTCCACCATCAATTGCTAGGTTATATTCAATTGCGGATGAAAAATCTGGTGTTAGCTGTCGTTATTTATTAAGTTGTCATGAATTTGATTGGTTGTAAAGAAGCACATAATGGTTGTTGCTGCTAAAGATGCGGGAAATAGGGTTGATGTAAAGAACATTACGTTGGTGGACAGAATTTGATGTTGGCTACTAGAATACTCATGTCATATATTATGTTGGCTACTAGAATACTCTTGTTTGAGGTTTAGGGTGGCTAGTAGAATACTCTTGTTTGAGTTACTTGGCTTACAGAAAGTTAAGATACACCTGTAGGAAGAACAGATTCTTATGCGATATATTATGGTGGCTTGTAGAATTAAGTGGCTCTGAATTTAGTTCATTGATGTTTGGTACAAGAACCGGGTTTCTCCTCAACTGCTCCGATTAGCAAACTAAGAAGTTGCATTGCTGTTTGTGATTAACTGATATAATTCAAAGGCTTCAGCATGTTGATGGTTGAACTAGTTTACTCATGCTACACCATTCTTCGTATGAGAAGGATAGTCATTTTCTTTTGGCCATGAATTAATATGGGCTGATGAAAATGTGTGTACAGGGTGTATGACCAAATGCCAGAGCCAAGATGGGTCATCTCCATGGGAAGCTGCGCAAATGGTGGTGGATACTATCACTACTCGTACTCTGTTGTACGTGGTTGTGACAGGATTGTCCCTGTGGACATCTACGTCCCAGGTTGCCCTCCAACTGCTGAGGCCCTACTGTATGGAATACTGCAGCTGCAGAAGAAGATCAACAGGCGCAAGGATTTCATGCATTGGTGGACCAAATAAGACCCTCTCTGGAACACTACTGGGAGGGCAGCTTGGTTACCAGCTTCTATGGCACCTAATAATTCAACGTTGTTTTGCCTTGTCGTCTGTTTATTAAGTGGTGTGCGAGGATGGAAAGATCCTTTCCACCGTTATTGATGATGGTCCTGTTTCCATAACCCGGGAAAGCTTTCAGCCTCCGGAGCTTGGAGCTCATCTATGCCTTCTCTGGGAAAGATATTGTAACTTTGATTGGCATGAACATGCTTGCATACTTGTTCATCCTTTTCTTTTTGCTGTTTCAGCCAGTTACTTGGTTGGTAGTTGTTTATTACTGATGCACTTGGAATTGGATGAGGTTTGTGTTGTTATGTGGAGCAAATAAAGAGCCCTCTTGTGAACTGTCCATCCCTTGGCTTCAAAGTGTAACTAGTAGCTACTCCTGATTCTGGCTTAACTGTATTTCCTTAGAGCCATCTGATCTTTTGCTGTGAGCTTCTTCTTGTCGAAGATATCGTATGGAAGGATCGGTTGATTGGTTTGCGTGGTTTTGTTACCCTTAGGTGAGGTTAATGGTACCTCTTGTTGTTTGTGAGCTTCATTCTCCTTTGATATTTGAACTTGGGGTTTTCCGGCGAGTTCAGATGGCCAAAAGGATAAACTCATTTCTTCCCATTTGCTCAAAGCATTGGGTAATTTTTTTTGGTATTGACGAGCTGCTTTACTTTCCTCGCAGAGGGAGGCTGCGATGAGGTTTGAGTGTGTGAGAACTGAGAAGTTGTAGTGGAACAATGGTCAATAAGACGGTCTTTGCTTTGAGTGTGGGCTTCTTCTAGGTACCCATCTTTTCTATGGGCCGTGCGATTCTAACTTTGCAATTTGTGTGGTGTGGCCTTAGGCCTTAGCTAGTGAAAAACACACAAGGGAATTGGCAAGAAGCAAGTAGGCAAGAAGCAAGTAGGCTTATAGAGAATTCAGAAGGCACAACTTCCCATGAGCTTCTATTCCGGACAACTTGGGTGGGTGCTTGGTGGGAGCATGCATCGTTTGGATGTTTCTGTGTGAGACTGCAAAACAGAGTACAGATAATTTGCTTGTCAATTCAGTTGGGTCCATGGCACATGCCTCAAAAACATTTGTTTATTTCTCTAACCTCTTTGATTCACACACCTGACTGTTTCTTGCTATCCATAATCTGAAATTCGGATGAATTGGTTAGTGTATTTATGGTCTCAGATGTTCTTACACAAACGGATTAGAGTACTTGATATACCGTTATTAGATGATAATTGCGTTAATACTTGTTGTTGTGTGCATTTAACAATTGTGGATCACGTGTTCTATCATATAGGTACATTCACATATAAAAATTTTGAACGTATTAATATTGAGTGGTCTCAAAAACATGTTATGGGCAGAATATATATGATTTATGTTTATCATGTCAAAATGCATTCTTTTCATGGAGTATAACATTAGCAGAATATATGTTCATATAGATAATTAAATGTTGTTGGTCTGTGTAATCTGACATGATTTAGGATTAAGTGGCTTGAATGAGAAGGTGCTTAACTCACAAGGCCCGATTGAGAAATGATGACCAAAGTTTCAGATGTTGATACTACTAAAGAAAAAGGAAACAGAAAGAGAAAGAGGTACAGAAACATTCCTTGCTTGACAAAGCCAGATGCTTTGTATAGTCTGATTTTGTTTTACTAGCAATAATATCAGCATTCTTGAAATGGTTTGGCAGAAATCACACTTCAATAAACTATTTGTAAAAGGAATAGAGATGGTTTAATCAGTATTTTAACTTTGTTTAGAGGGACAGATCTGAAGATAAAGACCCAATTCCTACTGTTGGGCGCTAACTTCCTTTACTTTGCTTGGCTTCTTCTTTGTCTGTTCACTAATTATGATGAGATTATGTAAAAGGGAAAGCAATGGGGGGTTTAAAAAGGTGGCAATAAGCAACAATATATAAACTGGGCTCAGTCAGTGGGGTCTCGATATGAGAGCTGCTGGTTTGTGTGTCTGAGTATAAAAGGCCAAAAAGCTCAAATCTTTTGGCATTTTCTGATTTCCGCCATTCCCTTCTCCTCCGTCTGCTTCATAATTACTGCAGTTGAGCGAGCAGGAAGGTAGTCAGCAAAATGTGTAGGCAATTGGTCGCATTTACTCTTATTTTCTTGCTTCTTCTCAATGGGTTTTCTTCAGTTTCAGCAGCCACTCCTGCAAGTAAGCAGTTTTTTGAAGTTCGCCCGACCTAAGCTTAGTTCATAGTTCAGTGTTTACTGATTCCAATCTTTGGGTATTTCACATGATGCAGAAATTGTGACTGGGATCGTCACCAATGTGGTTTCAGCACTTGTGAAATGGCTTTGGTCCCTCAAATCCAGCCCCAAAACAGGTAACTTTAGTTGCTTCTCTTCATTGGATTCACATAGAGAAGAGGCCTATTGCTTGCTTATGCTGTTGTTTCATGGATGAATGGGTAATTATAGGGACAGTTTCAAGGCTGAAGGGTTTGATGGGTGGGGAAGCTCCTCCAGCTGTTTCTGGGCGTTCCCTGGTGAAATTTGAAGATGGGTACACTGTGGAGACTGTGTTTGATGGAAGTAAGCTTGGGATTGAACCTTTCTCAGTCCAGGTTTCTCCAAGTGGCGAGCTCATGGTCCTGGATTCAGAGAACAGTAACCTTTACAAGATGCAAACTCCACTATCTGAATGTAAGTTTGTTAACCATTTTCTAAGAATTAGTTGCCCATATTGTGTGTTTGGAAATGAGATTTGGATTTGGATTCCTTCTCCTTTTATCTTTTCAATTTGTGGGGAAGATTCTATTTTGAGTCAAAAGGAAAGATAAAAGAGAAGTGAAGGAAAGAATAAGTAGATCACTTGCTTGAAATGTGAGCAAACATATACTTAATGCCTTTTGTCAATTACAAGCCTCAAACTTTTAAAAGTACATGGGACAACATTTTCAGGTCTGTTTACATCACCTGATTCCATCCTTTGCTTTTTCCTTGAGATTTTTAGCACTTTCCCAATTTGTCTCGAAATCAAGGCTTGATCCTTGGTCCTGGAGGCTTTTGTGTCTTACAAGATTAGCAGTTTATGTTTCTTTTAAAAACCAGAAGGCTGACTTCACTGGTTTTCAGTAAGAAACCTGAAATATGGTTTGGACTTCAAAGCTTAAGTCTAAAATGCTTTCTTTAGCCAACTTATTGAAATAAGATGTTCCCATTCTGAAAGAATGAGAGTTGAAGTTTTTGCTTCGGTGATTATGTTTGCCAAGTCCTTTCGTCGTAGAATCTGTCCTTTTCATATATGGGTGTGAATTTGAGGCAATGCAGATAGCAGGCCAAAGCTGGTTGCTGGATCTCCAGAAGGATACACAGGGCATGTCGATGGGAAGTTAAGGGAAGCAAAAATGAACCATCCGAAAGGTCTAGCTGCAGATGACAAAGGAAACATATATATTGCAGACACCATGAACATGGCTATCAGGAAGATTAGTGAGGGAGGTACTAAAATGTCTAAAAGAACCCCTCTTGCTGTCTGAGCCTTTGGTTTTCAACAGATTGGAGAAAAAGAAAACCATGCCTGGTTTTATTTGTGCAGGTGTTACAACTATTGCAGGAGGCAAAAAGAATCGAGCAGGTGGCCACATTGATGGGCCAAGTGAAGAAGCCAAATTCTCTAACGATTTTGATGTGCTTTATGTTGGAAGTAGCTGCTCTCTCTTGGTTGTGGATAGAGGTAACCAGGCAATTAGAGAGATCCAACTCCATGATGAGGATTGCAGCAACTATCAAGATTATAGTACTTTCCACTTGGGTAATCAGAATGATAGTACATTCAGCTTGGGTAATGATAGTACTTTCCACGACTCATTATGTTTCTCCTTCTTTTCAACCACTCAGTGTTTTGTTTGTTATACTCTTGTGTTTACAGGTGTAGCAATGCTCGTCATTGCTGGGTTCTTTGGATATATGTTGGCACTTCTGCAGCGAAAGGTCCAAGCTTTCTTCTCTCCTCGTCATGTAAGCAACAACACGTCTCCAAATTTACTGCTTTAGTATTGTGTTATAAGTTATGCAACAGTACATTGTGCAACTATCCTTTTGCTTGTGTTCCTGTAAACATGACCAGAGTTTCAAGTGCTCTTCAATGCTAGGACCCAAGAGCTTATTACGTGAAGAAAGCTACACCAATGCCACCTCCACCATATCGGAGGCCATCTCAATCCGTGAGACCTCCTCTAATCCCAAGCGAAGACGAACATCATGATAACAATAAACCAGAAGACGAAGGCACGTTCAGTTCACTCGGAAGACTCGTTGGGGGACTAATTCCAGGCTTCAGAAGGAAACCCGTGGTTCATCATTATCAGTTCCATCCGCAGTATCAACAGCTACAACAACAACAACTCAAGCAGTTGAACTCATGGCCAATGCAGGAAAGCTACGCGATTCCAGGCGAAGATTCCCCACCACCACCTCTCGAATCCACTTACCTTGCACCCAAGAGACAATATCCATTCACGACCAAGGAGCTGCTTCAGAAGAACCAGCATTACAACAGCGAATGGGATGACACAGATTATGGCCGGCATCAACAACAGCAGCAGCAATTGAAGCATCAACACCAACAGCAACAGCAGCAACAAATGAAGCAGCACCAACAACAGCAGCAGCATCACAGGCAGCACAAATCGAACCCGAAAACGTACTACGAGAAAGGCTGCGAGACGAACGAGATAGTTTTTGGAGCGGTTCAGGAACAGGACGGTCGTCGTGAAGCAGTGGTGATAAAAGCTGTCGACTATGCAGATCCTAGGTACAATCACCATAACATTCGACCAAGGTACAACTATGTTGGTTACTCTCATGCTAATTACCAGTCATGAGACAGCAGCAGTGAGATAATAGAGACAATCAGCTAAAGACCGTTTTTCCCTCTCCAAAACAGATGTATTCTTATTTCTTAGGCTTATTTTCCTTTTTCATATATTGCTATAAATACGTTCGTTCTTAGCCTACAGGTGCATAAGTTGTTTGTATCTATTCATAAAGAATGCTAGAAAATAGTTGAATTTACAGCTTCGCATGGGCAGGCAACTGATGCTACGAAATGTAACATGTCACAGACTATATAATTATATCTGTGCGTTAGGATCGTTTACACAAATGGCTGGAATAGCTCAGATGGTTAGAGCGTGTGGCTGTTAACCACAAGGTCGGAGGTTCAAGCCCTCCTTCTAGCGAATTTTTACGTTTTTATCTTATTTGGACTGGGGAAGCCCACCCGTAATCATGGCCCAATTAAAGCCCACCCCATGACCAGTTCCTTCAGGGCTGAGTAATTACTGGTTAGTTTAAGCCTTGGAAACTCGTTTGTTAAGAGTTGGAAGTTGAGGGGCTATAGTGTGGTTCACTAAAAGGTTAAGGGGTTACCTCTTTTTTTACTCATTTGTCGTTATCGTTCCTTCTGTTGAAACCAAAATTGGGAACTTTTAGAATGAAAAAATGGTTGAAATTACGAGAATTTTTGTTAATGTCGATAGGAAGAATCAATTGATTATATATAACCTAACGCCAGCTTTCCGAATCAACCGTTGAATTTCGACCAAATAGCCATTCTAAAAGGAGGAGAAGCTTCAAATCACCAACGATTTGAGGTGCGTCGGCCTGGTGGAATCATCGGCAACCGCCATTAATAGACAACGAAGAAAGAACCCATAAGTAACAACAATTCGATTTTCCCCGCCGGATTTCCGGTACTCCTACATTCCTTCCCCTCCTCTAGATTCTTATAACATGAATTCCCTTCTCTGAGAGAGAGAGACAGAGAGAGAAGGGAAACATAGCATTTCTCTCTCTATCTCTTTGTCTCCGTCTTCTCCCCCAATCCTCCATGCCCGTTCCTCGAAGCTCTTCCTATGATGCATTTTCCGCCGGCTCAGACGATGACATTCACGATGCCACCTTCGCCAGGCGGCGGTGCTGTTTCTGTTTCCCTAATTTTCTGAAAAAAGAGCAAACTCTTGGCGGCGACGGCGGAGGTGGTGGCGGGGGATCGTCCGGAGCATTCTGGAGACAAATCAAACCTTTGGATTCGTCTTCACCGGCAACGCCGTGGTGGTCAAAGAGCTGGAAGAAGGTTCGTGGGTTATCGGAGGGGCCGAGGTGGAAGAATTTGGTGCGGCGGTTTAATGGACGGAAGCGACAAGGGTACGGGAAATTCAATTATGACGCTACAAGCTACGCCCTTAATTTCGACGAAGGACCCCTGGCCAATGGCGTTGATTATGACGAGGATCTCCTCGGCCGCGGATTCTCCGACAGGTTCTCGCTCCCTCCGTCGGCTAAGTCCTCCATGGATTTCGACAACGACGCGAATCCGTTCAATTTCAGCTGACGGGTTTCGGCCGAAATCATGTGGGCTTGGGAGCGTGAAGGCGGTTTGGGCTGGGTTTGGGAGGGGCTTTGAGAGGAAAAGGTTTGGGCTAAAGTGGTAGTAAGCACCTAAGACTTAGTCTGGGATATTCTTTCAACATGGTTGTTTCAGTCTTTGTGGTTAACAAAGATATTTCATTTTATACAATCCCAAGAGTTTCATCAAATTGCATTTCATTTCATTGTGATTTTCATTTTTGATTTAGAGAGGGAAAGGTAGTTTAGGAAAAACACTATTTGAAAAATGCATGTTTTGGGTTTCTTATTTTTTTCATAGGAAATTGAAGTTAGGAACTTGTTTCTAATTCTACAAATGTAGTGCTTTGGTTTTGGGTTGTCCAGACGTGCATATATGTAACTTAAGTTCAAATTAAACTTGACGGAAAATGATTGGTATAGAAAATGGAATTATTTTCTTGGAATTGCTATTAAATGTCGTAAGTGCAAGACTAATCAATTATTTTATTGAGTTAGTTTGTCATTTTATTTGAGAGCGAGTTTATACGCCAACATAAAAAAGGTATTGCAACCCTCTTCAACTTGATCGAAAATCACTTTATAAGTGTCGTCATAAGACGACTAATATATGAAACTCTCCAATGATAGTTAGTGATTTCGTTCTGCTAGTCTATCCTTTTATTTAGGAGCAAATTTGATGCTAGAGGAAGCAAAGAAGAAGGGAATCACAACCTTCCAAGCTCAAAGAAAATGAAAGGAGACTAATCTTCGTTTTCTCCAACAAATGAGTGAGAATATGAAGATGATAACTTTTGACCATGCTCTAAATTCAATTGTTAAAAGCTTAATTAATGAAGAGTGTCCCCCAAACAATTTGTAGACAAAAAAAAAAAAAAACGATAAAGGAAAGAAGGCAGTAATCCTAGCAAAATGATAAAAAAGAAGAGTATAGGCAATCAGAAGTTTGAGTTCGAGCAGAAGTTGGAGGGCTGCGGTGAGTTGGATGGATAAAAAGAGCTGGATCAGGGTCTGGGAAGCTAAGATTCCCTCGAAGTTGAAGGTTTTTGTATGGCAAATTTTTAATCGGATTCTTCCTACTACGGAGGCGCTTATTGAAAAAAAGGTCCCGGTGTTGCCCCGTTGTCCAGTCTGTTGGAATGGCCCGGAAACGATGGAGCATTTGTTTCTTTACTGCCCGGTTGCGCGGGCTATTTGGGACCATTCAGGGCTGGAATATCTGGGCGAGGGTTTGCCCCACCATACTTTCCCTTTGTTTCTCAAGCGTCTGTTGGAGTTGATCCACCAACCCTCACTGGTGATGGCGGTTGTTGCAGTCCTGTGGCGGATCTGGAGATCCCGGAACTGGGTGGTCTTTGAAGGCAAACAGTTTGGGATTCCAGTGCTTATGCGACAATTCCATCAACAGTATGAGGAGTGGATGGCCTTGCCGGCGGATGGGCGGCCTATGGTCAGGAGTCGGGTGGTGCCTGCTGAGGCTGACGTGGGAGATTCCCGGTTGATTTGTCGATGGGATGGGGCAACTAAAAGTGGCTCGCACTCGGCGGGTGGGATGGTTCTTCTCACCCCTGATAGGATGCTGCTTCTGGCTAAGGGGGGTCAGTTTCCCTCGTTGGAGGCGCCGGCGATGGTGGAGTTCCTTACGCTTCGGGAGGCTATTACTTGGTGTTTGGATAGTGGGTTGACAGAGGTCCGGTTTGAGGGAGATGCTAAGGTGCTTATTGATAAAATCAATCAGGGTGACGCTAGAGAGAATCGGTTGGGTGCAATCCTGGAGGAAATTGGTCTTTTGTTGGGTGCCCAGCCGGGTTTTAGTGTGCGATTTATAGGGCGGGAGAACAATAGGGTAGCTCATGTAGTAGCTAGAAAGACCCTCTCTTTGTCTCCTACTATGTATCGTTCGTTTGATTTCAGGGTCTGGCTGGTTTCCAGGATGTAACTATTTTTTATGATCAATATATGATATCTTTTGAAAAAAAAAAAAAGCTAAACACATAGAAAAAACTAACAAATAAGGTTTATAAATATCCTAAACTCAATCAAGGTTAACCTAAAAGACAAAATTATGTTCCTCATATTTTACTTAATTCCCAACCCATTTGTGTCTCTTGATCTCTAGCTAAGGGATGCATATATTCTCATTCTTGAACTATTAGGTTATGGTTAACCTGATTATATGTATGTTTTCATACTTATTGAATGTATTTTGATTAATTAAAGTCGTTAGTTATTTTTTATTAAAATAATTTTATATTTATATCAAAGAACTAGAACACAAGGTTTACTCATTAGAGATTATAATACAACATCAATTCTCCAAATCCGATCAATTCAATGACTTAATTAGCATAATTCACTAGACATTTATAGCCTCAACCACATATAATATCACTCCTCAATTCTGCATTTATCATGAATACACAGACATGCTTTGATCCTTTATTAATCCAAATAATACACAATTAGTCGGCCGAGACATTGCTTGCTCTATAAACTAATCGAGAAACGAACAAACTAATGGTGCACTCACACATATTAATAACAAACAACCAAACCAGCTAACCCCTACACCCAAACCGGTTCTTCCCTAACCCCGACCCATCTTAGTAACCCGGCGACGACGACGATCTCTCGTCGTCTTCCCTGATCGCATCCACCATGACCGCCACCTGACTCATCGCCGGCCTCTCGTAGGCCGACGGGTTGACGCACTTGATCGCCACCTGCAGCACGTTGACCATCCTCTCCTCGCTCGCGCCTTCCGATATCAGGTGCTTGTCGAAAACCTCGACGGTCCACTCCTCCCGAACCACCGAGTGGACCCACGTCGGCAGGCTGACGCCGTTGTTCTGGACCGTCTTCCCCGTCAGCATCTCCAGCAGGACGACGCCGTACCCGTACACGTCGGATCGGAACGCGTCCGCCGCGTGGGCCGGCTTCTTCTTGGGCTTCGACTTGGACTTGGACCTCACCTCGCTGAAGCTGAAGCTGTTGCCCTCGGAGGACGAGTTGTCGACGTCGTTTTGGTTGTCGTCGTGGTCGGTGTCGGCGGGGACTGGGAGCAGGCCGTACTCGCTGACGCAGGCCTCGAGGCTTTGGTTGAGGAGGATGTTGGAGGATTTGAGGTTGCCGTGGCTGATGCCGTCGTCGTGGAGCTTCTTGTGCATGGAGGCTAGGGCTCGTGCCACGGTGGATGCCACGCTCAGCCGGCTTGGCCAGTCGAATGCCTGTCCCATCTTTGTTCCTGAAACCATATGTGGATGTGTTTGTTTGAGCTAGGAAAGTAATTAAATAACTAAAAATGAGTGAAATTCAAAGTTGAAATAAGAATTGTTGTACAAGAAAAAGAAGAATTAGTAGTAGTTTATTTTGTGACGAAATTATGATATATCGTGGTTCAACTATTTCATATCACTAAAAATTACTTACCGTTTTATATATATATACTTCTTTGATATGAGGTTTTTTCGATTAGACCGTTTATAATGTACAATTTCACAAACACTATTTTTTTAGTAATTTATATGAAATTATGTGTCATCTCATTAAAATTGTTTCAGTTTTTACTTTATTGATTGGAGAAAGAATGTTTTTTAAATGATGCTTGTCATATTTATTTGACTTATTATTTCTTCATCTTTTACTAATTAAATGAATTATTTATTATCCATCTACTATTGAGTTGTTACTACTCAGTATATCAAAATTTTAAATTTACTAAACGTGTAAGAGTTACACCGCTAAAATGAGCGACAAAGACATAGTTAACTGAATCGAAATTTAACCAATTGAAACTAATCAGCTACGATTTAATCTAATTTCAGTCATAATTTTTTTCTTTTACTAATTTGATCATACCGGACCGGACACCCTATCAACTCAAGTAGGGGGTGCAAACCAAGAAACACAGCCTTAACAATGGTGGAATTTAGAACTTAATTAGAAGAATGGAAGGCCTTACCATGGAGATATCTGAAGAGACTGCCATTCTCCTGGTAGCCATAAACCAGCAGCTTCTCATGCTTGGAGCTGTAAAACGCCAGAGCAGGGAGCACATTCGGATGACTGGCCTGGTGTATCCTCTGCATCCTAGTCTTAAACTCCGCCGTCTGAATCGGCCAATCCTTAATCCTCTTCACCACCACCGTCATCCCGCCGCTCAAGTTCACCTTATACAAGCTCCCGTGCTTCCCCCTTCCCAGAAGCTCTGCCGGAGCCTTCAGCAACTCCTCGAAATTCAAACCCCCGCCGTGCCCCCCAGATAAAGGACTCGTCAGCAGTACAAGCGAAGAAGAAGTCATCGCACTTTCTTCCGTTACCCCCGAAATTTCCGATAAGCTCTCCCCTGTTTTCGCGTAGCTAACAGAACTCGCCTTGCTCATGAAGCTATCGTCATCCACTGAAGCCACTCTGGCTTCCAAGTCACCCTTTTTAGTACTACCTCCGGCGTTGCTCTTTCTTCTGCAGAGTTTGTAAACGATGAAACCGATGACTCCTAGCCCGATGATTGTGTAGCCAGAGTACATCAGAATCTGATCCCTCGCTCGGGTTTTCGACTTCTTGCCGTTGTTGTTCAAAGTTTCGTTTTGGGCGTTCATGACGGTTGAAGAAGAAGATGATGATGGGCAAGGGTTTGGTGACGGCGGCCCGCAGAGGTCAGGGTTGTCAGAAAAGCTGCCCTGGTCGAATTTACCATGGAGGTCGGGAATCTCGCCGGTGAATTTGTTGTGGGAGAGGTCGAGCTTCTGCAATTTGAGAAAGTCGAATCCAGGGACTGGACCCGTGAAGTGATTTCCCTGCGCGGTGAACATCACGAGCTCAGGAAGGCCGGTGAAGTCCGGCAGCTCGCCAGAGAAATCATTGTGGGAGAGGTCGAGCTTCTTGAGACTCTTGATGCCGGTGATGGATTCCGGAATGTGTCCGGAGAATTTGTTCTTCGCTATTAGGAAGTGAGTGAGATTGGTGCAGTTTGAGATCGCCGGTGAGAGCTCGCCGGAGATTTGGTTCCGTTGGAGGTTGATGATGGTGAGAGACGAAGCCAATAATGGGTTCACGCACACGGAAGCAGGATTGAATTCCCCTGACAGGCTGAATCCTGAAAGAGTGATTCTTGTTACAGAGCTGTTAGCGGCGTCGCAGGAAATTCCCGGCCAGGAATTCAGGCAAGGATCGGTTGTAGGAACCCAACTGGGTTTGGTTCCGTTCAGATGGGCGAGGAAGGTGATGAGGGAGTTCTTGACTCCATCCTCCACACCCGCGGAATTAGTCGGGCGGTGGAGGACGGAGAGGAGGAGGGAAATGACAAGTGCCCACCAGATGGGTACTTGACTCATAGTTCTAGAGACAGAACCTGAGATTTTTTTTTTCCTGTGATTTCCACAACTGGTAAAGATCTTCAATATAGCTTTGAGGGGATGCTCTGTTTCAAGAGAATGATTCGAAGGGGAAGGCAGAGTGAGGGCAATTCCAATGTCAGCTGCTGAGAGCCGGTGGAAGAGAGCAAGACATTCGGGTAAAGACAGGGAAGAAACAAGGAGCCGGCTGAAAGTTAGCGACTGGCCAAGTCGTTATACATGAGTCAGAGTTTGATTGTAACAGGCTAACAGCCGAGATTTATTGTGTCAAGAGAGCTACAACTTTGGTTTCTTTGTTTATGTTATTTAATTTTTGTGTGATATTGAAATATGGGTGGCAGAGCAACATTCCGAATAACTAAGCTTTCAAAATTGTTGGAGCAATTATTTTACGGAGGCTGCCAATTGTCGGGGTAATCATTCAAACGGTAGCTTTCTGCGTTGGGAAAGAACAGTGTGTCTGTGTGTGGAAGTGAAATGGTACAGGGTAAAAAACAAATAGGCATCCACAGGGTGTCTGGCAGCTCCCTGTGGCAGCATCATCTACAACATTACAATCAGATTGAGATGGTTAATGGACGGGTTAACCATCTAATCATCTCTATCTACTCGAGATTCATATGAGAAGTTTATTAGGTGATTCCGAAAGAATTCAGTTAGTCATTTGCTAAGTTACTAATCTGTAGAATGATTGCTGCGTTATGCTGTCACCATCCATCTAACCTATATGTACTATACAATTTCGTGAGTGTGATTCATCTCCTCTACGACCCATGGGTGGATGAATTTCAGACTAAAACACTTTTCATAAGTGTGATTCATCTCCTCCAATCCATAACCCATTTAACAACGGGTGGAAGAATTTGAGGGTAAAAACCACCCAACCCCATCATCTCTGGTTCTACAATCAGGAGTGGCAACTAGGCTAAACCTGTCCAATATTTGGACAGAATGGAAATTGCACGATGCATGATTTTATATCGTTCAGCTTGGATCATCAAATTTAAGAAGTTATCGCCAGAGTCAGATAATCGAATCGAGAACTGACGGGATAAGAATGAAAACAAACGCCTTTATTGGGGTTATTTCTGGTCCTAACATCCCTTCATTATCGATTCGGATTCTAAACCAAACAAGACCATACCTACCCTAACTAAGTTCACAAGCTACAAATGTCATTCCAGTTGTATTACCCCCATGCTCTATAACCTTGCATTGAATGAGTAACATATGGAGCCTGCACCATGTCCTGCCTACCCAACGATAACAGGAGGACAGTTATTGTGATGGCGATGTACCAGAACTCCAAGTGGATATCATGATTCTGAAAGGTTGTTCCTTCCCTAGCATTTTGTTTCATGTCATTTAGTGATTCTAGCCACAAACGGATCGGTTCAAGCTTAACTTTGCAGGGCAGTAAATAACAACCTATCTGGAAAGGCCTCAAGGGCATGCTATTAATCAATGCACCAAAGCATACAAGTTTCCCCCATAATTTTGGATTCTAGACCACAGTACAGAAACATAAGTTTTCCTCATTTATTGTGATTTTTGTTGTCCTTCTTAATTCCCAGTACATCACTGTGCCTGGTAAATTATCAGATTCCCTTGAAACACAATGGTAACCCTGATGTTACACTCTTCTCCTTCAAACCTTGAACCAATCTACATGCAATTTCGAATGAATAATTGAGTATTTGGGTATAAAGAAGATACTAACGTGATATGATGATCACTGGGAAGAATATGCAACAGATTTGCTACATCGATTCAGGGATCAGCATCACCAGCAACATTGTCTTCACTGAATGTGCTGTGCCTGTCACTATCTTCATCCTCGCTTATCTCTTCATCGTCACTCTCCTCGTTTGGAGCTTTAATGGTGTTCGACTTCTTTGCATATCGTTCACAGTACTCTGTCATCCCAGTAAACAAACAAGCATTAAGTTTTTAGGATCATGGATTCTCTAGATAGATCGGAAGCACGGTAAATTGGAACGTCATCCAGTAAAGGCAAGTAAGAAAAACTATCGAACAGATCTCACCTTTTACCTTTTCTTCATACTGCTTTTTATCATTCATCATAAGTGCAGCTGCGTCAGCATTTAGTGGGTCCCCAGGGTTTGGGTAGAGCAGTAGCTGTGGAAGAAAAACCTCAAACACATTCAAAAGATCTGCAGCCAGAAGAAGCCACAGAGGGTCAATCTCGAAGAGAGAGGGCAAAGTTAACAACATTTAATTGTTCTAGCTTGTTCTTCTAGTTAACTTTTGTGATAATGAAAGAAGACATAAGAATTTAACTAAGCCAAGGAGTTACATTACATAAAAGCCATTTTCCTTTTCTTTTTTTCCTATTTGAGAATCAAAGTGTTTCGAATAATTGAAGAATAACGTCAAAATCTGTCCTGAACTTAAGTGATATTAACTAAAAACACATTGATAACCTGCATGAGTCAATGTCGCTGCAGCACATTGTTCAATCAAAACCAGTCAAACGAATCTCCAAAATCTTATCAGAGAAGACAAAGCTCAAGTTAAAGGAAATATTCTTACAGGATGGCCAGGTTAGATTCAACACTCTTTTCCAGCTTTATGCTAGTACATATATGGCGCTAATAAGAAAAGGAGGGAAGTTCAAGATGGATTTGTCACTTAGTTTTTGGATACTAGTACTGTGAGATTTCACAAACTATGTGGCAAGTAATGTGCTTCTATATGAGTGTGCAAGGGAAAGGTCCAACTACCAAACATTGGACTCCATGATTGGTTGATGACATCCAAGCAAACAGAACCTGACCTGTGAAATACAGGAGAACAACCTTAGATCAGGCTTTAAGTAACTTGGTATAAAGCAAATTAACAAAAAAAAAAAAAAAAAAAAATCCCGCATAATCTTCTACAGACCTATGCAAAGCACTTGCGTCTATCTCTCATAATCTTTCCTGATGAATTTTTCCCCATATTTGTTTATGAAATTAAGGCATGTTAAAATCAGTACTCGGAATTCTTTAATAGGCTACAATAGTAGTTAAATTTTAACAAGAAAAAGGATAACAGGGTCAAAACCGGAATTCTAATAAGTCATTTCATTACCCACCAGCCAAATGCGAGTAGCTACACATCTACTGTAATATTGGTTTTGAACAAGTAATTAACAAAATTATCTACATGAGCTATCTAATGAACATTGGGAGGCTAAAATCAAATCTGGCAGGAACTATAATGAAAGGCTTACATCTCATCAACATTGGGGTGGTATATTTTATTGAGGAACCCGATAGAAGGAGATTTGTATGGATATGCATCTGGTAACTCCACTCGAACTTTCCAAACACCACCTTCATAAAGGCCTGAAAAATGAAGCCAGACTGCAGTGAGAAAAAACAATATGACAGTGGTTAAAGCATGATCCATATAAGGACAGGCATGGGCAAAGGAAACCAATAGCAAACAAGATTAGATGTCAGGGTCATTGTGGCATTAGAGGTCTCAATCTTAGGTGCATAAATGAACATCAAATTTTGTGGTTTAGATCTTATAGCATGCTTGCCTGAGGAAGTGGTGGGTTTGTTTCTGAAAAGCAACACCAAGATGCAATGTCCATATAAACATTAGCATATTGAAGAAAACATTACTCTCTTTTGGGCCATGGAACTCCACGTTGAATTCATTAATCCCATCATTGATTGTTTCCACTGTGTAGTCACTCATCATCCTACAATGCACAACCAACATTAGGACGGTGGAATAAAAAGAACAGTCAGGCACCACTTGAGTAGATAACAGATCCTTTAAACCTCAGAAATCCAAAAGAAAAGAGAAAACAAAGACCATAAAGTTAAAAAAAAAACTGGGATATTCAACGAAAACTTGGAAATTACAACATATCTATTTTACATTGTTGGTATTAACTGCTAACTATATTCGCATCAAAACGTTCATCACCGATCTCGACATTTGAAGGTAGATAACAACTAAAAGGCATGAGCAGAAATGAAGATGAGACTTCATAATTCTAAGCACGTACAGTTTCATGACATCCATGTCTCTTCTTTTGCTTGGAGAAGACATTTTCCCCCTTCAATGAATCTTCTTCACTTGGGAACCTAGCACGAGGAAGAATAACAATCAGGGCTTGAAAGATTCGTGGTCATGTGTGTATGGACTCCAACGGTTGAAGGTTTCCCGAGCTCCTTTTCCTACCATCCCCCATTATCTAAGTGTGTGCAATATTGCCATTCAATTTTCATACGGATTGGTTCCATGTGAAATCGGAAATAATTGGAGATGAACTTTAAATGGTCAACCATCACTACCTGCAGAACCCATCAAACCAGTCCTCCGCCAACTAAAACCACACAATTGCATTTGATCAAGAGAAAACAACCATCTATATCATGAGTAGAGCGAGCTAGTACTGAACTAGGTCTACATAGCAGCATATTGTGAACCAGTTTGATCTCACAAATGCAATTAACAGATTCTGCCCTAGTGGGGGAATGGGGAGAGGTCGAATCAAACATCAAGTTACTAGACATAACCATAACAGCAATAAAATCCTTCCAGCTCAAGCAGGAGAAGGAGCAAGAAAAAGACCAGTGCTTTAGGCTACTTAAAAGAAGGATAAGCAATTTTACACTTCATAGAGAAACTGAGGGGGACAAGCTTGATCCCAAATGCAAGCAAGGGCAGGGAAGGGAAGAACTCAGACAAGTAGTTGGTTAGAAAATGACCCGACTCACCAACAAAACAACTATAAATCGGAGTACTTCTCACAAACACGACCAAGGAACAAGAGAAACGCCAGCCATCCAGATCACAAAAAAGACATGCACTCGACTTCAACATGCAATGCAGATCCTGCAACAACTAATAACCATCCCAATTCGACTCCTCCAGTTCTTTCCAAATTTCCACAGTTCGGGTTACGATCCTAACAACTCCTGCTGAATTTCTCTACCCAATCAAATTCTACAAAGCAATGAACTAACCAGCAATTGAGAAACGTAATTATAAAGATCAATCAACGGGCCGGAAAGAAGACGATTCTGAGACTAACCGAATGCGAGAACCGTAATCGTTGGGAGCGCAAAAAGTTTTGATCTTGTATGGACGCCGAGTAGTACAATCCGTTTCTAGCGAGGCGGGAACAAGAGGAAACGGCGGAGCAAGAGGAAAGAAGGCAGATTTGGAGTGAAGAGGAGAGAGTCGGAGATGGAGAGAGCGAGGCAACAATGGAGGAGGAGGAGAAGATTCATCAAGATTCCTACCGTCGCTCGTGTGGGTAATGGGTTTGGTCCCTGGCACGTGCCGGTTGCTTCTGCTTTCTTTTCTCAAAGCTTTGCTTGCAAGGTGGATTAATGGCGAATGAAAATGTGGCGGGTGCGGCGGTTTCAGTTGCCACCTCTACAATTCTCACCAGAACCAAATTACACACACGACACCGTGTCGTTGAAACGAAGACCCGAGACGACGTCGTTTCAAGTTTCCCTCTTTTTCTGATGCATTCTTTGGCGGCAAGTCATCAATCGTCTCTAACTAACTGAAATTCGTCGCTCGGTCGCTGATCGCAGTTCCATTGACGGAGAAAAAGATACGAATCGGGAGAAAGGCGGAGTGGTGATCGCGGCAGGATGGGAGTCCAGGGACTGTGGGACTTACTCGCTCCGGTCGGCCGTCGCGTGTCCGTCGAGACGCTTTCCGGGAAGAGGCTCGCAATTGGTACGCCGTAGAAAACCCTAATAAGCTTGATGCTCTGGTTGCACAAATGAGTAAATGACCGCCGTTTGATGGCCTGGTTGGTTAATTACATTGCTGTTGGATCATTTTCGTGAGGGCAGACGCGAGCATTTGGCTGGTCCAGTTCATGAAGGCCATGAGGGACGAGAAGGGGGACATGGTGCGTAATGCACATTTGCTAGGGTTCTTTCGTAGAATTTGCAAGCTGTTGTATCTCAGGACCAAGCCTGTGTTCGTCTTCGATGGAGGCACGCCTGCTCTGAAGCGGCGCACGGTTATTGCAAGGCGGAGGCAGCGAGAGAACGCGCAGGCTAAGATTCGGAAAACCGCCGAGAAATTACTCCTCAATCAAGTTAATTATTCTCTGCCAAAATTTGAACTGATCACTGTGACTTATTATGTAGTGTGGTTCTGTTCTCTGCGTGGTTTTATGATGCATGAATGTTTTTGAGTTACTCATTTGTTTGTGTTTGAGCTGTGAGCAGCTGAAGACAGCGAGGCTGAAAGAGTTGGCAAAGGATCTTGAAAACCAGAGGAAGAATCAGAAGAATAATGTCAAGGGCAAGAAGGTTTTACCAGAGCCTGCAGCAAGCAGTTTGGAGAATAGAGATGCAACATTTGATCATGTCAATCAAGAGAAATTGGATGAGATGTGAGATAATTTCATGTTGCTCCTTTCCGGATGCCCAGCTCCATTTGTTTTCAGCAGTTCATTAATGATTCTTTCTATTTAGGTTGGCTGCGTCTATAGCAGCGGAGGAAAATGTGGGTGTAGAAAATGCATCAACATTTGCTGGTCCGGAAAGGCAGGATGATGAAGATGAGGACCTGATACTGGTACTTTGTTTTCCATCCTTCCTATATCTTATAACCTTCATGCTCTATTACAACTGTGTTGAAGCCATCTTTACTGGTTTTATTTGGTTGAAATTCTAATGCGAGAAACAGGGATTATACTGGTCAGGTAAAAAATAATGTAAACTCAGATTAGTTCTACTTTGCTGAAAGTCAATTTAGCTCGACATTGTGCAACTTCAGTATGACTCGAGGGATCTCGATCCTTGTTGATATGTTGATGGCCGTTATTGAATTCTTTGCAGCCTGAGATAGATGGTGACCTGGATCCGGATGTATTGGCTGCTTTGCCGTCATCAATTCGACGTAAAGTTCTGGTAAGTGCTGCTATTAAGATTAATTTTAGGTTGATTACCGTTGTTTGATTAAGTAAATTCTGGCTTTTCTGTGCAGATGAAGAAAAGGTCAATGGTGGAAGACAGACAATTTCATGATGAAACAAAGGTAATTCAAAATTGCTGAAACTGTTAATGCAATGCAGTGCAGCAAAGAAATCATAATTGGATCTTTGACTAGAAACATGTCAAGCTCCTGGTTGTCTTATAGAAAAGAAAGATTTTGTAAGATTTATCAATGAATTTCGTGTCATTCATTATACTGATTCCTGATTTTTCTTTGTTCGAAGGTTTTAAATTGATTTTAGATTTTAGATTTTTGGATTCTCAAAACAATTTTTACATATATCCATTTTTGAATCTATTTAGATTTATTTGGTTGTGTCTTTAACTTCAACATCAGACTGTAAGTAGTAAACTTCATTAGATCAACTGCCTCACAATAATCACTTGTCAATACTGCCATTTGGTTCTAAAAACTTATGGAAGAGTTATTTTTATGCCAAGTAACATTGTTGTTTGAGAAAATAATGAACCACTACCTCTTTTATAATGGTAAGAAATGGGCAGATACTTGCAAGCTGTTCACCATGTAGGTACATCATGCATTCTGGCTAATGTAGCATTATTGTTAAACTGATTCTTGCTTGTATGTGCTATAAAAAGTCTGCTTTTGTTACTTATGTAAGAGAAAAACTCATAGGCTTTTAGTTGTCTGCTGAAGTGCTGATTGATAGCTTATTTTGCTTAGGTATCTTTCCTGTGTAACAATTTCAGAAATTTATTTCTGTTCCTTCATGTTTCACTGGCATTGCTATTTGAACCAGATTGAAAACAGCAAGAAAAATGAGAAGGGAAAGGAGGTATTGTCGGACCCAGCCGAAGTAGAGGAGAACAATTTTGAAGGGCTTGACAAAGGGATGGAAAGTTTCAACCAAGAAAAGCTAGATGAGATGTAGGCTATTAAGGGAGATTTAGTTTGCTCTATGATTCCAAGTTCCTGAATTTGAAGTTAACACGTCTAAAGCAAAATTTAGGTTGGCTGCATCTCTTTTAGCTGAAGAAGATGGGAGTCATAAGTATAATACAACATCTGTTGCTTCTGCTCCCTTCGAGGGCGGTGAAGATGATGATGATGAAGAGATGATTCTTGTAAGTTGGCAAATATATGTTAACGGTTTTCAATCTGGACTTGTCATGGATTGATTTACTTTATTTTTGTTTGATGTTTTTAAAGGTTCAACAAGTTAAATCATGGTTTGATGTAGATCTTAGGATTCTTATCCAAGAGTTATTTTGAGTTTTTAAGAAATACGAGCCATGGGAACGGTCCTCTATGTTTACGTCTCCATTATTGCTCAGGCTTGATCATTACTTTTGTTTCATAACCTACTTTCAGCCAACAGTCCCAGGGAAATTTGATCCTGCTGTCTTAGCAGCTCTGCCACCATCAATGCAACTGGATCTTCTTGTGCAGGTAGCTCTTTTTTTTTTTTTTTTGTGGATGCACTGATGAAGTATTGACCAGTCTTCATTTAAATGGTCTTTCTCATCTGCTTCACAAATTTTCTGTACAATGCTCATTTGCTATATTATTTCTGTAGATGAGAGAGAGGTTGATGGCTGAAAACAGACAACGATATCAAAAAGTCAAGAAGGTTAGTTCTTGAGTGCAATGGTCACTATGTGTGAGGACAGGGACTGCATGTTTCTGTGATATCTAGTAAAAAAGTTATCATTTCAGTGCTGTTTTAGCTTCCTTCTCCTTAAACCAGACTTTCCAACTTTAGTCTCGCCAGTACATAATATTTTGTTTTTTCCATGGCAGGCTCCTGAAAAGTTCTCCGAGCTCCAAATACAAGCTTATCTCAAAACTGTTGCATTCCGTCGAGAAATAGATCAAGTGCAGAAAGCTGCTGCAGGGGGAAATGTAGGTGGTGTTCAGACTTCAAGGATAGCCTCTGAAGCCAACAGAGAATTTATCTTTTCATCATCATTTACTGGGGATAAGCAGTGAGTCTCATTTAGTCATTTTTTTCATGCTATCATAAGTTCTTTTCCTTTAATAAGAATCCTGTCAGGAGTTCATTGACGTGCAAAGTACAACTTTGTATGAACCTTAGTTATTGTTTCCAAATGATGGTGTGGCCAGTTGTTATATATATATAGCTAGGTTTGTATCTGGAAGATAAGTGAGGGCAAAGAGAGATGGACTCACTTCAGCAATTGAAGAACATTCTACAGATTTCTTTACATCTTGAAAATCTCTAGGAAAGGATGCTTAAATAAATTATGCAAATCAAAGTGGAGGCATTAAACTCTATAGTTTTCATTAGAAAAAGAAAACATAACCTAATAAAATGAAAAACACAAAGTTCCAGATGATCTAACCAAATTAGAGTACTCGAAATACTATAAGAGGTGGACAATTGTTTGTTGTTTTCGCATGCAACTTGATGCTTCTGATGCAGTCTCTTGGCCATGTACTACTTTTTTATTAAAAACTTGGCCATGTACTAGATGGTCCATTAATGTGTTCTTTATGCCTACAACTATTATTTGTTATTTAACTTAGTGGGGAACTTTATGTTGATTGTATACTCTGATTATGTGAGGTTATTTACTTCTGGTGGAGTGCTGAGCAGTGGGGATAAGCAACAACCACCACCAAGTGGGCTTCCATCACATTCTGTTAAAGATGGTGCTTCTGGCAGTAACGCAGCTACAATGGCAGGAATTGGCCTTGAAGAATCTGGAAATGTTTTTGATGATGATGTTGAAACCTATACAGATGAAAGGGGTCGTATTCGATTAAGTAGAGGACGTGCCATGGGGATGCGGATGACCCGAGATTTACAGCGGAATTTAGATATAATGAAGGAGATGGAACAGGTTGAAATTGATGTTGCAAGCGTTCCCTCTAAGACCATGGGGGGACAAACTAATTCTGGAGAAGGAATTCCTAGTGCAAGAACAGAAGTCAGAGGTTCAGATGATAATAGTGTTGGATCTACACAGTTGAACGAGAGAAATGGACACCATTTGATAGATAACAATAGTTGTATGCAGATTTCATTTGAGATTGATGGTGTTAGCAAGTCTTATGAAAGTGATGATGACATGTTCTCTTGTTTAGTTGCTGGACAACCAATTGACATCTCTTCTGTTGACAATGATACAACCCGGAAACAGGCTCTTGATTCAGCTTCTGATAGTGATTGGGAGGAAGGGAGCATTACGACAAAATGGGATGGTTCTTCCACCGACCCAGAGTTAGTAAATAAGTCATTCCTAAAGGCAAGCAACAATAGCGATGGCAGTGAAGTGGAATGGGAAGAAGAACCATCTGAGGTAAAAAATAAGCTTTCGTGCCAGGTTCAATCTGGGAAACCTGTTTCAAGAGGTGAGTTGCAGGAAGATGCTGATTTGCAGGAAGCCATAAGGAGAAGTCTCAAGGATCCAGGAAGTGGTAAAGGATTTGCAGAAAATGGTGACGAACTTGTAGTTATTAATCGAAGCGACAGTAGGCAAGTGTTGAATATGGTTAGGAAGGATATTCAGGAAAGTAATATAAACATTGGCACTATGGAAGCAAATGAACCATGTGGTCCAAGTACAGCTAATGAGCCCCACAAGGTCTCTCGAAGCACATTGTCTGGAATGCATGGTCTTGATGATATCAGTAAGACATGTCTAGAGCACACAGGTTCTAAGTTTGAAGAATGTCGATGGGATACAAGCAAAGAGCTCAAGGCAAATGGAGAAGTACAATGGCCAAATCCAGAGCAATCTGTAGATGCTACTACTGAGGCTGGTGGGTTATCTACCACAACAACTAGTTTCTATCCGGCTGAGGATTCTCATATTTCTAAACCAGTCATTGGTGATAGCATGATGAGTGTTGGTATGGACAATGTTCAAACAGAAGCTTCCATGTTTGTCAGGGAGGATAAAGTTGCTCCTGAAACTGAAGCATCACATCATTCAGTTGAGGAAACTATAGCAAATTCTTCTGGATCATACATAGAGTCTCTTAGAGGAGATTCAACAGCTCCTGATGACATTGAGGAACAAATGGTTGGTGAGAAGATCCTCGACACACAATTTGCATCAAAGAACAGCGAGAATCATGCTGCTGCTGATACAAATGATGAGAAAGTTTTTTCACAGGCTACCGTAGAGGAGGAGATACATATACTGGGTCAAGAAATTATGAATCTGGAAGATGAACAGAGAAAGCATGAACGCAATGCTGAATCAGTCACCAGTGAAATGTTCGCGGAGTGCCAGGTACATGCCAGTCAGCTTATTGGTTGCTTTTCAGGCTTATGTGGCTGGTTTGAGTTCCCTTACCGAGCCAGTCCTATGGTTCCCAGCTTGTTATAAATACTAAGCACCATAGTTGGCTTGTATAATGCTAATTGGAAGTGATTGTACAATGCTAGTTGTTATGAAATCCTAGTTCTCCTTTGCTGCTTAGAGAGCATAATTCTGTTTTGTGCATCTATTGTAATGCAGGAGCTTCTTCAAATGTTTGGCATACCATATATAATAGCACCAATGGAGGCAGAAGCTCAATGTGCATACATGGAACTCGCAGGCATTGTTGATGGTGTTGTAACTGATGATTCTGACGTTTTTCTATTTGGAGCGTGTAGTGTGTACAAGAATATATTTGACGACCGCAAATATGTGGAGACTTACTTCTTGAAGGTAAGAAAATCTACCGTATCCTTTACTCTCATTCTTCCCTGAATGCTATTTAGGGATACAAGTTTCCAGACTTCTGGCATGCATATGGTTTCTTATCTCTTCTCGCACCATTCTTGAGTGTAATCCTCCTCTCAGGTCTACTTTTACTTTCATGGTGGTTTTGTCAGGATATTGAGAAGGAACTTGGCCTGACTAGAGATAAACTAATTCGTATTGCATTGCTTCTCGGGAGCGACTATACTGAAGGAGTTAGGTAATATACAACTTCTGTTATTTGCTCTATCAGTATTCTGTTATTGTGCTGCCATCTTCAAGTATACTTGTATTCGTCCAGGCCATGTGCTTGGGCTACCTATATTACTGCTTCAGACTTATTATATGGGCTGACTACATTTACTAATTTGCATGCTGATGGGTTTTGCATCTTATTGGGCTATATTTTTTATGCAGTGGGATTGGTATTGTTAATGCTATTGAGGTTGTTGATGCTTTCCCTGAGGATGATGGCCTGCAGAAATTTAGAGAGTGGATAGAATCGCCAGATCCAACCATCCTTGGGAAGCTGGGTGGAAAGCCTCGCTCAAGTGGTAAGAAACAAGGATCCAAAGTTGCTGACAGTAAATTGGATCCATCTGCCAAGGACACTGCGTCAATGGATGGTATTGACGAGATAAAGCAGATTTTTATGGACAAGCATGTAAGTAATCCAAATTTTTGTCATATAACTGCCAAACAGCCAATGCCTCCTCTTCATACGTGGTAAACTAATTTAATTTTTGTAGAGAAATGTTAGCAAGAACTGGTATATCCCTTCCTCTTTTCCAAGCGAAGCAGTCATTTCTGCATATTGGTCGCCCCAAGTTGATAAATCAACAGAACCTTTCACATGGGGAAAGCCAGATCTTCACCTTCTTCTACGGTAAGCTCTTAGGGATTTTTTTTTAATAATGGTGATAATGCATATAAATTAATTAGAAAAAAGAGTTTACAAAAGGAATTAACTAGAGGTGAACACCCAAGAAAGACCAACCGGAAGAAGAAAATACAACAAAGAAAGAAGAAGGGAGAATAGGGAAAAAAAATACTTAAAAGCTCTTAGGATTGTAACTTCTCTTTAAGTGTGCATGTGAATTTGCATTTAATCATAGTAACGATGAAGTTCCTTGCTGCTGTATCTTTGCATCTATTCTATGATTCTATTCACTTGTTCATTGGTGGTATGAAGTTCCTTGAAATAATTCCACTTTCTTGACATGAAAAATGTATTAAAACCTTTCTTATTCATGATTGAGAGTTTTGCCTTCAGATTATGCTGGGAAAGATTTGGCTGGAATGTCCAAAAGTCGCAGGAGTTGCTTCTGCCTGTCCTGAAAGAGTACAACAAACGCGAGGTTGTAGCTTTTCTTGGACAATCTTTATCTCTTTATATGTCTACTATCTCTTTCTTTATGTAATAGTATACCAGTCAGTTATCTTATTTGGTGACTCTCTGTTCTGGAATGGTTATATAGACTCAACTGCGGTTGGAAGCATTTTACACTTTCAACGAGAGATTTGCTAAGATTCGAAGCAAGAGAATCATGAAAGCTGTAAAAGGAATTACTGGAAAATCAAGTTCAACCGTATTGGATGATGTCCCAGAAGAAGCTCCTGAATTGACTAAGAAAAGAAGAGCGACTCCTGCTGAGTCTGAACTTAAGTCAGCAGAAGGATCTATTCTTAGTAGCGACCACAATCTTTCCGGGAAATCAACGACTAAGAGATCTAAGAAAGCAAGTACCACTGCGAAGGATATCTCATCTGAAAAGGAGGAATCAGGGCAAGAGTTGTTGTCAGGAAACAGGCAGCAGACTGCAGAAGGCTCAAACAAGGGTGGGAGAGGTAGGGGTAGTGGTGGAAGGAAAGGGAAAGGGAAAGGAATAGGAAGTGGGAGGGGAAGGGGAAGGGGAAGGGGGAGGAGATCTCGAGGTTTGGAACCATCTGGACAGAGTTCTGGGGACACTGAGAGCAGCAGTGAAGAACACGAGGATCAGATTCAGAACTCAAAGAGGCCAAATGAAGTGCGACGGGTAATGACTTGGCTTGATATTTGTCATCTTTGTCGCAGCAACATATCCTCTTTGCTCAAGTTATTCTACAATCAGAATTTTCTCTTTGTTTCTCTCTTATGTCTAATAAGATACACCCTCCCGGTATTGTTTTTTTTTTCTCCATGTATACAGTCGAAACGGTTGAGACATCCTGTTAGTTATACATCCGACCTGGAAATGGATGACGTGATCAATTCAGTAGATCCAGATGGTAAAGAAGAGGCAGCAGGAGAAGCTAAAACCCATCCAGGATATGCTGACTCGAGTCCTGCTGTTAGAGAACCACAGAATCTGGAAGACGATTTATTAGTGCAGATGGGTACAACACCTAGGGAGGATCTCGAAACAGGAGGTGGTTTCTGCATGGATGAAGGTGAAGCTGGTAACCCCGAGGGTGGCATTAGCATTAATCCTTCTGAAAGCAACGCTTCGAAAGATTACTTAGAGAGTGGAGGTGGGTTTTGTGTGGATGAAAGTGATGCACACAATAATCAAGCTGATGTCGTCAGCCTGTCTCCACCCCTCGAGGAAGATTCCACCGAGAAGCCTCGTCATGGTGGTTTGATGAATGAGGTCAAGTTTGCTGCTTTTTCATCACTGAATGCTGTGAATGAAAGCGCAGCCGATAAGGATCCATGCACTGAGACATTGAGAACTACAGAAACTGATGATCATCTGCAGTCCGGCAGCTCCTCTATTCCTGAAAGCATTGTAGATGATACCTTGGCTCCTGAAGCAGGAGGTCTAAGGGCGATGCCTTTCTTGAAAAGAAAGCGAAGGAAGAGCTGAAAAGCAAGTGTATGGTTGCTGGTGTGTATGTCGTCGTAGTAGTAGTATATAAGTAATAATTATCTTCTATATAATAGCGGACTACACTTTATTGGCCCAAACTTCCTACTACTGTTTCAATTTCTGTCGTTTTGGGTGGCAACCATTGAGAGAGCTTCGCATAATAGCTTCCCAAAAACTTCCTCGCGGCAGTCGGCCATCCCTTCCCTCGTGCCCTTACCGTAAAAGCAGCAGTCGGCCATGTCTGTCTGCGGTCGTACCCATCCTTTCACCATTCCACTTGCATTTTTCAAGTTTGTAGGACTGCGATTGTTGCTGCCGGAAGGAAAAAGAGGCCTCTCTTGCCCTGTTACACACTCGCTTCGTATCTCCACTGACGTCCCTTCTCTGGCTCTTGGACTGTACCCTCACCCCATTCCCAAAATCTCGCCCCCATTCCTCACCATTCACCCCAAATCCCGCCATCCCGTTGTGCTTTTCCATGGTACAATCGCCTCAGCAACCCACTTCAGTACGCAATCCACAGAGGAAGCCACCTCTCTCCATTCTTCCTTCCCAACACCCACCCTGCCACCAATTCCACCTTATCTTTAGATTTCTTTTCCTCCGATACCCTATTTCTTTGCAAGTTTTGTTTTTCTTCTCCTCTCTCTCTCTGATGAGGAAACCCAACGATGGCCGACGGAGATGAGCCCAGTGGAGCCATTCCCTGGAGCTTCCAACCCGTAAGTGAAAGATATATATTTGGTTGCTGCTTTGCGGTGGTTGAATCTGAATATATTGTTTTCATGTGCTTTTTATGCAGGAAAATAGTGGTTGTGCTTGAAATCACATTTAAGAAGAGGTCAAGGTGGTTCTAAACAACCCTGTTGGTTGAAGAAGAAAATGACGACAAGGGATTTTCGGTGTTGCGGAATCGGCGACAACTGGGATAGTAGGGGAGGAAGGGTGGTGGTGTTGGTAGGAGGATGATGAATGAGCGTCGCGGTGACTGGGGTAGTAAGGGAGGAAGGCTGGTGGTGTTGGTAGGAGGACGATGAATGAGCCTCGCAGTGGTGTTAGGGATTGAAGAAGTTGAAGATGGAATCCCCATTTTTTGTTCTCTTTCACTGCTAACAATTAGGTTAAGTTTTCCTCTGATATTTCAGAAAGTGATTTCCTTTTTGTAGCTGGAACTTAAAGATAAAGAGTTGGTAATCTACACACTTTGATTTTTTGTGTTTTCATAGGTATTCTTGGAGTTCCTCACATATTTACTTGCTGCTGGTTTGTTTTTTTCCCACGATCTTAAGACTGTGATGGTTTGTTTTTTCCCCCACGATCTTAAGACAATGACCAGTAGTGTTCCATTGCTTATCCTTGCAATATTTAGTTCTCATTGTTGGATTGTTCTATTAATTATGACATGATCTATGTTATTCCTCTACAGCAACATGGAAGCTGCAGCTGGTGTTAGGAGCTGAACTACATGTGGTTGCAGGTGCAATACACAAGGAGGAGTTAATCCACAAATTGGTATGTGTTTTATTCTTCTCCTTCATGTTGATTTCTCTGTTCAATTTATAATATTGATTCTTGGGAGTTAGATCTGAAATAAGTTGTTTTGGACTAGCTCTGCCGTTATATAAGCATGTTTGCCAATAAGTGTAAAACCTCACTCTTTGGAAGATTAATCCTGGTTTCATGCCACTCTCTTATTAACTGAATTAATTGACTTCAGTGACTGGTGGTGGTTTCCAGTTTCCACCCCCTAATAACCTGTTGAAGAATCCTTTTTTGCTTTCTTCGTAGTGGGTGGCTTTGTTTCCATCCCCTAAACACAGTTAACAACTTCTGCTTGCTTTTCACATGTACTTCACCATGTTTCTCTATGATGAAGGCCAATTAATGCTTGCTTTTACAGGTCCTTTCCTAAAGTTTCAGTCAAAAGGAGGAATGCTGCTAACATTATATTCTGTAGAAGATGAGCCTTAGTATTTGTGTATTGAAGCATTCTACATTATGTATTTAATTTGTCAATTCTCTATTTCTTAGCATTCTGTAATTGTATGGATATAGCACTACGGCTTTCCTAGAGTTCCATATATAATGAACTGCAATGTTGACTTGATTTGTATTATGGAATGCAGAGCAGGATAATCAGGAAGTTTCTTAATTTAAAGTTTGAACAGATAACAATGTTGCCTGGATCTATTTGATAACAATTTTATTATTTTCTTATATATAATAATGACACCATAAATTTAGCAAATGTGCAGGACAATTTCTTATATTTGTATTGATACCCAAAGCTTCATCACCATATTTCTAACCGTTTGTAAATACAGAATACAACTTAAGCATGCCTTTACATGTCCAGTTTAATATATATAAATTAAATTACAACACTGCTCACCAAGTTCCCTCCAAATCAGAACAACCACAACTAGGTTCTATATTGATGTGGATTGTGGAGAGCATCAATTTTTAAACGTATCCTTTCTTGGTGGCAGTTAGTTCAGCAACTTACCATTATCGACCAAACTAAAACGGTTAACATATTCTTTTTCTGAACTTTAGTATACCAAGGTTATTAATTTTAGCTAAATCGGATTTTACTTGACTGTTTTTCATGAACACACTTCCAATACTCTAAAACTCACATCATTGCCTATAATACGACGGTTCTTATCTATCGTCATCTGAACTACCAGCCATACGGTCATGTTGATGCAACTTAAGTCCCCGTGGCGTAGCCACGGGTATTGATCCTAGTTATTCTGTAAATGTCGAACTTAGCTGGCAGTCTGGTATGGTATGTTTCTCGTCCGGCTCAGTTTTTCGCCATTTTTGAAACCTCTGATTCGTTCAGACTTCCAAGGCGAATTTTTGGCAAGTTTGTTCCATGCTGAAGCCTGGAAATGTTAATACGATGTATGCCGGGACCGGTTACTATAACAACACCCCTTGTGTTGTTATTGTAACAACACTAGTCTCCAACCAATAGAAAGCTAGGATTGTGATGACTTTTTATTAGATGAGTTGACCTAGTGTAAAATCAAAGCAGGGGTATAGTTGTTATTATGAAAAATCTGTTTAAATAATAAAAAAATTAAAAAAACATATTTTTTATTTTCTGCCCAAAAATTTGGTCGCCGGAAAGTGGTCGCCGGTCACCGGAATATGCTTTTTGTCGCCGGAATATGCTATTTTGTCGCCGGAATATGCTTATCGGTGTCGGAATATGCTTACCGGCGTCGGAATCTAGTCATCGGGGCCGGAATATGCCTATCGGCGTCGGAATCTGCTCACTGACGGTCACCGGAGTTCGGTCAACGAACTTCGTTGATCGGTCAACGGTCTTCGTTGACCGGGTCAACGGTCAACGAAGACCGGGTCAACGGTCAACGAAGACCGGATGTATGGTCTACATTGTGATATTTATGGTTTGGTTTCTCATATTTTCGTATGCCTTTTGTGGTTTGCTTTATCGTGTTTGTGGTTTGCATTGACAAGTTTCTGGTTGCTTTCAAAAACTTTGTGGTTTGCATTGTGAGGTTTCTGGTTTGTTTTAATATATTTGCGGTTTGCATTAGGACGTTTATTGTTTGCTTTTTTGTGTGTTTAGAAGGTTTCTGGTGTGCTTTCGCAAATGTTGTGGTTTGCTTTGAGAGGTTTGTGGTTTGTTTTAGGAGATTTGTGGTTTGCATTAGGAGGTTTCTGGTTTGCAATAAGAAGTTTCTAGTGTGATTTCGAAACTTTTGTGGTTTGCTTTGCGAGGTTTCTGGTTTGTTTTAATATATTTGTGGTCTGCATTAGGACGTTTTTGGTTTGTTTTACCGTGTTTGTGGTTTGCATTAGGGGGTTTGTGGTGTGCTTTCGGAATATTTGTGGTGTGCATTATGGGGTTTCTGGTATGTTTTAGGGGATTTTTGGTTTGCATTATGAGGCTTCTGATATGCATTTTGTAGTTGTTTTTATTGCGTTTATAATTTATATTAGGCGGTTTATGGTGCTAATAACTAACAAATAAATACAAAATTATTACAAGGCTACAGCCCCATTTGACACAATGACACCAAACTACATATGACCACAAGTACACTCTATAATTAGCAAATTAAACAACACATCTCAATAGATAGACCACAAATATCAACTTAAAACTTGAAAATAGCTTTCCCAGGATCAATGATTCTCTTCACTATCCATTCAAATTGTCACTAGAAAAAACAAATTCAATTGGAGTACTAATGAAAGAAAGAAACGAGATGGAGAGGAAGAAAAGCAATTGAAGCATAGACCATTAGTCCGCGGAAAGCCTTGGAATGAATTTCCACAACACAGGCCGCAGCTGGTACCACCATTGTTGCGAATCTCTAGGAATTTGAGAGATACGAACTGCAGCGAGGCAACATAGGAGCCCCAATGAAGTCGTCTGCAGCCGGTGCCGCCATGGTTGCGGAGCCTTCTGCTGCTTCCGTTCACGTACCCTCTAGCAGCGGTAGAATCCGAATTTCCGACAGTTCCGTCACGGGAACAGGCGAACAACCGGAATCCGATGGCGCTCATTGTTTAGGGAAAGCTAGCCTAGCGGCCCTCATTGTTTCTTTTTCCCCATCCCCCCCAAATGCAAAAACCTGTCTGGATTCACTAAATGAGAAAAAACCCTCAAGGGCTTTCTCCATGGAGCTAGCTGATTCGAAGTCCACAAACCCAAAACAGTGCGTCCAACACCGCCACCTCTCGCTTGACCTGAGAAATTGCCACCGCGCTGCTCCCATCCCCCTTCTCTCCCAAATTCAGCGACATCAATGGCATCCAACGCCACCGCATCTGCTCCGGAATCGCCGTCGTCGCTCGGTAACTCCTCAGTTGGTGATGATGTCCGTAATCTTGGTGGACGCGGTGGAGGTGGGCGGTGGAGCTGTTGCGTTGGGGGCCGAGGAGAGTGGGAAGATCGAAGAAGAACTGAGATCCAACGAGAGTGCGAAGAGGACGGGGTGGGTAGGCTAAATATAATTTAATTTTTATTTTATTAGATTTTAGATAAATTTACCCTTATACCCTTAATGAATCATGTTGTTAGTATCCGCACCCATGTATGCCAAAGGACGAGCCTTCGGCTGGGTTATCGGCTTTTAATTTTTATAAGCCTAATTGGGCCAAATTTTCTGTCAGGTTTGGGCTCGAGTTATTTGGTAAGGGCCCAACGAGCCGGATGTTCGCACTTTTTGTGCAAGTACCTTACTACCTTTATCTCTGTTAGGAATTCAATTAGGATATTCAATTAAATTTCATTCCTTCGTTCTTCTGCAGGAGGCCTTGGCGTCTGGCGATTCCCTCCAAGTTTCCATTGCTCTTCCTCCCGGCTCCCTCCATCATAATCTACTCAAGACTCACAGGTAAATACATGGTGGCTTGCTATCTTGCTCTGTAGAGTTCCTACAGAACCTGAGGAGTCATAAATGCGCTCTTGGAAGACCTTCAAATCTTCTTCGTCGTGGCAGTGCTCAGTACTGTCATTGCATCCTTAGCTCTGGGGGTCCTCCTTACAATAGAAAGGAAATGAGTTTTTGGTACTCACATCTTCTTACTTGTAAGAGCTACTAGAATAGTAGAATGGGAAGGATCCTAAGCGTAGAAATTGGGTTTTTGGTTCTCACTTCTTCCACTGCACTTGCATAAATGTTCAGTTGAAATAGTTCCGCATTGCAAATGGCAGGCCTCTGCACGATACAATAAAAGTTTCAAGCAATGGGGCGAGTAACACAACCCTCAAATTTTACCTCTTAATAAGAGAGTATGGCTCAAACCATGGCTAGTTTGCAACCAGGATTGCATGCTGCTACACCTGCTACAGCTATACCTGACCACAGCTTGGTAACTTTCACTCACTCAAAGATGTCCTGGATGTATCCTCCGTATTATGCAAAATAACCCTTCTTTTCTCTCCTATCACAGATCAATGGCCTCCCATTGAAGATCGATTGTGGCAGGGTTGTGGATGCAGATGCTACAGTTTCAACTGGCTTTAAAGACTGGAAGAAGTGGCGTTTGGTTGTTTCTTATGATGGGACCCGGTATGCTGGCTGGCAGTTTCAGGAATCCCCTCCTACTATACAGGGGTTACTCGAAAAAGCCCTGACTCGAGCGACCAAGCTGGAGAGGAAACATCTTCAAGTTGTCGGAGCGAGCAGGACTGATGCTGGAGTTCATGCTTTGGGCCAGGTCGCACAGTTCCTCACTCCTTTCAACTACGACTCCTTGGACCGCGTTCATGCAGCTCTCAACGGCCTACTACCCGAAGACATTCGAGTACGAGAGATTGCGCCGGCTCTGCCTGAATTCCATGCTCGATTCTCGGTCACCAGCAAGCTCTATCGTTACAAGATCTATAATGATGCGGTGATGGACCCACTCCTGCGCCACTATGCCCACCACAGCCATTACAAACTCGATACATCCGTCATGGCGGAAGCTGCCACGCATTTTGTTGGGAGTCATGATTTCTCGGCCTTTGCCAATGCATCTCGCAATGATCGAGTGCCTAATCCTGTCAAGACAATTCTCCGCTTTGATGTTTCTGAAATGGCATGGATCAAGCTGTTAGAATCTTTTGTTGTTTTCAGTTCCGGTTTGTGTATGTCTATTGTATAAGTATGTGCTGACATGGTGCTGCTGCAGGGGCAATTGATCCAGCTGGATGTTGAAGGCACCGGTTTCTTGTACAGACAAGTGCGTAACATGGTTGGTTTCAGCTTTCACTTACTGCTCTTAGCATAACCCTACGCTTATGAAATGCTCGGTTCCAATTGCACCTTTTTGTTTTCTTTGCTTGCAGGTTGCTTTGCTGCTGCAAATAGGAAAGCAAGCTATCCCTCCTGATATAGTACCAATGATCTTGGCGAGCCTTGATCGCAGGGAGCTCGCCAAGTATGCTCTGGCGGCCCCACCTCACGGTCTCTGCCTTGTCTCTGTCAATTACAATCAAGATCATCTCCCGCTTCCCAAACTGGGATCTCCCGCAGTTAGTTTTGGCAGGCATCACACTATCAGCAGGTGTAAGCTCCCGCCATCACTTCTGTAGGTTGTAGTATGTAGAAAGTGCATTTCCTTCTATTTCACCCGCTTTTGTTGGCTTAAAGACCTCAATCACTTCTGGTTACATTCATATCATCATCGCATGGATCACAACAGATAGTAATGCCTTAGAAATTTGTCATAGAGAATCCTCATGGATTATCAAATTCGATGAAATCCTTCCCCTGGCATTTGTGTTTATGCTATTTATCGCACCTAACTCGATGAGCTTGTTTGAGATCATGTAACTAATGAAGAAGTCATGCCACAAGCGAGCTACCTCGGATGTATGTGTATCCTCGAGGATACTCCATCCTAGAGATGACAATTTAAACTATACCCACTTTTACGTATTGGTTACATCCCTAATCTTGCATTAGGCATATACATCAGAGGGCCTCATAATTTCCCGGCAAACTCATGGAAGCAAGCAGTTAAGGCTTATAGTCTTATTGGTGGCCAGTGGCCACTAAGGAATTCTTTTCCTAGTATGATAGACAGTGTGATTTTAATGGAGTATACTTTGTGAATCCTTAGTACTTGACCTAAGAATCTTCTGTGTTCTTTGCTAAAACATGCAATAAGATAAATGTAATTAGCAACACTAATTTAAGATTCATCCTTCACTCTCTTTTAATAACTTGCATTATTGATATAAGTTGTTCGGTTTTTGAAATATTAGAATCTTATACTTGAAGTTGAATATCGATGATCCTCATATATATTGGTTGAATATTTATACAAAATTTGAGATTACTGTCTGATTTTCGATTTTCATAGTCGGTAAAGAAAGTTATATATAACTCATTCTGAATCTCTTGCAATAGCTCAAAGGGACCATGAGATAATTCTCGTCATCTAAATGGATGTTCTATCGGCCAAATTTTAATACGATGTTCTACTGAGTGGCCTAGCATTAATTAGTCTTGTACTAAAGGCGATGAACAAGACAAGATTATTGGGCCTCTTAGCCTAGACCAAGGGGGATAATGAGGCCTTAGGCCACTGATGGAGTTGTTGGATCACAGCCCTGGAGGATGGTGGAGATATTGTAGAAATGTGGACTGTGGAGGGAGACGACCTACCCAGATCGCTCTGCGCGAGTTTCAAGCTGATGTTACGACCAAAAATTGTCTCCATTTCAGCTTCAAGGGAAGGAGTGAACAGAAATCAGAAGAGAGAAATGGCGGGAGGAGGAGGATTTGTGTACGGGGAAGTGGTGGCGTTTTCAGCGATGGTGAGTATAGAGTGTATGAATGTTGGGCTGAACACACTCTTCAAAGCTGCAACTATGGCGGGCATGAGCTACCATGTCTTTGTTGTCTATTCCTACGCAATTGCTACTCTTGCTCTCCTCCCGGCTCCTTTCTTCTCCCGCAGGTTGACTTTCCTCTCTCTCTCATTTTGCCGATTAAGTTGGGGATTCTGAGAAATTAATCAAGGTGAAAGCAAGGCTTGAATTTGCAGATCAAGAGCTCTTCCTCGGTTAAGTTTCTCTGTACTCTGGAAAATTGGCCTTCTTGGGGTCATTGGGTAAGCTTTTTTTATTAGGAAAATGAATGGGCACTGATGAATTGATTCCCCTGTTTCTGGGTTTCTTTGGTTTTGAATGGATTTGGTCTTGGGTGTTGTGGATTTGGGAGCAGAAGCTCATCCCAGATCATGGGATACGCAGGCATCAATTACAGCTCTCCTACACTTGCTTCAGCTATAGGCAACCTCACTCCAGCTTTTACCTTTTTACTTGCTGTCATTTGCAGGTAATTCCCCCACCCTGCAATTTCTTACCTCTCCCGTCAATTTCTAGCCATTCTACTGCATTGCCAACGATCCAAAGAGCTGTAATCTTCACTGTCCTTCTTCCTGGATACGTGCATTTATAAATGACATAGATTTCCATAACCTTTTTCTGTACCTGTTTAAAATCCAAGAATGGAGAAAGTCATTGTGAGGAGAAGATCCAGTCAGGCCAAAGTACTGGGCACAGCAGTCTCAATAGCAGGTGCATTTGTTGTAACTCTCTACAAGGGTGCTCCAATTATCAAGGCTTCTCTGTCATCGTCAACTGTTCAACTCAATCAATCTCTTGCTAGCTCACCAACCCAAAACTGGGTCCTTGGTGGGTTTTTCCTCACCTGTGAGTACCTTCTAGTTCCTTCATGGTACATTGTTCAGGTATATATGCTCCTCTCTGACCCTGGCACTTCTGGTGGTTGCGAATGATGAGGAGCTGACATAAATCCTTCTGGTGTTGGTGTTTGCTCGAACACAGACTCAAATTATGAAGGAGTACCCAGCTGAAGTCACGGTAGTCTTCTTCTACAATATAGTTGTGTGCATCATAGCAGCATTTGTTGCTCTTGTTACAGAAGGGACTTCTCCAACTGCCTGGATATTGAAGCCTAATGTAGCGTTAGCATCCGTGGTTTGCTCGGTGAGAGGCTGAGCCGAGACTTGACTTTGCCGGATGTTAAGGCTGAAGATAAATAACGAGACTTTTCTGACCTTTTGCCAATGCTGCTGGTGTGTGTGTTGTAGGGATTTGGATCGTGCTTGAACAACAGTGTTCATACATGGGCACTGCGGATCAAGGGACCTGTGTTTGTAGCAATGTTTAAGCCGTTGTCCATCGCCATCGCTGTTGCTATGGGCGTGATGTTTCTGGGCGACACACTTTATCTGGGAAGGTAGCTATAATTAGCTCACTTCCATCCACAGAAATGTCTTGATTTGGACCGCATTTTAATAATACTGTCCAACCTGCTCAATGTCCATCCTTGCAGTGTGATTGGGGCAGTAGTAATATCGATTGGATTTACACTCTGATGTGGGGAAAAGCTCAAGAGGATGATTTCACAGAGGCCTGCGTTGCTGCTAGTTGCTGCAGCCAGCAGCAGGAAACTCATTCCGCAGAGAAGGCTCCTCTGTTGCAGAGCTACAGAAGAAATGCACAAGTTGAAGCAGACACCATTGCATTTGCGACAAAGTGAAGAAGCCAAATTGCTTGAAAACCTTGTGTGTGTCCGGTGTTCTTAAAGAAGGAAAAGGCCTTTGCTCATCATCAGCAGTATCGAGAGCTAGAACAACCGTGCAGAACAAGCAACAGCGGCTGAACCGGGGATGGAAATGCAGCTTCAATGGCCAACCTGTAGCGTGTTAGCAGAATGAAGGATTATTTATGTCAACTGGGAGGAGAAACTCATAGAAACCTGTAAATATTCATCTCCACAAACAGGTTCCTGTATTTTGTCAGTTGTCCGTTTATAGCCCATTTAATTACAAAATCAATCCAAATTCAGCTAGTTTATGGTTAGGATCAACGATGCTTAATAAGTACGTACTAGACAATTGGCCCGCGCTTTGCGGCGGGAAGCTCGAATATCTAATTGAGAGGTATTGAATTAAGTTATGCTAAATTAACTTTTTATTGCGGTTTGAATTCAATGTCAAAATTAGTAATTTCTCATATGATTTTATAACTTTTCTTAAGAAACAAATACAACTTTGTGTCTTTGAAGGATCTTGAGAATGTTTAAAAATCATTTACCATTTATGTACTTTCATTATCGATAAATAAAACAAATTAGAATTAATAATTTATATGTTGAAAAGAAAAGTCATGAATAAACGAAAAAGAAAACACCATCCAAATGCCAAATTGATTTAGGTGAAGTGAAGGCATTAAACTCGACATCCGGACAATTACGCATCGTCATTTGAAGTTTGGTGAAGTGAAGGCATAAGGTTAGTGAATGTTTACAGGTGTCCCTCGTTTTATTGCCATATGTAACGCATGCATGCTTGGAATAACCCACACAATAATCCAAAGATACGAAAAGGAGCATTATCTTCATTTGTTACCATATTCTTGCTATAAGCTAGAAGTGTAGGTTTCTAGGTTCGTTCTTTAGTGTAATCTAGTATTCGAGAGTGCCATTTACTGTCTACTTTGCATGCGAGAATTCTAAGTGCACCAGGGATGATTTCTAGCGCTATTGCAAAGCTGGAGAGAAGTGATGGGGATAGAGCTTGGTTCAGGATTTTCAAATCTCTGTTATTGAGTAGCTTATGTGGGTGAGAAAGACAATTTGTGTGTGCAGGTAAATTCTTGATAAATGGAACTCGGGAATGAAGAGAAGAAGTGATAGAGAGCTTGGTTCTGCATTCGTCCAATCTCTGTTCTCGGTGGGGGAAAAAGATTTGTGGTGCATGTCAATTATATTCTTGTCTACCTCCTTTATTATGGTGGATTGGAGGTTTCTGTAGATTTCGATTGACTCCATAGGTTGAAAGCGTATGCTTGCCCAACTAACAGAAGTGCTTGCTCTGTCCTGTCCTGCCTAGCCCAACACACGTTCTAATTGAGGGAGTTTGGGAAAGAAGCCTTGGCGATCGACTTGTTCATTTTATGGCCCCTCATCCATGCGACAATTAAACGAAAAAGAAGAAGAGAGAAAGACAGAAAGTTGCTTGTTTATCCCACAACATGCAGAGATAGAGATGGATGTCGAGGATCCATTCTGCATAGGAGATTATGATGAACCCTGCCGCATTCCATCACACCACAGGATAATTGGGAACGGAGCCGAACCGATGGGTCATCAAACGCAACTTGGTTAGCCGCAGGGGATCGAAGAAAAGTCTGGGAGGGGAAAAGAGGGCACACGGGGGCTTGCGGTGATCCCTACCGCAACCCATTGGGCTAGCAAGTGAAAAGTTTCTAACGTCGATTAGACTTGCTCGTTTATCGTCGGAGGGAAGCGCTATGTAATTGTCTAGCCGCTAGCCGATTGCCGGAGGCAGTGGCGGACCCAGGATTGTCAGAGAGGTGTGTCGCCGATAAAATAAAATAATAAGTAAATTAAATTAAATTAAAAATTAAGTTAAAATTAAAAAAAATTAATTCATAAAGTTCACAATGTCATGTTTACAACGAACCACGACGACTTTTCATCTGCTGAAATGTCTCTAAAATACATTCATCACTTATGCTGCAAAGCAAATCTTTTTCAATATACACAACTAAACAATCATTCATAAATTGGTCACTCAACCATCGTTCTTGATTATCTTCATAGCTGAAAATGCTCTTTCGCAGCTTGCAGTTGCCACAGGTAAGGTCAATACCAACTTTAACAGCAAGTAAACTAAAGGATAAAGAGTGTCCTTTCCCCTTTCCACCAATTTCCTAGCTAGCTCGTCGATTCCTCGCAATCCATCAAAGCTCTTATCCTCCTTGACATGAGAAATGTAGCCCCCCAATTGTTGATGAAGTCGTGAGAGCACATTGGATGGAAACTCCTCGGGATAAAACTCAGTAAGACTCATCAACTTTGCTTTATCAAAAGAAGCAAAAGAGTTAGCTGGACTAAAACAAGAAATGCAGTCCAACAATCGAGTGTTCACCTCACCAAATCGAGTATTCAATTCTTGCAGCTGCAAATCTATAACTGCATAGAATAAATCGACTTGATAGTAATGCATAGAACAAATCTATAATGACATTGGGCCATTAATTGGGGAGATTGAGCCATTAATTGGGGATGGGGAGGGAAGGAATAATAATGGGGAGGTAGTGGGCTAGTGGCCGACTAGGCTTTTGGCCTGTAGGTTCTTTTCTCATTTAATTAAAGGTTCAGACCCAACACTCATCACACATGTATATTGTATGGGTAAGAGTGTTTTTTTTAATAGGAAGGATATGATTATGCTTTATGAGTTATTTTAAACAAAATTAAAAAGGATTATGATTAAGATTGATTCATTTGGATAATAATTTCTTCGACTATAATGAAGGTTGTCGGCTATAATTATTGAGGGTGTGTCGGCTATCCCGAAGTAAAAAATTTTGTACAAAAAATATGTAGGTCCTTCATAAAATTCTTGAGCGAGGGTGTGTCGGACGACACACCCTGCAATGCCTTAGGTCCGCCACTGGCCGGAGGGAAGAAACCTAACGAATATCTAGGATGGGTGATGAGGGAAAGCAGGTGTAGGGAAGCTGTGGTGCACCCGCCCTCATGCTACTGGACCCCTTAAACAATTAGGCGCTTTATATATACTAATTTGATACTAACATAATATGTCAAGTATGCTGTATATTTGCATTTTACCCTTAATACGACTTTCAAATCTGACAACTCCTCTCATTTTTACAATGCATAAGTCAGTTATGACCATGGTTGTCACGCCGGCCGACGTGCCACTGGTTGAACCTGGTTCAACCTATACCGGTCATAAAACCGGTATGACACCACCGGTATGATCGGCATGATAGATATACGAATCTCTAAGTAAAATGATCTTATATTAGTGAATTTATTTGATAAAAAGTAATTTATTATTTATTTTATGTGTTAAAAAGTTAAATGTTGATGTTATTTGTTGGATTCAAGTACAAATATTTAGGTATTGACGTTAAATGTCGTGTTTAAATATGAGTATTTGTAAATTATTTGTAATATGAACCGGCATGAATCGGCACAAACCGGTATGTACCACCGGTCGAACCATTCCACTTGCTAAACCGGCACACTGGCACAAACCGGTTTGACAACCTTGGTTATGACTCAATCAAGACCTATATTAATTTATGAGTTGTGAGTCATCAACGACATGGTTACTACAACATGGATTTATGTTTACGGTTTATCCCATCAAAAATTTATTTTGATAAAGTTTCTAAGGAAAGAACTAAAAATGGGTTTAAAGTTCTTAGCACAGTGACCTATTTATCCAGACAACATATTACAGTGACTGAATCTGCTATTGACTGATTAGCCACGGTGGATTCCATTAATTTCCTAACAAATGTGATAACTGATAAGTCATCTCCCTCAACAAGCCACACGCCCACTAGTGTACAACTCCCTGGCCCTCTGAATCTTTTCCTTTCTTTCTTCTTTCATTCTCCAGCTGGCTCAGTCATCAGTCCGATTCTCTGAGTAAACAGAGAGATAGATCGGAGAGAAAGATGACGGCAATGAGTTATTTCCTCGAATCAGTGCTTCCATTTTCAGTCATGGTTGGTCTCGAGCTCATCAGCGTTGGGCTAAACACCCTGTTCAAAGCTGCGACGTTGCAGGGCATGAGCTACCATGTCTTCGTCGTCTACGACTACGCTACCGCCGCCCTCGTACTCCTCCCAGCTGTTTACATCTCTCGCAGGTTGTTCCTTCTTTTCTTCTTCCTTCTCTCTTGTGACTAGTAAAGGAAATAGCTTGATTACTCTGGTTTTTGGCCCCTGCTTTTTTTTGCAGATCCACAAGTGCTCTTCCTCCTTTGACTTCTCGCATGATATGGAAAATTTGTCTTCTTGGGCTCATTGGGTAATCTCACTTTACTCTGTTCTTGTGGAATTGGGGATTGGGAAGGGAACGGGGTTAGGGGTTTCGATTTGAGAACCAAATTTCTGAGAATCCAATGGAAAAGAGCAAGACTTAGTGGAGAAAGAAATGAATGAACACAGGGGAGCATCTAAGATGATGGGTTACACAGGGATCAATTTCAGTTCACCAACACTGTCTTCAGCCTTAAGCAACCTCACTCCAGCTTTTACATTCATATTTGCCGTCATGTTCAGGTGATTTTGCTTTCCCCCAATTTGCCTTCTTCAACCCTTCTCCCCTCCTCTTGCTGATGATGATACCTGTAATTGAACCCCAAAAACAAAGAATGGAAAAGGTTACAATGAGAAGAAGATCAAGCCAGGCCAAAATTGTGGGCACCATAGCTGCAATCACAGGTGCATTTGTTATAACCTTCTACAAAGGTCCTCCAATTTCCTTTGCCACCACTACACCACCATCATCAGTTCTTTCTCAACTTGATCAACAACCTTTTCAAGTCTCGTCATCGACAACCCCGAATTGGATTCTTGGTTCCGTTTTTCTGACCATTCAATACATACTAATTCCACTCTGGTGTGTTGTTCTGGTATGCTTTTGCTCCTCCCTCATTCACCATGAAGTTATAACCTTGAACAATGATCCTTTATGGGTTTGGCATATTTTGTTTGGCAACAGACTCAGATAATGGAGGAATACCCTGCAGAACTCACGGTAACCTTTCTATACGACTTGGTAGTATGCATCTTTGCAGCAGTTGTTGCTTTGATTGCTGAAGGAACATCATCGAGCGCTTGGTTGCTTGGATCGAGGATTGCATTTGCCTCGGTGTTATGCTCGGTGAGAGGAAAACACTAGTTACATGTCTTTATGGATGAATGAATGAATTATTTTGTATTAATGGAAATCAGTGAACTGTAAACTAGGGAGTGTTCGGATCATGTATAAGCAATGCTATTGATGCATGGGCACTAAGGGTCAAGGGGCCTCTATTTGTGGCAATGTTCAGTCCATTTTCCATGGTGATTGCTGTTGTCATGGGGGTGGTGTTTCTGGGGGATCCACTGCTTCTTGGAAGGTATAGTTTCTTATCAAGTTTACATCTGAGAGTGTCCTTCCATTTCCAATCAATGCTACAAAGTCACAAAATTTCCAATTTGCTTTTGATCAACTATTTCACAGCTTAATTGGAGCAACGATCATATCCGCCGGGTTCTACATGTTGATGTGGGGAAAGGCAAAAGAGGTCGATAATAGTGAGACCAAATTAGAAGATCAGTGTCACAATAGCAGCAGCCTGCAGGCACCCCACTCTGGAGAGGATGTTCATGCCCCTTTGCTGCAAAGCTACAAAACTGAACAAGTATAACATGAATGCATGTGCATGAAATCTAAATCTTGGAACTTGTATAATGTACAGTTTGGTTCAAGTAATCTCTTAAGAGTTAAGAACCATTAACGAATCATGAAACCTGGGCTGTTCAAATTCAGCTTCCATTTGTATAATTGTATCCCTCTGCATATGTAAAAGAGTGAGAGCAGCAGAAAGGTATCTGTTTTACTGTAATCTGTCGAGTGAAATGAAAGAAACCTACTAACTTCGTTATTGTAAAATGGTGATGTTTCTTGTCAGAATTTGTGACAAAATATTATTTGCATTACATTTATGCTCATTTTCTACCTTTTGTGCAAGTTTACTGATAAATTATGCAACTCATCAAGCTGTATTCATATACTTAATATATTTTGGGGCTAATACCACTACAACACCCAAACTATGACGAAAATGTCACTTGTATCATATTCTTTTCAATATTCCATTCATATCCTGAACTATTATATTTTGTGTCATTTGTATCCTGCCAATTTCGTTGACCGTTAAAGATAACAGTTGACCAAACGGCGGTCAACTTAACATTGACTTTTGCTGACGTGGCGGTGCCAAGTCATTGACACCTCACATTTTTAATTTATATTATATAAAACTTTGAAAATAAAAAATTGAAAATCCTTTAAATTCAAGAATATTACTAAATAATATTCTAAAACCCCAAAATTCAAATAATAAAAAATCTCCATTGATTTCGTCGATTGTCCCTCTACTATCTGCTTGGTGCTTTCCCGTCGATACTCCAATCGCTGAGCTTGAGGAGCGGAGGAGCTTCGCCATCCATGGGTTAGGATCTCTTCGGATCTGAAGGTTGTTGCGGTGGTAGAGGAGAGACGATTCCCCTCCCCAACCTTCGATTCCCCTCCCCACGACCTTCGGTTCCTCTCAGATTCACCGGGTAAAGGTAGCATTCAGGGACTTTGTACAGGACAAGCTCGACGCCATTGCTTCGCCACCGCGCCCGTGTTCCCAGTGACGGCGCTGAACTCCGCCAGCACCACCGTCCCCCTAGCAACCACCGCGTACTCTCTCTCTCCTCTGAATCAAAACTTCCGCTCCCTTCGTGCGTCTTCACTTTGAACTAATTCATAGGAGGTGGCACGGATTCCAGTTCCCAATTGGAAATTGGGATTTGTAAGTTTTGTTTGTTGAATTGGAATCGGGATTAGGAATTTAAGCTTACAAATAATGGAGTACCGGCAGGCCAACAAAAGCTTACGGCCAGCGGGAAGGGGTTAAGGGATGGCCTCTCTCTCTCTCATCCCCTCCTCTGCTCCACCATGGTTGCGCTGCAGATCTGGCCGGCGGGGGGAGAGCAATGAGGGAGATGAAGTTTTTTATTTTTATTGTTGGTGTTTTATAGTTCTGTTTTTGTAAGATTGTTTAATTTTATATTTGGCAAAAAAAAAAGATTGTTTTTTTTATTTTTTTATTAAATGAATTAAAATTCCACGTCATGTGCCACATCAATGCTGACTGGACTTTTTGTTAAAAACTAACGGTCAAAACGAGTCAACTTTAACAGAAAAATAGTTCAGGACATAAATGGAATTTTGAATAAATCGGGATACAAGTGGCATTTTTGCGATAGTTCGGGTGTTGTAGTGGTATTAGCCCTATATTTTGTCATGAAATTCTATTTACCAATCAACCAATAGTTTCACGAAATCTCATCCATCAATCATAAACCCCATCAGCCATACCTAATTATGTGATTGTTGCGGAATCAAAGATTTTAATCATATAAATCACAATTCTGTATTGTTTTAATTCAAAAAGACATACCAAATTATTTTGCACACAACTTATACCACTGACTAGATATTTGCCTAGAAAATGTGTATGTCCAATTACCACATGTCACGTAGCGATTTTGATGTGAACTATATGAGTAGAACTCTTTGTTTCAAGATCAAATATAAAGATGTGAATAAATTCATGTTTAATAGGTCACTTGACTTGAATTTCAAGATCTATTTTTTCTTTTTTTTTTTGCTATCAAATGCTAATTTGATCAATTAAATTGTTAATGCATACTACCATACAACCTATATCAATATAACAAAGATATCAAACTCAGAGGAATTTTACAATGCTATATAGTATTGGTGCTATAGGTTTTTGTCTTTATGGTACAACTTGAAATTGTACCTTTAACGTTATGGTACAACTTCATATTGTACCTATACTTTTTGTACAAATTCTTTTATGGTACAACTTAAACTTGTACATTTATGTGATGGTACAACTTCAAGTTGTAAAGTTGTACCATAACATAATGATACAAATTCCTTTATGGTACAACCTAAACTTATACATTTAATGCTATGGTACAACTTCAAGTTGTACATTAAAACACCAATACTATATAGCATAGTAGTAGTGCTCATCAAACTCAATCGTATCATAAATTATTTATTAGCATTTTGTCACCTCACAACAAAAAATACTAACATAATAATTTCATTATGAGTTTGCTTTGTCTGGATGCTGAATTTAATCCGTCTTTTTGCTGACAAATTCATTGTTTAGCTTAACCATAAACGCCCAACCATATTGTGATTACTTATCTACATCCACACTACTTATAATCTACACATAATATAATACACCGAAGGGAAAAACGGGAGCCCCATTTCAAATTTCCTGCAACGAGAGTGAAAGTAGGAAGGACATTTTGGTCTTCACACTTACTTTTTTTTAATTCATTAAAAAGACACGTAGTGGGATTCAAACCATGACCATTTTAAGGAAAAGTAAGGATCATAACCAATCACACTAAGTACATTTTTTGCATCTTTTTAAATTAAAAAGATATAATAGCAGAGAGGAAAAAACCTTTCCCCCATTTCAAATTTTCTACTCCAGGAGCGTTTGTAGGAATGATAGAATAGGGAGTGTCAATTTTTTCCTCTTTCCTCTGTGGAACGGGCCAACTTACCGTACACATGCGGATTTAAACGGGTTCAAGAGTGTCAGTTTTTTCATTAAGCCCTTTTATTTCTCCGTGGTGATAAAATATATATGAAGAGATACTTCTTTTTATTGCTAAAAATAAAAAATTTAACAATAAACTAATGCATGGTATCTAATGGGCTAACTGCTAACCATAAAATAAAAGAGTTGAATTGGTTTGACCTACACGGGATTTGGCCATCAAGTAAAACAAATGAACATCATTGGTTTGACATTCTAAAACAAGCTATTTTCTCTGGCATAATATATTATGCTATTATTTTATATCTTAGTGGCTAAAATATAATGTATTTTAAAGTTATTCAATGGTTCAACCTCGACCAACCCAATTAGTCCAATTTTTATCATTTCAAATATATATTATATAATTATTTGATATCATAATGATCAAATCATAGTGTATTTTATAGGGAATCGTTTGGTATTTGTTAGTAAAAAACTAAACAGAAAGATCTATATGGTTATTTTAAACATTAAAACGATCCTAACATTTTCAGTTCCTTTTGAATTTCTATGGTTTTATTCCCGAATAAGTGATATGCAAATGGCAGTCATCTCTTTTCTTTCACTATTTTTTATTTTCAAATAAAAAGTTTAAAAGTAAAGAATAATTAGAATTTGGCATGGGTCGGTCAAACAGACTGCATTTCAAGTTTTGGCCCCTTTTGATCAAGTCTAATTTATAATCACATGGTTCCCTGATACCCGATAAAAATCTCAATCCAAACCAGTTTGGCAGGTGAGTCCGTGTTTACCACCATTTTCTAGGGATACGACAACGACGGTTCCTATCCCAAATCGTGTGTTCGTTCTTTATTTCCTTAGATTTTATCATAGCCTGAAAAAAACCAGAAAGCACAATGACGACAAGATGAAAGTTTTATAAACCAAATTAATCGGCCAACGGGCCGAGTAAAAGCTAGCAACGATTGTGAGATGCTCATTTCCCGAAAACCGACGGGATAGGCGATTTTTTATTCGATTTTCTGGAATTCAGTTTCTATAAAACTTACTCCACCTCATCATATTACCAGAAACAATATTGTTTCACAAGGTAACAGGTACTTGATTTTGGTTCATAAGGCCGATTTTTGATTTGTTGCATCATTAATGTCTCTTTCCTGCTAAAATTCACTATTTTTATCACGTGTTTCCCAAAAAAACTATACAACAATAAGTTATACACCCCATTACATTATCAAATTTCATACCTCACCTTCCTCTAGGGATGAAAACAAAATCCGAACCCACGGGTACCCACCCTACCCAACTCGGTCAACGCGGGTAAAATCCATGTTGACGGGTTTTGGGCCAGGTTTGGGTTTAAACCCGTTCAATATTCATCGGGTTGGGTTGGGTTTGGGTTTAGGTAAACCCGACCCATGGGTTCCCGCCCACACCCATATAATTAATTTTCTCGATATATTTAATATTCTAAACAACTTATCTTATTTATGTTTGTGGAGACATGCCTAATTTTTTCTTTCTAATTGTGTAGAATGAAGTTGATGTTATCGAGTGGAGAGTGAAGAAACTTAATTGAAAGGAAGAAGCTTTCAATTAATCATGTTATTTATGGATAATTTGTTATTTGCTTGAATTTTCTTGAATGGTATTTTATATATGGATAATTTGTATTGAGAGATTGATATTTGACTTTAATTTTGATAGCAACTTGTTATTGTAAATTTTTTAAGACAAAAACCTGTGGGTACCCATGAACCCGCGGATACCCAGGGGGTTGAGTTGGGTTTGAGTTTTTCAAACCCAGTGGATTTTACCCCGAATTTTTTTCACGGATAAACCCATGAATTTGGATTTGAATTTGGCAAAACCCGACCCAACCCGACCCATTGCCATCCTACCTTCCTCCAGCCAACTGGCCGGGGTCCACACTAGTACATTTTAAAGAGTTTGATTTGCTCCATTTCCAATTTCCTGCAACGAGAGTGAAAATATTGTGATTACTAATCTACATCTACACTACTTATAATACATTTTAAAGAGTTTGATTTGCTCCATTTCAAATTTCCTGCAACAAGAGTGAAAGTAGGAAAGGTATTTTCGTCTACACAATCAATTTTTTATTTCATATAAAAACGTATTGAGTTGGGTTTGAGTTTTTCAAACCCAGTGGATTTTACCCCGAATTTTTTTCACGGATAAACCCATGAATTTGGATTTGAATTTGGCAAAACCCGACCCAACCCGACCCATTGCCATCCTACCTTCCTCCGGCCAACTGGCCGGGGCCCACACTAGTACATTTTAAAGAGTTTGATTTGCTCCATTTCCAATTTCCTGCAACGAGAGTGAAAATATTGTGATTACTAATCTACATCTACACTACTTATAATACATTTTAAAGAGTTTGATTTGCTCCATTTCAAATTTCCTGCAACAAGAGTGAAAGTAGGAAAGGTATTTTCGTCTACACAATCAATTTTTTATTTCATATAAAAACGTATTAATGCTAGGATTTGAACCATGGTCTCTTTCATCAAAGACAAGAATTGTAACCAATTAGACTAGACACATTTGTTGTACTTTATTAATACAAAACATAGAGGAAGTTAAAATTATTAAAATAGAATACTTTTCTATCATGGTTAGTTAGCTCGCTAAGTCTCCTGTAAGTATTTTGTGATGTTTGATAATTCTATTTTCATATTTTAATAATTAATTTAGAATTTTTTCTAACTTATAAATGAAGGATAATCTTAAAATCTAAACACAAATATCATTGGTTGGAATATTGCGCATTGAATTAAAGTGTTTAATGATGAGGAAGGAGCGCTGTCGAGGGTGGAGGAGGTGCAGGTGATTATTGCCAGGGAGCGGCTACAACAACGGCGGGAGCGGAGCTAGGATAAGGAATTGAGAGCTGATTTTGCTGCGGGAAGGGATGTGGTGATGGAGGAGGAAGCACCCCTTTTAATTTTTAACTATAATATTTTTTTTATATTTATTTATTTATTTTACTTTCTTGTGAAAATGCACTGGAAATGGTAAAAGATTAAAATTTATTTTATTTATCATTGTTTAATTGCCACGTCACTGAGTTAACGGTCAACTTTGAGGGTTGACTGCCACATCACACAAATTTAATGGAGTTTGACGGAGAGTGACCATACTTGAACCATTTAACTAATTTGAGTGACCAAGACTGGATTTAAATATTTCCAGTGACCAAATATGAACGTTTTTTGTAATCTCAGTGACCAACCATGCAATTAACCCGCATTTTTTTTGAATCGCTATTCGTCGCCCTAAAATTCAAATTTTATCGCCCTAAAAAGCAACTAGATGACATATTTACCCTCAACCAATTTCATTTTTAAACCCTAACCAGAAGGTGTCGCTGGCTCTACTCCGGCCTCCCCTGCTTCGTCGCCTCCCCTGCTCGCCCCCCAACCTGAGCAGCTCGCCGCCGACAAGACAAAAAAGGTGGCGTTGTGGGGAAGACGGGCAAAGGGTAACTCATCACTCTCCCTCGTACATCCGCTGCCCGCAGAAGGGTTTAGGGGTGTTTTATCAAAGATGATCCCACTGGAAATTAATTGGACAGAGTAAGGGGATTCTTGGAATTAATTGGACCAGGGACAGGAGGAATGAAACAGGAGGTCGTTAGTGTTTTTGTTTCCAGTGGAATTGAGGGGGATCGTTAGTGATATCTTTTGCTAAGAAAGAATGAGTTGCTGCATCAATTTACAGTCGGAGTTGAATTATTAATATGGATTTTCTGATAACTAACCACCCGCAACGATTTGATAGAGTTGAGCAGAGTTGAAATCAATTTGGATATGCAAAACTTGGTTTTAACTCGAGCTCCACCGCAATTGCTATGGATTGCAAATCGCACAGCGGTGGCCGACGACGAGTCGACCGATAATTTATAAGTTTGTTTAGGGTTTAAGTGTTTAAACAACAAATAAATGAACTAAGGGTATTATAGTAAAATTAACTTAATTCGGGCGACGAATAAGAAGTTTTAGGGCGGCGAATAACAACCTTTTTTTCTATCTTATCGTATCAGAAACATTGAATTTTACAATCAATTCATATAAAAACAATCCTTATTTAATTTGTCACCAATGTTTCGTTATGCGGTGTTCTCAATAAAAGGCCACATGAGAAATAAGTAAAAAGAACTAAACTTATGTTTATGATAGTGGCGGCTATCGGGTATAGTTCCCTTCAAATTTGGTAAATTTATCAAGAATTATAAAATTGTATTGAAGCCAAGGTGTATATAAAAAGTTAATGATATCGTATTTTGTGATAAAATCGTAGTTTATTGTTGATCAAGCATTTTAAATTATTAAAAAATATCTATTGATTTAGACTTCAATAGATGATTTTTTGATCAAACCGTTGGTATCATATCACAAACGGAAGATAAGAACGACACAGTCGCAATAGCAGCAACCTGCAGGTTTCTCATTCTGCAGGTGGTGTCCATTTGCCTTTGTTGCAATTCTACATAACTGAACTAGTGCAACAAGCATGAAATCTTTATTTGGTCTTGTATAATGTACAGAGTTTGGTTCGAGAAGCAGCTCTTAAGAAAAGACGATAGAGAGAGCATGAAACCTCACTCTGAAAATATAAAGACTAAAAGAGTGACATAGCAGCCAGAAAGAATTCTGCTTTGTTTACCCTTGTGGAAATAGAGAAATGGGAAAAGGAAATTGCTTTGTTATGTGTCCTTTTCATGTCCTTAATATAGAGCCTAGAAAAGTAGCTCCTGTAAAAGTTTCAGTAGTATTTTAGTTTTGGCCACCAGGAGGACAATATGGTTTGTCCTTTGTGTAAAGTATTTTAATGTGAAGAAGGAAAAGAAGAGAAGGAATCTTCTTTGCATTCATACTTAGGAAAATATTTTGATGATCACTTTACTTCACTCACCCAGACCCAATAACTCAAAAACGAACGACGACAGTGACAACTTAAAACCTGATTATAAATTCAGCCACTTGACAGTTCCTGCCAAGTCATCCATTATTAACACCGCTGCTTGTGCCGGCCACGCAACCCGAGCCATTTTCAAACACTCCCAGCAGCTTTTCAGTGAAGAAAAGGACACAGAAGAAGCTGGGAAGGTGAACAGAAAGGGGAATAGATGACGGGAGGATACTATTTCCACAGAGACGTGCTGCCGTTTGTGGCCATGATCAGCTTGAACATCATCAACGTTGGGATCAACACGCTCTTCAAGGCTGCAACCATGGAGGGGATGAACAACAATGTCTTCGTCGCCTATGACTATGCCATCGCTTCTCTTGTTCTTCTTCCTGCTCCTTTCCTCTCCAAAAGGTTCTACCTTTTCCCCATCCCAATTGCTCTCAGATCGGAAAGTCCTGGTTGGTTTTCTGGGAAAGCTCAATATGCATCGTAATTTTGCAGGTCGAGTGTTCTTCCTCCTTTGAGCTCCTCAGTTGTGTGCAAAATTGGCCTCCTCGGACTCATAGGGTGGGTTGAGTAACTTCAAGTGAAATCAACCTTCTGATGATCTCAATATCTGAGCTTTCCTGGGTTTTCTGTTGAATTGGTGGCTAATTTCTTCCCAGGAGTTCATCTCAAATCATGGTGTACACTGGAATCAACTACAGTTCTCCAACTCTTGCGTCCGCCATTGGCAATCTCACTCCAGCTTTTACTTTCCTGTTTGCCGTCATTTGCAGGTACCATTTGTTTCCCAATCCTAGCTCCTGCTACTGTATTTTCAGTAGCCACAACTTTCTACCACTTGTCCAAGAACGGAACTCTCTCTAATTTCTCCTTTGTCACGAAAAGGATGGAAAGAGTTGCGATTAGAAGATCATCCAGCCAGGCCAAAATCCTAGGCACCATAGTGGCAATAGCAGGTGCATTTGTGGTGACCCTCTATAAGGGTCCCCCCATTTTCGCGTCAGAATCTCCATCACCAACTAAACTGAATTATCAATCATCCCTTCTTCAGTCATCAACAACAACTACGCAAGAACATTGGGTACTTGGTGGGATGTGTCTCACCGTGAAGTATATACTTGACCCTTTGTGGTACATTGTAGTGGTATGTATTGTCTGCTTCCTTCCAAACCCATCTTCATTAGATTGCTGTTCATTTCATCATGAAGTCTCAAATGGTGGTGTTTTGTGGAACAGACACAGATAATGAAGGAGTACCCTGCTGAATTCACGGTGATCTTCTTCTACAACGTGATTGTCTGCATCATAACATCAGTTTTTGCACTGATCACTGAAGGAACATCGTCCAGTGCCTGGATATTCAGCAGTAGCACAGCAATAGCATCGGTTTTATGCTCGGTAAGAGACTTAACAATACTCATAATCAGATGGGCAGTATCAAGACCATGCCTTTTTTAAACCTTTGCCTGTTCGGTTAGGGAGTGTTTGGATCGTGCTTGAGCAATGGTGTAGATGCATGGGTGCTGCGGCTCAAGGGGCCAGTATTTGTGTCGTCGTTCAAACCATTTGCGATGATTGTAGCTGTTGCCATGGGAGTTACGCTTCTGGGTGATATTCTGCATCTAGGGAGGTAAACCAAACTTCAGTCTGAACACAAATAGACAGAGTCCACAAAGCTAGTAACTTCAAACCTAACAAGATATCCCCTTTTGTATCCATTCGTCCAATTTTGGCAGCCTGATTGGAGCAACAACCATTGCAATTGGGTTCTACATGCTGATGTGGGGAAAGGCCAAAGAGGAAGCTGATGACACCATCCCACAACAGAACCCTCACCATATCAGTAGCACCCTCGAACCTCACTCCAACGAGAAGGTACCTTTACTGCAAAAGCTGAGCCAGTGGTGAATCACCATTCAAGTTGAAGTGAAAAACTGCAGCAGAAGCTGCTAATTTGGTGCGCACCCATCTGCATTCCAAGAGTAATTGCGCAATGGAGGGTATTTGACAGCATAGTATATAATCTGCAAGCCAATTTGTACCTAAGTAAGCCAATAATCGAAATTTGAAGGGAATCGAGTGTAACTCTTCCCTGTGTTGCAGAAGGGCCAGGTAAGAAGGAACTGACCTGGTAGAAGTGTGAAATACCTTTGCCATGGCCGCCTGAATAGTTCGTTTTGAACTGGACAAACGTCAAACGAGAGAGAGTGAATGCTAGAGGGTAGAGCCGAGCCGGCTGCTTAATGGGCCGGGCAGTACAAATCGTAGTTTACGTTCCCTTACATTTCGAAACTATGTTTATGATAAAAGTTGTATTCCTTAAAAATTTATGCGAAATAAAAAAAAATCATGTCGTTTGGATTTTGGAGTATAAAGTAATGGTTATCCAAAGTTTGACGAAATCGAAAATAAGCTCGTTCGGGGTAGCAAACGACATTTTTTGGGACGAAGACGAGACCAAACCACCTTCAGCAGTCTTGGGCTTGCAAGATCTCAAAAAGTTATGCAGAATAAAAAAAAATCACGACGATCGGATACCCGAACACAAAGATATGTTCGTTTGAAGTTTTCACCTAGGTTAGGATTTAAAAAAAAAAAACACAGACCGCATGGTGGGGGTGCGGTTTGCAAAACCACCCCCTACTAGTGCGGTTTTCATCGAAGAACGCGCCCCCGAGTGGCGGTTGCCTAAACCGCTGGTACGGGTGGCGATTTTTAGAAAATGGTGTTATTTTTGGAATTTTTCGCAGTTGGGTGGTATTTTTGGAAACAAAAATTTTAACAATACTATTTGTGAAAAAATCCCCTTACTCAACCAAGTTCACAAGAAAGTGGATTGAAATTTGACAGTGACAACTGAAAAGAATAACTCCATTAAATCCACCACCACATGATGACAGTAGAATAATATTAGAAACATCGTTCCAAGTCCTCTCACTCATTAACACCATAGCTTGCTTTGCTTGTGCCGGCCACGCAGCCCCTTCACCCACTAAGTAAAGCTTTCAGTGAAGAAGAGAAAACAGGCCACCGGAGAAGAAAGATGACGTGGGGTTACTATTTCCAAAGAGATGTGCTGCCGTTTCTGGCCATGGTCAGCTTAAACATCATCAGTGTTGGGATCAGCACGCTCTTCAAAGCTGCAACCATGGAGGGTATGAGCAACAATGTCTTCGTCGCCTATGACTATGCCATCGCTTCTCTTATTCTTCTCCCAGCTCCTTTCCTCTCCAAAAGGTTCTCTCTTTTACCTTTCCCTATTGCTCTCTGATCGGAAAGTCCAACTTGGTTTTCTAGGAAACTCAAATATGCATCATATTTTGTTTGCAGATCAAGTGTTCTTCCTCCTTTGAGCTCCTCAATTATGTGCAAAATTGGTCTCCTCGGGCTCATAGGGTGGGAACTTGTTTCCTCTGAAATCAACCTTTTGATGATCTCTATATCTGAGCTCTCCTGGGGTTCTGTTGAATTGATGGTTAGTTTCTTCACAGGAGTTCAGCTCAGATCATATTGTACACTGGAATCAACTACAGCTCTCCAACTCTTGCATCCGCCATTGGCAATCTCAGTCCAGCATTTACTTTCTTGTTTGCCGTCATTTGCAGGTACCATTTCTTTCTCAATCCTAGCTCCCGCTGCCGTATTTGTGAGAAGCCATAACTTTCACTACTTGTCCATGAACTGAACGAACTCTCTCTAATATCCCCCCTATGACAAGAAAAGGATGGAAAGAGTTGTGATCAGCAGATCATCCAGCCAGGCCAAAATCCTAGGCACAATAGTGGCAATAGTAGGTGCATTTGTGGTGACCTTCTATAAGGGTCCCCCGATTTTCCCGCCGGAACCCACATCACCAATCCAATTGAATTATCAATCATCCCTTCTTCAGTCACCACCACCACCAACAGCACACGAACATTGGGTACTTGGTGGGATGTGTCTCACTCTGAAGTATATACTTACCCCTTTGTGGTACATTGTACTGGTATGTAATGTATGCTTCCTTCCAAACCCATCTTTGTTAGATTGCTGTTCATTTCACCATGAAGTCTCAAATTGGTGGTGTTTTGTGGAACAGACACAGATAATGAAGGAGTACCCTGCAGAATTCACAGTGATCTTCCTCTACAACGTGATTGTCTGCATCATAACATCAGTTTTTGCTCTGATCACTGAAGGAACATCATCAAGTGCCTGGATTTTCAGCAGTAGCACAGCAATAGCATCGGTTTTCTGCTCGGTAAGAGGCTTAACAATACTCATCATCAGATGGGCTGTATCAAAAGCATGCCTCTTTTAAACCTTTGCATGCTCGATTAGGGAGTGCTTGGATCGTCCGTGAGCAATGGTGTGGAGGCATGGGTGTTGAAGCTCAAGGGGCCAGTATTTGTGTCGTCGTTCAAACCATTCGCGATGATTGTAGCTGTTGCCATGGGAGTAACGCTTCTGGGTGATATTCTGCATCTAGGAAGGTAAAACTAACTTCAGTTTCGATACAAATAGACAGAGAAAGTCTATAAAGTTAGTAACTTTAACCCTAACAAAATATCAACTTTTGTTTCCAATCGTCCAATTTTGGCAGTCTGATTGGAGCAATAACCATTGCAATTGGGTTCTACATGCTGATGTGGGGAAAGGCCAAAGAGGAAGATGATGACACCATCCCACAACAGAACAGTCACCATGTTAGTAGTACCCTCGAACCTCACTCCAACGAGAAGGTACCTTTACTGCAAAAGCTGAACTAGTAGGGAATCACCAATCAAGGTGGTGTAGTTGAACACAGCAGCAGAAGCTGCTGATTTGGTTCGGACCCAAGAGTAAGTGCAGGATGGTATTTAATAGCCTAGTATGATCTGTAAATATAGACGTTGGGTGCTTGTTCAATGAAAGGCAATTTGTAAAGAAGAAAGCCAATAATTGAAATTTGGAAGGCCATCAAGTGGAACTCTTAGCTCTGTTCCAGAAGGGTGGCGGAGAGAAAGAACTGATCTCGCTGGTGTAAGTGCGAAATGCTTTGCCGTTGCCGGAGCGGAATAGTTCGTTTCGAACTGGAAGAAAGAAGGAATGCTAGAGGGGCAGAAGTAGAGCCTTGCCGGCTGCTGAATGGGCCGGGTAGTGCAAATCGTGGTTTGCATTTTTGGGCTGGATATGTTCCCTGTTGGACATAGTTATGGCCTGCTAGTTAGGCATGATCACCTATGGGCTATGGTCCATTATTATTAACTTTTCTTTGGGTTATGTATTGTTTGATTTGGTTTTGGTGATTGTTTGGTTGTGATAGTATTATTTTTTTAAGTTTATGTACAAACAAAAAACAATACATGCATTGTTTGCTTGATGTGATGGAAACTATCACTCAAAATGAGTGATAGTATTATGACTATCTCTACTAAAACATGAGATTGTTGGGTTCCTTTTTTGTTCCAAGTATACCCCTAGTTATATATATATAACTAAAAAAGTGATCTTTCTCACAAAAAGTCATATGACTTGTTGAATACTAAAAAACTATCACCAAAACCAAACAATGGAAAGTATATTACATTATGTTCCTTAATTGTATGTATATTACAATGCATGCATTGATCACAATGCATTGATTTAAGAATCACCAAAACCAACCCAACCCATAATTAACCCTATGTACCGTACCACTTGATATATGTGAAAACTGAAAAGATTAGTTACATAATGCGCTTAGCTTCCCTGTTATGTTAATCATAAACCCATTAATTAGGGATGTAGAAGGACCGGTAATTTGGGTGCACAAATCTAATTTATTATGAGTCAAATTAGATTTGGATAATAATAACATTTTTGGATACATATCCACTTTTTAGTTTGGTCTAAATTAAACCGATTACATTATATACTCAAAAGAAAATGGATAACCAACTCTAATGTGATTTGTCTTTTTCTTTGTTCTAAAACAAGCAAAAATATAAAATTGCTATCATTGAAGCTATGAATTGGTTGAATTGGTTGAATGCGCGAATAGTGGAAATGTCAATATTGTTTTTTCGTGTGCATTACATAGATCCAAATAGATAATCAGTTGGTTCCGACCTAAATGGGTTGATCCAAATTGAAGACAATTAATACCCAATCCATACCCAAAATTATTTAGTGTGTATATGAGTGCATTTGGGTCAACACAATACCCATATGAGTCTTATGATAATTTTGTCCAATTACCCATGAATCATCTCACCATTGAATAGGCGGCAGCACCAACAAAAAGAAAAGGAAAATAATATGCATTATAAAAAACTTACAAATGCCAAGTAGGCGCCATCCTACATGAAAACATACGAGTGAGTTAACGAATTTCAACTATCATCCCACATTTCAACTTGTGTTATTCTTACAACTAAATTATCTAAAATTGCAAGAGTCAACAAATTCATCCTAATAAAATGATGATTTGCTTTAACCATAATTTGTCCAATCTAATGAATTCATATAGGTGAGGAATCATCATGGCCAAGATTGATGCTCGTTTACTAAATTCACCTAATATAATAACTCCACGAATTATGATGCAGTGACATCATGAGAAAAGACCACCATTAATTATCCAATCCGCCACTCAACAACACAATAATACAAGAGAAGAGAAATCCTGGCAAGTCAAAACCATCCATCCATTATTAACACCTCTGCTTGCATTGTGACTAAACACTCCCAGCAGCCTTTCAGTGAAGAAGAGGACACACCCTTCAAAGCTGCAACCCAAGGAGGGTATGATCAGCAACTCTGTTTTAGATTGGTATGTTGGACCAGGTCTCCCTTTGATCATAGATGGCTTGGTTTGTTGGGCCATGTCTCCTTTGATTATGGTGTTCATAAGTGCATGGTATATGATATATAATCGAATCTTATTCAACAACACGAGTTATAAAAACTTATTGTGTGTTTTGATATAGTATCAAGTTTTTTTTTTCAGTATGTCTTCTGCTCTCGAATCCTTGTGACCCAGTTGATAAATACATGGCGTCTCTGATGCTTGTGTAAACTTCAAACTCACGTGAGTGATATTTTTCGTTCGAGGGGGTGTTATATATTTAGTAGTCATTTGAGGTTGATCATACTCATTGCACCATAGACCATGTTCCCGTTGATGTTCCCGTTGATTTTTCCTTTGAGCAAGAAGCTTGCAGCTGGATCTTTCATTTGGTCCCTCCCTAGAGTATTACAACTACTACCACCATCACTGAAACCCAGCAGGAATCAGTACCATTATTATTTTCATCATAAAGTCAACGTAAGCTCCACAGAAACCATCAAACCGTCTTCCCCGACTCCCTCCAAACTCGCCACATTCAAGCTCTCCTTCATGGACAACCTAGTCCCTCCAATTTACGTACCTTTCATCTTCTTTTTTCCTGCTCCCGCCTCCACGGGACCAAAACCAGGGGAGAGATTCGAGACCCTCAAGTCTTCACTCGCCCAGACCCTCACGCACTTCTACCCACTCGCCGGCAGGCTGTCCAGATCCGACGAAGATAACGAAGCCGGTCCCATTCCAGTCATCAACTGCAACGACGAGGGTGTCCCGTTTTCTTCCGCCACGTTCGATGCGTCCGTGTCTCAGTTTCTAAGGAGACGACTCGAAATCGACTCGCTCCAGCAATTCCTCCCTTTCCCTTCCCATCTTATCATCTCGGGCCTCGAATCGGCGCCGCAGATCGGCTTCAGGGCTACCGCGTTCCCCTGCGGCGGTCTCGCCATCGGCGTGTGCTTGTTGCACAAGATCATAGATGGCCCCACTTTGGCCGATTTCATGAAACTCTGGTCCGCATTCGCCAGCAGCGAGGAGAAAACGGCGGCGGGTGGCAGCGGGTACGCTCACAATCTCGCTGCCACGTCACTCCTGCCGCCACGACACGACGATGTCCCCGCGGCCACAGAGGGCGAAGAAGGGAAGGTGCTGATGAGGAGATTCGCGTTCGATGAAGAAGCGATCCACGCGCTGAAAGCCAAAGCGAAGAGCGATCAGATACCCGACCCGACCCGGACCGAGGCTGTTGGTGGATTTTTGTGGAAATCGGTGATGAGTGCAGCAGCTGCCAGGGCAGCATCACCCGACGGGTCAAAGCCCAGATCCGTTGTCTCAGTTGCAGGTAATGCCAACATTTGCATTTCAAATGTCTAAATGATCGATGCACAAAGGTTAAAACATACTCACTTCTCTACAATGTAACTCAAAGTTATTGTAGTATTGATTGATTCATTTTTTATTTTTTACATATATTGGTCATAGCAATGGCAGTTAATCTTCGATCTCGAATGAATGAGCCATGGCCAGATTACTCTGTTGGCAACATAATTTGGCCTGCTCTTTCATTGTACCACAGCGATCAACAACAAGATTCTTTAGATGATGGAACAAATAAAACAATACAAGAGTTGGTCCGTAAATTAAGGGGGTCAGTTGCGAAACTTGATCAAGAGTTTATGAGAAAGTTACAAGGCAGAGATGGGAGACGAGAATTTCTAAGGAACCTAGAAGCATTTTGGAAGCCAGCAACGATCATGGTAGATGTTGTTGTTCAAAACGCGAGTATAGTAGCGCCGTTTACAATTACTTCCACAATTGGACTGAGATTGTACGATGTTGATTTCGGATGGGGAAAACCTGCTTGGGTCACCATGGCTCAATTCCCAACTCCAAATGTGGCCTTTTTGCTGCAGTCTCCGGTTGGATATGGTGTTGAAGTTTGGCTCACGTTGCCTGAAAAAGAAATGACCATGCTGGAACAAGAACCTGAATTCACTACTTATTCTAAGAATAATATGTGCGTACTTTGAGCCCCGACTACCTATATATTAATCAAGTTTCCTTTTTTACTTTATAACTTCATCAAATAAGTACTGGTGATTGTTTCTTATTGTTGGATTGTATCCGATGAAGGTGATAATGTAGTGATCTTTTTCTACTTTTCTCTATGTGGGTTGGTTGTATTATGAGTTAATATATTTTCATATTAATACACACGTAATTGTTTCCCTCAAAGTTGACATTATATGAATTGTATTTGTTTGAGAGTGAGATTAATTTCACATCATAGTTTGAAACTAAGACTTATAGATGCTACTTATTTTTTCATGAGTGGCACGTGGAGATAAATGTTTGAGAATTACGACAGTACTATTGCCCTTATTTTGTTCTCATCGCCCGCCAACTCACGCATCCACCACCTCTTGCTGAGCAGAACAATTAACTATCATTCTGAATTCACAATAACAATTAATTCCGTGATTAGAAGTTGATTATTTGCATGATTAAACGTATGAAAGCATCGGTGAACATGAGAATTGAGAAGGTTCCTGGTCCCGCTGGCGAGTCGAGTGACGTCGAGGTCCGCTTTCGGGGAGTTGGAGAACGAGATCGGAGAAGGGTTCTTGGCCGTGGTTGACGAGAACGTAAGGGCACTTAATGGATTTTGAAGGAATCCTCGAACAACATCGAGTTCGGAAGAGAAGGGATATCACGAAACGACGGCGTCTAGGTGATGAAGCGGAGAACATTCTGCTCAACCTTCAAGAGACTTGGGACCTCGGCATCCCTTTGGCAACCGACGACATCAAATTAAAGCCGTCGTTCTTGTCAGTATTATTAATAAATTATTTCATTCATAATTATTGCTTTGAAATTTAAGCAACAATGAATTATCAACTTTGACTTCTTCCTGGTATTTGACCAATAATGAATTATCAATTTTTGTTCTAGAGAAACTGTTTTCTGAAGTTGTATAAAAAGTTAAAATTGATTTTTTTTAGAGTAGAATTTTATAATCTTTTACTTTGTGTTACTATCGATATGGATTATGACTTCCTTGTTTGTATACTAGAATATGTTTTTGGTGGAGTTGAGACATCAACGAGCGGCGAGCGCAATAAAATAGACCGTGTCAGAGGTTACAACAAGCGAAGGAAGAGGTGAGTCGAGTCTTCCAAAGCAAGGGAAATGTTGATGAAGATCGACTCAATGAGCTAACCTATTTGCACGCAATTATCAAAGAGATTTTACGATTACACATTGTCAGCCCGTTAGTTCTCCCAAGAGAAACTAGAGAGACCGTACAGATCTATAGATTTGAGATCCATGTCAAGACTAGGGATCTCAAACCGATAGAACAGTTTGAAATACCCCCCAACAAGGAAACGAGTATTATCAAATTAATATATATGGCCGCCAATAATATTCTCCAACAATTAATAAAATCTTGAAGGAATCCTCGAACAACATCGAGTTCGGAAGAGAAGGGATATCACGAAACGACGGCGTCTAGGTGATGAAGCGGAGAACATTCTGCTCAACCTTCAAGAGACTTGGGACCTCGGCATCCCTTTGGCAACCGACGACATCAAATTAAAGCCGTCGTTCTTGTCAGTATTATTAATAAATTATTTCATTCATAATTATTGCTTTGAAATTTAAGCAACAATGAATTATCAACTTTGACTTCTTCCTGGTATTTGACCAATAATGAATTATCAATTTTTGTTCTAGAGAAACTGTTTTCTGAAGTTGTATAAAAAGTTAAAATTGATTTTTTTTAGAGTAGAATTTTATAATCTTTTACTTTGTGTTACTATCGATATGGATTATGACTTCCTTGTTTGTATACTAGAATATGTTTTTGGTGGAGTTGAGACATCAACGAGCGGCGAGCGCAATAAAATAGACCGTGTCAGAGGTTACAACAAGCGAAGGAAGAGGTGAGTCGAGTCTTCCAAAGCAAGGGAAATGTTGATGAAGATCGACTCAATGAGCTAACCTATTTGCACGCAATTATCAAAGAGATTTTACGATTACACATTGTCAGCCCGTTAGTTCTCCCAAGAGAAACTAGAGAGACCGTACAGATCTATAGATTTGAGATCCATGTCAAGACTAGGGATCTCAAACCGATAGAACAGTTTGAAATACCCCCCAACAAGGAAACGAGTATTATCAAATTAATATATATGGCCGCCAATAATATTCTCCAACAATTAATAAAATCTTGAAGGAATCCTCGAACAACATCGAGTTCGGAAGAGAAGGGATATCACGAAACGACGGCGTCTAGGTGATGAAGCGGAGAACATTCTGCTCAACCTTCAAGAGACTTGGGACCTCGGCATCCCTTTGGCAACCGACGACATCAAATTAAAGCCGTCGTTCTTGTCAGTATTATTAATAAATTATTTCATTCATAATTATTGCTTTGAAATTTAAGCAACAATGAATTATCAACTTTGACTTCTTCCTGGTATTTGACCAATAATGAATTATCAATTTTTGTTCTAGAGAAACTGTTTTCTGAAGTTGTATAAAAAGTTAAAATTGATTTTTTTTAGAGTAGAATTTTATAATCTTTTACTTTGTGTTACTATCGATATGGATTATGACTTCCTTGTTTGTATACTAGAATATGTTTTTGGTGGAGTTGAGACATCAACGAGCGGCGAGCGCAATAAAATAGACCGTGTCAGAGGTTACAACAAGCGAAGGAAGAGGTGAGTCGAGTCTTCCAAAGCAAGGGAAATGTTGATGAAGATCGACTCAATGAGCTAACCTATTTGCACGCAATTATCAAAGAGATTTTACGATTACACATTGTCAGCCCGTTAGTTCTCCCAAGAGAAACTAGAGAGACCGTACAGATCTATAGATTTGAGATCCATGTCAAGACTAGGGATCTCAAACCGATAGAACAGTTTGAAATACCCCCCAACAAGGAAACGAGTATTATCAAATTAATATATATGGCCGCCAATAATATTCTCCAACAATTAATAAAATCTTGAAGGAATCCTCGAACAACATCGAGTTCGGAAGAGAAGGGATATCACGAAACGACGGCGTCTAGGTGATGAAGCGGAGAACATTCTGCTCAACCTTCAAGAGACTTGGGACCTCGGCATCCCTTTGGCAACCGACGACATCAAATTAAAGCCGTCGTTCTTGTCAGTATTATTAATAAATTATTTCATTCATAATTATTGCTTTGAAATTTAAGCAACAATGAATTATCAACTTTGACTTCTTCCTGGTATTTGACCAATAATGAATTATCAATTTTTGTTCTAGAGAAACTGTTTTCTGAAGTTGTATAAAAAGTTAAAATTGATTTTTTTTAGAGTAGAATTTTATAATCTTTTACTTTGTGTTACTATCGATATGGATTATGACTTCCTTGTTTGTATACTAGAATATGTTTTTGGTGGAGTTGAGACATCAACGAGCGGCGAGCGCAATAAAATAGACCGTGTCAGAGGTTACAACAAGCGAAGGAAGAGGTGAGTCGAGTCTTCCAAAGCAAGGGAAATGTTGATGAAGATCGACTCAATGAGCTAACCTATTTGCACGCAATTATCAAAGAGATTTTACGATTACACATTGTCAGCCCGTTAGTTCTCCCAAGAGAAACTAGAGAGACCGTACAGATCTATAGATTTGAGATCCATGTCAAGACTAGGGATCTCAAACCGATAGAACAGTTTGAAATACCCCCCAACAAGGAAACGAGTATTATCAAATTAATATATATGGCCGCCAATAATATTCTCCAACAATTAATAAAATCTTGTTGTCTCCGTCGTACTTCATCAATAATTCACGTATGTATATTTGTTATAACAGTGCCATGATAATACAGAAACCGAACCCCAATCAAGTTACCCTCTCCATTTTGGGTGTATGTTTTATACATCTTATTTCATGATTCTTGTTTTTAATCACCAGATTCGTCCTAAAATAGACGATGTCTTCAATTGTATAATAATGAACAATAAAAAACATGAATTTACTTTTATTTTAAGGAATTCTAAAACTAACTCAGTAGACTTTCAGAAATTCATCTCATAATAATAATCATATTATAAGGAAAAAAATATCAGTAAATGGCATGGATTAGTCATAATTTTTAACCATATATTCATCGTCTTAAACAAATACCAAAGATTAAAATAGACAATGACGATCAAAATTTAATTCTAGACTTTTGTGTAATCCACCTGAAATTGGAGGATATCCTATAGTAACGTGCCTAAAACCATAGATGAATGAAACACAAACATCGATCAAATGATGTTCTCGTCTCTTGGGTTATATTATGATACATATGCAGCATGTAGGCAGGTTTGTTTGCTGCCAAAGGAGATACGTGTTTATCTGCTCCGGCCAACGAGTGTCGTCACCTTACAGCCCAATCCTGCCAGTGGCGGAGCCAGCTAGTGATGATCATCATAAGATCTGTGTCGGCTCCACGGAAAATCATGAAAAGAGCATCTGCATGCCTTGCTACAATTGTCGTCGTGCATAACAACCTGCCAACGAGTATTGTCCTCACCTACAACACAATATATTGTCCGGAGATCCCTATTTATGAATAACTCCAATATACATCTTGAAAGATAATATATTTTTTCTTTGCGCTAATCAACCCCAAATTAGCCAGCTGGTCTCTCTGATTCCTAACCCTCGAGTACTAGATGCCCAAAGCTCTGAATCTGATCTATATAATTAGTAGCAGCCATTTTGGGAAGTCATTTATTTCCCTTTATCACCATTGTACGACCTTAATTGTTACGTTACACCCATCAACCATGTTTCCATTTCTGGTTCGTGTTGCTCTCAGCAAGAAGCCTGCAGCAGCTGCATCTTCCATTTGTTCCCTCCATAGAGTATTACCATCACTGAAAACCAGCAGCAATCAGTACCATTATTTTCATCATAAAGTCAACGTAAGCTCCACTGAAACAATCAAACCGTCTTCCCCAACTCCCGCCAAACTCGCCACATTCAAGCTCTCCCTCATCGACAACCATGTCCCGCCAATTTACGTACCTTTCATCTTCTTCTTTCCTGCTCCGACCTCCACGTCCACGGGAGGAAAACCAGGGGAGAGAATCGACGCCCTCAAGTCTTCACTCGCCCAGGCCCTCACGCGCTTCTACCCGCTCGCCGGCAGGTACGTCAATGAAGGAGCCGGTTCCGTTCCCTTTGTCCATTGCAACGACGAGGGCGTGCCGTTTTCTTCCGCCACGGTGGCGGGCGATGATTCGTCCATGGCCCAATGTCTCAGGAAACGAATCGAGATCGACTCGCTCGAGCAATTCCTCCCTTTCCCTGCCGATCTCATCATCTCGGACCTCGAATCGGTGCCACAGATCGGCTTCAGGGCTACCGAGTTCGCCTGCGGCGGGCTCGCCATCGGTGTTTGCTTCTTTCACAAGATCGTAGATGGCCCCACCTTGGCCGATTTCATGAAACTCTGGTCCGCCGTCGCCAGGAGCGAGGAGAAAACGGCGGAGGCAGTGGCAGGCGGCAGCGCGTACGCTCACGATCTCGCTGCCACGTCACTACTGCCGCTGCGACACGACGACGTTGCCCCATCCCCAAAAGATTTCGTGGGCGAACAAGGGAAGATCGTGACGAGGAGACTCGCGTTCGATGAGGAAGCGATTCACGCGCTGAAAGCCATAGCGAAGAGCGATCAGATACCCAACCCGAGCCGGAGCGAGGCAGTTGGTGGGTTTTTGTGGAAGCACGTGATGAGCGCAGCCGCCACAGCAGCGTCACCCGACGGGTCAAACCCCAGATCGGTCGTCTCAATTGCAAGTAATGCCACAAAATTTGCGTTTCAAATGTTTTAAGTTTAATTGATGAACAAACGTTAAACTACAATTGAGATTTCCATTATTGGCTAATTTATTATGATGCATATTGTTCATAGCAATGGCGGTTAACCTCCGATCTCGAATGGATGAGCCATGGCCAGATTACTCTGTTGGTAATATAATTTGGACGGCAGTGTCGTTATACTACAACAATCATCAACATGATTCTTTGGATGATGCAACAAAGACGACGATACAAGAGCTGGTCCGTAAATTGAGGGGGTCAGTTGCGAAACTGGATAAAGAGTTTATGGCAAAGTTACAAGGCAGAGATGGGAGACAAGAGTATCTGATGAATCTAGAAGCATTGTGGAATCCGGCGATTGCGGTAGATGCTGATGTTAAAAACGAGACTATAGTAGTGCCATTTAGGATAACTTCCAATATAGGAATGAGATTCTACGATGTTGATTTTGGATGGGGAAAGCCTGCTTGGGTCACCATGGCTAGATTCCCCAATCCGATCCCAAATTTGGCCGTTTTGCTACAATCCCCAGTTGGAGGCGGGGTTGAAGTTTGGCTCACCTTGCATGAAAAAGAAATGGCCATACTAGAAAAAAAACTTGAGTTCGCTACTTATGCTAAGAACAACATGCCTGTACTTTGAGTTTTTTTTTTTTTTTTTTGCCTGGCTACCTATTGAGTTTCCTTCAAGTTAAGTTTCCTTCTCTTGAGAAATCTTCCACCGCTAGAACTTTATCAAATAAGTTATGATGGTTTCTTATTGTTGGATTGTATCCAATGAATGTTATGTTGTGATTTTTTTCTCGTCTTTTTCTCCATATGTGTTGGTTGCTTGGTTGTAGTAATGAATTATAATATGTTGGCTAAAATATGT